TGTGCTTGTTCCGTAAAATAATGCCCCCGGCGGCCCGGGCTCTGACCAGGCCGACGGTTGGTGGTCTGATCAACCAGGCTGTTAGACGCCGCTGCTCGCAGCCTCATACCCTCCAAACATTATGGACACAGAAAAGGCTGTTTTTTTGTCTTTATATTAGTGTCATACTGGAAGCTTGAAGCTCCTGTATCACAACATTTGTGTAAACTTCAGTGTTTTACAATTAAATCATACGTTGTAATGTATCATTACTATATATACTAAAGGAACATTTTATAAACTACAGTAGACTGTCAGCTGTTGCTAATTTAGCATAGAATAGATGTGATTCAGCCCACCATATAAGTTTATATAACGACACTAAACTACAGCATTTCATTTTAAACGAGAGATTTACTTCTTTAATGAATGTAATATTCTGACATCGTGTCCGACAAGAGTGTCTTGATGTTAGGATCAAGTTCTTAGTTGCCAGTCGTAAAATATCATTATTATCCGACTTGATGAGATTCACGTGACTGACTCTGTTCTCGCAGGTGTAAGGCGAGCCAAATAAATATGCAGAAAAAGGTATTCTTTTTATGTAAATGGAGCTCCTAGCACTTTAATCGACGCCCTCGTTTCATGCAGGGTCAACGTTCGAGCCCCCTGACGGTCAGCGGGGACGAAGGCCGATCCCTCACCTGTTCCTTGTAGCGACTAGATTTACGAAGCAGTTACGAACCTGTCCATCTTTTCTCAATCTTTGGCGGCTTTGTTTACAATTATTAAACAGTTAATGAGCTCCGAAGCACCAGGAGGCTGTTTATAACAATAACAACAGTTGATTGTGAAGTTTTCACGCTTGTAAACTGTTTAATAAATGTAACCAAAGCCGTCAAAGATTGAGGAAAGATGTACACGTTCGTAAGTATTTGCGTAACTGCTTCGTGAATCTGGCCCCTGCCTTCTCTCACCCCTCTCAAGTTCTTCGTATTTATACTCGCTTAGCGTTCTCTCTTACCTTTTTTTTACGCAGATATGGATAGGGATTTTGAGGCAAGTATAGAAATTAACTTTGTTTCCATGCTTGGGTGAAGTGTGTGTCACAGTTCTGAAGAATAGACAGTTCACATTTGGCTTCTAATTTCACTGTTATCATGCGGTTCAGTGACGGGATTGTTGAACATTTGTAAATTTTGTTGTTCTTGAAGCCTCAGCACAGTGTTCTTCCTCAGTTTTAGGCAGGTTATTATGTATATTACTATATTTACTACATCTAGTAATAATACCAGATACTAATGAGTGAAAAATAAGCTAAGCGGTGTATAGTGTATAAAACTTAGGCTAATGAAAAGATTGTATTGCAAGTCAGTTGCAGTTCTTTGTTTGTTTTGTTTTACATGACGTTTGGAGAAGCGGAAGTGTGCTAGTGCTCAAGGTCCGTGGGCTGTGCACTAGTGCACAGTTGTGGATGTTGCTTAGAGAGCAACTTGGCCACGAGGTTGCGACAGGAGCAAGTTGCAGCCAACAGCAGCGACGTGCCTGTGTCGCCCACGCTGCGAGCGGCGGTTGGCAGGTCGCACTAGGCTAGTCCCCTCACCCGCACGCACGCACGCACACGCGGGCTACTGTGGGGGTCACCACGTGTCAAGGTCACCACGTGTTCACCAGGAAGTAAAAGAAACCCCTTCTTGTACTTGCTGATCTTAAGATACCGGGTGGGGTAGCGGGTACCCATGTTACGATATCGTAGTCCGTTATAACATTACTCATCCTCTGTGGGTCATATACTCGCCTGCACTTATCATGAGCCATTGCCAAGCAAAATTTGAGTTATATTATTATGTCTACATTTATCCGACCCAAGTCTCTCTCAATGTGAGGCCACTCTGAAAATATCTTCCACAAACCTAAGAATTTCTCCCTCCTTCCACCCCACCTGAAGGCTGTAACCAACAAAGTTCAGTGACCCACAGAGGTAGATTGCATCAGAGTTTAGTTCATTTATTATGCACCTCTTACCCATCGTGTTTCTTCATCACTGTAATAAGACTAACGATTTACATTTCTTGACGCCTCATCTTGTCAAGCACACACATTAATGGAACATGGTGGGTTAAACAGCGAGTAAACACGTCCCTTATTTTTGTCTCTGTGCACCCAGCCGTAATTGTGGACCTGACTCTAAATCACTGGAAGATCGTGTTTTGGTGAAAACATGGCGCTGAGTAACCTAACCGACTAGATGTCAGCATCTATTACGGTCTAAGTTCAAGCTAAAAAATACCTCTTGTAAACTTCACAGATTTGTCCAGCCATAACAATTTCGATGAGGGAAGCTTATCCAACCCGTCATCCATAGACCATACTTCCTATAGATACTATGAATGAAAGTACAAAGTATGGACTGTTAGGTTGGAGGGGGGTTAGTTAAAGATTTGCATTATTAATTTTGTAGAGGACCCTGAGAATCAGGAGAAAGCATCAAGCCATTACGATTATAGAGCACTGGGAAGGGGTCAGGATAAGGATTTGGGATGGGACGGGGGAAGAAATGAGGCGATAACCAAACCTTCCTTATCCTAATACAGTACTAATATGTACTAAATTAGGGCTAAGAGTTCTTATGTTAGGTCTAGGATTTCTTATTTAGGCCTAGGATTACTAATTTAGGCCTTGGTTATAGTTACTCTGCTCAACTCTGTTATACCCTTTAATATTCCAATAGTACAAACCGAGCCTTTGTGTTTAGGTCTATTTTATATATTCCATTTTTAGCAACTATATGTTTGATTATTTTGGGAGTATGAGCTTGTTTATCTGTATATCCTGCATGAATTGTTATTTATCCATGCTTAATTTAAACAAGTTGAACTGTCCTTAAAAATGTCTGGGTTTGCATCTCACCAGCGAACTCTCCATAACTAATTCTTAAAATGATTTTGACTTTTTTCCCTACCGTACAGTACCGTACGTAAAATTACCGTACAGTGGGTACAGTACCGTACAGTGCTAGGCTATTAACCCACACACCCTCTATGTCGGGTTGGCGGAGGATAGGCTACTATAGACCCTGAAAAAAAAATCATTTTCTTGTTAAAACCTGTAACATGCACAGCCATTAATCAGTTGAATTAATGTTGAGTCAAGACAGGTAATATAGCGACGATGGAGTAGTCATTACGAGTTATGGGAGGATAGATAGAGCATGAGGAAAGACAAGAGGATGGCCAACACAGTGGCTTGCCCGCCACCTGCAGCCTTATGGCGGTGTGCTCGTAGTCTTGGTCACATGCCACCTCGCTCGCCCAGCTCAGGTGTTGTTCTCGAGTTATTTCAGGGCCGCAGGTGCCAGCGGAGCCTCGTACAGCATAGCACGAGGGTCACACTTGCCCTCTAACACGCTATATCCCATAACATGCTATACTCCTAACATCGTATACCTCATAACATGCTATTCTTCTAACACGGTATACCCCATAACATGATATCCCTTTCTCCATTGCTCACCTCATTAATTACACCAAAAAACATCCCAGTGATTAATACTGTACTTTCATTTATAAAATGCGTTATCGATTAATTATATTTTTATGTTGTTAACGATTTGGCGAGGTCGTATTCCGGGGAATATGTTTCGGACAAGATTAATGACTTGCCCGAAACACTATGCGTGCTAGTGGCGGTACAAGTATGTAAGAACTCTTGTATATACATTTATAAATAAATAAGAAATAAAAAATAGTGTTAGCAGGGCCGGATTTGTGAGGGGACAAAAGCGGCAATTGCCGCTGGGCCCCCGACCGGGGGTGCTCCCCCCCCCCCCCCATAGACATCCTTCATACCTTATCTGATCACCAGTAATTTCAATCACTTTAGCCTATAATACAAACTGAAAAATATAGTCAAAGTTATTCTTAGTCAATAAATAAGAAAAATAAAGCTAGACACGTGTCTTCTTTGGAACCTAACATACTTTTTTTTTCGAACACATGCGGTTTATCTCCACTGTAGTTCACTTTTTATTTGTAATGTAATTTAATTTCTATGTTGAAGGCCCTTGACTTTGAAGTGTTCCAGGCCCCCTAAGGTCTAAACCCACCCCTCAGTGTTAGGTAAACATTTCTTACCCAAACATCTTCCTGCTAAGAAATTCCTGTCCGTTCGTGTACCTTATCAATTGTCATTTGTGAAAACAATAAATGACTGAACTAAGTAATGCAAGGGATTCTAGTATTTGTTGATATTTTCGTTATTTTATTATATAGTGTGAATATTGTCACGAGTTAAATAAGGAATGTGAACTTAATTTTGTTCTAATATTTGTATGTATTACTGTTCCGGTATCGATTCCCGAGCACATTTCCTTATACCTGATTCTTCTGCTCACCTAGCAGTAAATAGGTACCCGGGAGTTCGGCAGCTGTTGTGGAATTGCCTCCTGGGGGAAAGGTCAGTAGTTGGTCTTTGAAGGACCTCGATAAGGCTTCCTTTCCCAGATAAGGGTTATTATGGTTTGGTTTTGGGTTTAAAGCATGCCAACCCCTAGAGGGTTATTAAAGCCACCACAATAGCTTATTGACCAAGCCAACAAGTATAATTTCCTCCTAAACATATAGGTCACAACTAAATGGAATTATCAGTGTATATTTACTGAAAAGTGCAGTACACTTCTTTACTGTACACACACACACACACACATTCTGAGTACTCTTTAGAGGTGGTACCCCTATTATATATATATATATATATATATATATATATATATATATATATATATATATATATATATATATATATATATATATATGTATATATATATATATATATATATATATGTATATATATATATATGTATATATATATATATATATATATATATTCCTTGAGATAATGGGAATCCAAAACAAAGATTTAAAATACAAACTTTTACACATTAGAAACCCAATTATTAAAGTATACATTCAACTTCTGCGTTTAATTATATTCTTTATATTACAGTGAAATTGTTGTTTCAGATCCGTGCATCTACCACAAGCTGTTCCCGAAGGTGATTCCTCTCCATAAGACCTTCCTTGGCAAGTATATAGTATTTCATGTTTCTCCTGTTGTTATATATTATGGAACTTTATATTAAATATATTTATACTGCAACAAGTGTGGGTTTCTGTCCATTATTATCAATTAATCAGAACATAACGATGCCAACACAGAAGACATTGTTTAACATAACAGGCCAATTACACCTGCTTAATCTTTGTATAATAGGAGCTGCCTCCTATGGGCCAATGGGCCTTCTGCAGTTACCTTTATTCTTATGTTCTTATGTGCTTCGTCCCCCATTTATCCCCTATGTATGCCCCTTGTTTTTACTATTATTAATTAAGTGGCGATGCATTTGTCGTGTCAGATTACCAGAGGACAGTGGCGTCGTTCTCCATCATTAGCCTACTGGTGATGATAATGGGCTTCGTGTTCTCCGTGTACACCTTCCACCACACCCGCTACATGTACAAGCGCCTCGCCGCCTGCAGTCATGTCATCTCTGGTAAACACTGTGCACTGTTTATTGTTTAAGATTTAGCTACTGGGAACAAAAAGTTCCAAGCAGCATAGGCTATGGTGAGCCCGTAGTGGACTTCCCTGGCACAGGAGCGGGGCTGTAACTGTACATCTCTGACTTGGTGGTGTTGTTGTTTCAGATTTAGCTACTCAGACCGAAGTGTCCATGTAGCACGGGCTATGGTGAGCCCGTAACTCGATTTGGTGTACATTATCATACTCTAATATCTCTCCTGTGTCGCCTGATTCTTGTTTTTGCCTCTTCCTTCCACCTCTCTCCTCTCACCGTTACCCGGCTCTCCTCTTCATATTCTCCCCTCTCTCCACCTCTTTCATCTTCTCTCGCTGTTCTTTCCCCCTCTCTCCTCTATCACTTCCCTTTCCTCTACTCTTTCACTTCCCTTCCCTCACTTATCTCTCTCATATTTCATCTGTTCTGTCTTCCTCTCTCTTCACCCTCCCTTCCCTTTTTCTCTCTCCTTTCCCCCTCTCCTTTCCTCCTCTCCTCTCCCTTCGCCCTTTCTCCTAATCCCCTCTCCCTTCCATTTTCTCTCATTCAAAATCTTTTGTTGTATGTCTATCTTTCTTAGTATTGTATCAACACTTATTTAAATAATGTAATTATAGTTATTGATAAATACAATCTTAAATATTTTATGTAGCTTATTATGGCCATACAGTGAGCTCAATCAGTGAACCCGTGTTCGTTTAACTTGAAGAAGTTATTGGTGATTCCAACACTGCTTAGGTGCGCCAGCATGTAGTGTACAGGAAGACACCTAATGAAATCATTAACAAAGCGAGGTGTTAGAGTAGTGATCTATTAACAATAATTAAAGTTACAGTGATGATGAATCGCGAGTAAAAAAATAAATTTTTAGGCAGTGTGAGTTTACATTAGACCTACAGTATATGTATAACCTATATGAGTATTTTAATTACAACCTACACGGTACTTTATTTTAGGTAACGTCATTAATTAACACAAGGTTATTAGTCTGTTAGTCCCAATGTTATATTAGAGATGATTGTCTCAAGAGATTTATGCCTTAAGGCAGTGGGGCATTTTAATTAGTAATGAATTAGCCTCGTCATGGCGTGATTCCAGCCTCAGAAATACTCCCTAGCTGGCTGTGTTCTCATCGTGCTAGAGGTGTCTGTATCCCTGTACCACTTTGAGGAGGCTAACCTGCCCAACCGGCAACCTCCTGGCTCAACTTGGAGCTACGGCTTCTCCTTCATGCTGGCTTGGGTCTCCTTCATTGCCGAGGTGAGTGTGTTCTTCAGTATGCTGGCATCAGCTCTGTACCAAATTTATACTGTCAGCAAGTTCTTGTCTTCAGTATTTCAAGCTTTATGGAAACATTTGCCCTAAACAGATTAATTTTATTTTTGCTGTAGTGTATATTTCGTTTGACTAACTCTCACAACTTACGCTTTTAATTATTACGTTTCTATCTAATAATTGATTTAATAATTATTTTAATTTTATAGTGACTGGACCACACACGGCAAACTAATAAACCTCACATAATCAAGTGGTTCATTTATTATAATTATTTTACTCTTCGAGTTACCCATCTTCAGCTCTGCCAGCCACTACCATTCAGGCAGGAGGAATAGATTCAACCATTTTTGTCTTGCAACTTTGACCTATTCTCATTCCTTATACCTGAGTTGACCTGTTGGCCTCATTAAGCAAGCAGCTTATTATAAAATAACATGGTGGGGGCAGTAAGCTGTTGTCTTGTGAAAGGGTTCCCCATTTATACTGATTATTATGATCAGGTGAATTTGAACTTTAGTACTATGAACTAGTACTAGTACTAGATTAGTATTGGAACTAGTACTATGAATTTGAACTTTAGTACTGTCCTAGCTCTGATAATGTCACTGGGTTGGCGTTTAGCAATTTTAATATTAGAAATCCCCTATATATCCAACCGACTGGCAGTGGGGGAAGAGATTAGACATATGAGTTATCAATCTGTCTCTATACAAGATAATCTGTCCGAGGCTGTAGGCCAGACGCTTGAAGCTAGCCTCACCCATCTTTTCTGGATGACACATTGGTGGTAGGTACCTGTCATAGGCAGTTGGGTCGGCCCTAGTGGCTCTCTATAATAAGATCGGCTCTTACTGCGACGCCTATGAAATCTGAAAGGGCTTGGCTTTTCAGATAGTTTTTAACAGATTTTCAACTATACAACACCCACAACCTAATCACGACGTTATAACTATGGTAAAAAATAACGTTGTGGTTACGTTGTATATTTGCTGGGCGCGTATATTGCATGTTCTGAGAGAGAGGGAGGGGGAAGGGAAGGGAGAGGGGTGATGTAGGAGAAAGAGGGGGGAGGGGAGAAAAGGGGTAAGGGGGATGATGAGGGACGGAGAGGACGGTGGGTAAAGGAGGAAAGGAGGGAGGCAGGGGAGAAAAGAAGGGGAAGTGAGGGAGGCAGGGGGGGAAGAGGAGAGGAGGGAGGAAAGGGTAAGAGAGGGGAGGTGCAGAATAACTCCATCAGGGCGTTTGTGACTTGTCAGATCTGCATATTTGAGGTTCCCACTGTGCTGGACACTTAATGATGTCACTTACTGCTTCATGTCTAGCAATCTTCCTCTCAGACTTACGACAGTGAGACCATGGTGCTTGTAGGATGCTGTTCACCTTTGTCATGTTCATATAGATTCAACCTTAGCTTCTAAGATCTATCCTTACTCTCTGGCTCCACAACCATCTTATGGATATTCATCTCTCTCTCATACCATCCCTGAATTTTATAATGTAAATTAAACAATCAAATATAGATATGTTGCTAAATCCCTAATCAAATAATGTTTGTCTGTCACAGGCAGCTGCAGCAATTGCTTTCGGAATTTGTTCACGCAAGAGGAAGAAGGATAAAGCTCCAGACGACCGATATGCTATTGAAGAGGAACCCACTATCATCGGTCGATAAGGCGGTAGTGGAATATGCCTTGAATGCAAAACAACAAATTCAGCTGTTTAATCCTCTTGAATCCAGGCTTTCATAAATTGTAGATGCTGTTTGGAGGTGTTTGACATACATAAGAGGGCCACATATATTTAAAATAATACTCACACAAACTGAAGTTGACAATTTTTTAGAAGAATTTTGCTCTTTATCCACAGTAAATTTTTTCGTTAAACTTTATGACACGTATTGGTGCTATTTAGTGTCATATTTGTTGAACACAAGTGTCAGGTCATTTCCTGCACACAGAGTCCCTACTGTTAAGAATTTTATACATTGTTTTATATGTCCTCAAATTTTTGTTGTTGCCATTGTCTCGTGCACACCTTTAATACATACTTGTAAATTTTGTGCTAAGTTATTGGAATTTTTTTATGATGGTCGGATTTTGTTATATTCTATAACACAGATGCCTTATTCCCCCAGGAACACCGCTCCTGGCCACAGTGGTAAGGCCTTCAGGCAGGTCTAACCAACTTAGTTATAGCCTGATCGGTTTTTATTCCATGTTGGTATCTTTACTGTATGTAATCCTTCATGCTCTCTTTACACAATTTTGGCAGTTTATGTATTACTGTAACTTGTACTCCACTATTGTATATTTTCCTTGCAAGTTTATCGTTGAAGTTGATGCATGGCAATGCTGAGTTGACACGTTGTTCAGTAAGGAGAAAATATTTTTTTCGTTAGGATTTATGGTGCACCCTTTCATGTCTGTACAAGACAAGAGGCATAACAAATAACTATAGAAAATATATATATATTGCATAAAACTAAAAAAAAACACTATATTAAATTATAAAAAATGTTCACTGCCTCTTAATTTTACATCATCAGATTCAGAGACTTTCCCGGATCAAAATCCCTTTGAACACATAGTTCATGTAACATGAATCGAATTTCAGCAGAATTTAAAATGCTTGCCAACAAGACATCTCTTTATAAACATAAATTCCTTAATAATGTCAGATATCCAGCTTATGTTGTACAGTATTTCCTTTCAATCGCGTTATATTTCTACCAAAGTTAGATTGGACAGTGATAAGCGAATTGTTGAAAAAATAAGACTTTTTATTCGCTGGATAAGAAATTTCCTTCAAACAAAAGGCTATCATTCACCTTTTGAATTATTTCTTCAAGTTTAGGTATGGACATCAGGTTAAGCAGCAAGATATTGCAAAGAGTGCGAGGATGGTTTCCTACGATACGTCTTGAATGTTTCCTCCATTCACAATTTAGTTTAGTAAAGTCAGTATTTCGCAGGTCCCTTAGTTAACATCGATGACTGACAATTAAATTGGTTTACTTTCGACCAGCTATCAAATGATCAAATTCATTCATAAGATATGACAATATTCTGACATAATTTAATTCATTGGTATAATTCTCAGTTTTCTGATATCAAATATACAATAATTACTTTAAAGTAAAATATTTAAAATATGAAAATGAGTCGATTTTAATTATATAAATTTAATGTTTACGACCGTGTGATTATACGATATGTTTATAACATTTCTTCTTCCATATACAGTACAGTAATCCAGTGCTGTATTGGGCACATTGGATGTCAAATATATAATATTAAATTAGAAGTAGCTAAATTAGACTAGTCATTCTTGCCTGAATGGTTTAGTAAAACAAAATATAGTACAACGCTATTTTAGAGCATAACATTACAACAACTATAATATTTTAATATTTAAAGTTGTACATTATTAAGAAGACTTCAAATGTTAGTTGAGGGGTTCAGTAGTGGATGAGACTCCTACACTAACACAGTACTACCAACTATCTACTCCTACACTAACACAGTACTACCAACTATCTACTCCTTCACTCTACAACGGTAATCACCAATTCTCTTCCTTAATGTTTACATAAATTTTATTTAAACTTTTTTTTTTGCTAAACAAAAAAACTGAATGTGCTACTTCATTATCTGTAAATATAAATTTGTTTACAAACATATATGGTGTTCACATATTTTACAATTTAAATATTTATTGTTCTTTAATTAAAGATTTTATATTTATGAATGTTGCAGATTTTGTTATGAAATATTATTCTGTGATAGAAGTAAATATTAATGAACTTAAACTTTCTCGATGGTAATGTTCTCTGCTTCAAATGACAATTAATAACGATAATTCGCTGATTACAAGAAAACTGTCGAAGCTGGTAATTATTTAACTATTATTGTTGCAGATGTTAATGACATTTCCTTATGTACTGCTGTAGGGTTGATAATATTATTTGTACATTCAACCCCATCAAGCTCATAATAAGTTTGTTGCATAGTTCTTGTTATAAAAACAGTTGTGAAAATTATGTATACATTGTGAAAGTTGTGCTGGTACACTCCTTAATATCAATACACTGTATTGAATACCATTACTGGGTACCAGGATATAATCTGTTGTTCATCCAGCATACTTGACTTCTGTCCTTCAGGCAAAAAGCTTAATTGTTAAGAATAAATCTAAACTATCATTAAATATTTTTGGAATAAACCAGTGGATTACCTACTGACATTAGTGCATTTTTAGCAAGCTCACGACAAGTTATTTAATAGCTTTGATGCCAAATTAACATTGCCAATCATTAATATACCAATCAAGTAGCCCCATCAGGCATAATGACTGGGCGTTAATGGCATCAATTCACACATTTTATCGGTTTTTATGCACGCATCCATACACCACCCCTTCCCTGATACTAACACAGCTTCCCATAAAATAAAAACACCTACAACATCATGCTGTCATCCCATTTTCGGGTAAAAAGTGGAAGCAGTGTTGCCATGGGATAATCTCAGATGGCGATCCTTTAAGGTTGCCATGGTCCAGCTCAGCATACTAGTACCTGTACTTTTTGTTGAACATTTTACTCTTGCTATATTATATGCAGTAGATATATCATACAGTATATATATATGCTGTATATACTAATATTATACATCTTTGTTTATTCAGAATGTTATAATGCAATGTTATATATTGTATATCCTTGGTTCATACAGGGTTTTCCGAGGGAAGCTCAGTTTGTTAGTAGAAACCTATATCTTACATAATTCATGTTCTCATCATTTTTGTTTTCTGTTACTGTTGATGTTCTTGTTCCTATTTCCAATTTTACATGTTTGTTATGATATCTATTTACTTGTTAATTACTATAAGTTTGTTATACTGTATTGTATTTAGAAAGTATTTTAACAAAGAAAATTTTTAATACGTAACCAAAAATTGGCAGGGATAGCATTAGTGAGCATATAACACAAAGGGACACCACAAATTATATCATTGATTAAGCAATGCGGCACAGGTTAAATATTTTAGTTAAAACCCCACTGCCAAAATATATATTTGAATAGTAAGAAATTTAAGTTACACAATTTGTTTGTGTGTGGTAGCCTACCATAGTAGGCTTCATGATAGTAGCCTATCATGGAGCAGATAGGCTACTTTACTACTCTGGCTACGAGAACTACACACCTTGATAGCTTCCTTACAAGAGATAGCCGCACGCGCAATATGATCTACTGCATCTTGTATAGCGTTCAAAAGATTGTTATTTGCTTAGCTAAAGGAACTAGGGGGTTCAGTTCCTTAACCGATTATGTGCCCCTGTAACCCTTTACACCACCGCCCACGGGATGGGTATGAGGCGCACAATAAAGAAAGAAATTGATTTGTATAGCGCTGTGTAATGAGAGTCTAGTATAATAACGTGGGTCCTGTAGCACAGTGCTCTACATTCTTGACTCACAAACGAGGGACCTGGGTTTAATCCTCGAGGACAGAAACAGTTGGGCACGTGTATTTTCACCTGATGCTGTAAGATAGTTCACCTAGCAGTAAAATACTCTGGAGATGGACCATTGTTGTGGGTTGCATCCTGGAGAAAGTCAGAAGTTGATCTAAGGGGACCTCGATAACCACAAGTACAGACTCATCCTCGACGACGAAAATTAATAAATAAATAAGCAGCAATTCAAACAGCAGAGAAGTATAAACTCAATGAAATTAAAGAAATACATCAACATGTATATTTTATAATAAAGCTTCATCAGGCAGATATTCCCCCTAGTAACTTTAGTGTTATAAAAGCACTATTGCACCAAATCACTAAATAAGAAAGAATGCTATGACAGAGGCTGACAAGAATTTCATGTCCCGGGGGATGGGACAAAGCAAATAAAACCAAATGAATGCCTTCCTCCTCCTCCTCCCCCCACCCACCCTCCCCGAAAAAAAAGACATGAAATCTGCCACAATTCAATATTCCCGGGAAAGAAATGTCAAGGCTCTACCACTAACTCCGTCAAATGTTAGTCAAGGACAGAAACACAGTAGCACCTCACACTAGAGCCACAGATATGAACACAAGCAAGATACTTAGCACTTCCACAAATATGATAATATCGTTCATATTTGCAAACTTACAGGGTATCAAAGCTCGCAAAAACAAAGTCCGTTTCATAACCAGCCTCCTAAGTGAGGCAAGTGCAGTGTTTTCAGTCTTAACTGTAACTCACACAAAGTACTGCTGTGATAATGAAATATAAATACCACTAAAAAGTATATTTGGTTAATATACTTGCTACACAAGTTACAAAATTTAACTTGGTTATCAAGACTATTCCTTGCTTTAGGGTTTAGTTCCTGAACCCATTATGTGCCTGTAACCGTTACTACTATCGCCCGCTGCATAAATAAGAAATGACTTGCTGGATAACAAGATCCTGTCACACAAGAAGTGCTAGACCAACCATGGTAATATTAAGAAACTATAGTGCTCTCTAGGGTGGAAGTCACACGCAATCAGCCCCATTCATAGCTGGATAAATTGCAGATACAAATAACGTCCAGAGATCTTTTACTGGCCGAATCAATTCATTAGAACATTTTAAGCGTTTTTGGAAAGCTTAAAACTTGTAAACCTGTATTCTCTAGAACACTGTCGAGAGGGGTACATACACAAATTACACTTCGGAAATATTAGAGGGCCTGCTTCCAATCTGCGTATGAAAATAAGTCTTTATGAGACCAGGAGGTATAGCACAAAGTGCAAAATAGCTTCATTGATAAGCAGAGGTGCAATACGTATGTATATGGGAGGAGACAATTCTACCAACAGTAAGGGTCCAAGACCTTCAACACTTTGCCTCTATACAAGGGGCCTAACCGACTGCGAGCAGCGGTGTATACCAGCCTGAATGACAAGGTCACCAATCTCAAGGCCAGAGACCGGGCCGCTGAGACATTGATCCCCTGAAGCAGTTACATGTTAGGTAGGCATCACAAAACATCAGCTACTAACAAGCTTCAGTATGTACACTTTATAACATTACACTTGTATAGTCTACGTAATAAAGATTAATGTATTCGCCATAAATCTTAGCCAAATATCCCCAGTTTGCTAACTGTAGGTAATAACTAAGTGATTGTAACCTATCCACCGCTGCCCACTGGATGGGGGCGGTGTACAGGACAAACACATCAATTGTGACACTAGCTCTCCACATATGTCAGTTGCTTGATTTAGGAACTGTACTTGTGGTCGGTCTCGAGCCCGTTGTTGATGTGACGATGTGCATTGAATTTTGTGACTAGCTCATCAAGATTGTAACTTGTTTAGCTAAATGAATTGTTTGGTTCAGTCCCTGAGTCCATTATGTCCCTCTGTAACCCTTTCCACTACCGCCCACAAGATGGGTATGGGGTGCATAATAAATGAACTAAACTAACACCATACAATATTGTTTTCTTATATGTGACTCCCCCTTTTCAAGTGATGTCAAATTTCAAGTTATTGTCTTCATTTAAGCTGAGGATGCTAGGAATAAAATACCTTTGATGTATAAATATGCAGTACAGTACAATATACTGAAATATTAAACTGAATTCAATCATTTTCTATAAGAGGGGCCCCCATCAGAAATAATAATCATAATTTATTCACAAGGTACAATGGGTTGGCGAGATTATTTATATAAAGAGTTCTTACATTCTCGTAATGCCACTAGCTTGCATAGCGTTTCGGGCAAGTCCTTAATCCTAAATTTTCCCAGGAATACGACCTGCCAAATCGTTTAACGGTATCCATTCACTGCTGGGTAAACAGAATTTAATTGTCAGGGGAAAGCGCCAAGCCATTACAACTTTATAGCACTGGGAAGGGGTCAGGTTAAGGATTTGGGATGGGACGGGGGGAAGGAATAGTGCCTAACCACCTTAATGGTCGGGGATTGAACGCCGACCTGCATGAAGCGAGACCGTCGCTCTACCGTCCAAATTGGCTGTGAACAGAAGCTACAGTTAAGGATTGGCACCCGGTCAATCCTCCTCGGCCAGGATACGAATCCTGGGCAAAGCGTTCGTAAGCGCCGGGCAAGTGTTTTACCACTGCGCCACTGGGACGGCAAATTGCACAAGATTGGTATTTGTACATTCTTGCAAAGCCACTAACTCATAGCGTTTCGGGTAGACAGTAGGATCTAGTCATGCCGTAGGCCTCATAAATCGCACCCTTCGGATCTGCCGCTCTATGAGGCTTGGGGATCAGAAATCAAACAACTAAAATCAAGAAAAATCCCACCAGAAAACACAATCGAAATATAAAGAATTACATACCTTCTGGAAACAGGCCGAATGATCGTTAGGTGTACAACCTCACAGTGATACACAAGACCCTTGACGGGTGGCGGACTGTTATCTGGCGCTGCAATCCGCCTGAAGGCAGCCCAGGTCACTTCGGGATATAGTCCGCCAGGTGGCAGCCCAGGTCACCTGGGATGTCAGTCCACCAGGTGGCAGCCCAGGTCACCTCGGGGTTACAATCCACCAGGCAGCATAAGGGAAGTTGGCAAACATAAGAACGTTACTTAAGAATCTGAACAAGGAAACTGTCAATACACACTGCTTATGTGAGATCATTTCTAGAGTATGCAGCTCCAGCATGAAACCCACGCCTTGTGAAGCATAAACACACTTGATAAAGTTCAGCGGTTTGCACTAGATTAGTACCAAAATTGAGATGCCTCAGTTATTAGGGCAGATTGAGAGAACTCAGTTTCACAATCTTAGAGTAGAGAAGAAACAGGGAATATTATAACTATAAACAAGATTTCGAGGGGAATTGATAAAGTGGGTAAAATAAGCCTATTTAAATTAAAAAGGGAGACAATGGTAGAAGATGGACACGCAATTGAGTGGAAGAGATGTAACGAAGCTTTCGTTTCCTGTATGGGTGGTAGGAAAGTGCAATGCATTGAAGGAAGAGGTTCTTGAAACCGATAACATCCACAACTTTAAAATGAAATATGATGAAAATGTTATCCCCTCTCACCAGCAGAGGTGAGAGGGGATAATTAGCATGCCAGGTATAAATGGGTAGGCGGGGCATAAAGAACTAGAGCTTTTAACACACGATTTTGGGTGACAACATTCAACGAGTCCTATTTTGTTTATTTAATATACAGTATTGTAGTTTGGTTACAGCAGTTGGTTGTTGGAAATGGCACAATGGTGTCGTGATAGGTTGCGACGAGGATGCTTGTTACGCGCTGCTGGTGGAGTCAGGTAGGACGTGGTACTGAAGGTGGCAGGTAGCAGAGAGCTAGTACGAGAACGGGGCAGAGCGCTTAACGGGTAACAGCAGATAGCTCGAATGTGGCCGGAAGTGGCACTTTTCTATAGCAAGAGTTGTAACGTCTGGTGAAGGTGGGTAATATCCTCTAACTTTAAAATCTTATGTTTTGATTTAAATCAGCCCCATCATGTCTGGTTTGCAGTGTTGTTAGTCTGTGACCCCTCATCTAATCCTGGTATATCACCCGAGTAAAATATATGACCAAGAGATGGGTATTTAAGCATTCTAGAATCTATTTATAAGCCTCAGATATTTTCAAATTAATTTTTTTTTAGTACTCTCACCATTTGAAGCCATGATTAATTTTAACTATGAAAAGAACATATTTCTAATTAAAAATATTTTTGAATAGGACAAATTATTTATTGTTTGTACTTTCTAACTAAAATACAACCTGACATGAGTTGTATGTTTATACCAAATTTCATAAAAAATAGGTATTGTGTAGCTGCAAAGAAATAATTTCCAAAAATATTAACAAAAAAATTACTGGTGCTACATAGCATTTCCAGCTTTGTGCCTTCTTTTGATACTTACAAGTTTTATAGGCTGCACTTTGATCCTTGGTAGGGACATGGCCAGCCGACAAAATATAGTGTCGCAGCCAAGGATTCAGACATACAACAGTACTGGTATACTGCCATATATATTGTGTGTATAATTAGATAAGGGTAGAATGCAGATGTAAATTAAATCTTATGATATACTATAATTCAGAATTTTAAAAGAGCCTGGCATTATACTTTCAGGTCAACTTTAGGACATTATATCCTTTATTACACTGGGTATAATGTGCTGAAGCATTTAAAAGTATTGACATTCAATACAAATGTCTCTGAAATGCCAACTACCTAACCTGAGGTAATGCAGCTCATTAAAATCTGGTTTCAGTAAAACATTTTATTGCTCTAAATATTCTTTTAATTAAATTTACATCCTCAATCAGGAATGAGATTTTTAAAAAATTCAACATATACATGTAATGAATCCCAAAGCACTATAATACATACCATACTTTGGGTTCTAAGTCTTAAAATATACATTGCAGAACAGAAAGTAAAACTTTCATTGGTATGTAGATATAAACACTAACCTTGAATTAAAATTGGAGTCGAGCTACATTGGTTTACACACAATCCAGAAAAGCAATATCACTACATTTCTTAAATATGCAGGAGCTTGTTAACTCTTTGCCTTATGCCCAGTAACATTCTGAATATCACTGCACAACGATGTTGAATATATTCTATACAATACATTATTATCACAGGAATTAATGATTAATTAAAAATATATAATAAAAGGAATATTACAAGAGCTCTGCAGCAAATTTACAATAAATTTTCACATTCCCTTGCCACAAACTGAATTTATTTTCATTAAAATTTGAGAAATAAACTACACAACTTCAATGTAATTCTTCCTTGTATACAACAGAAGTAGTAAGGACTAATTACTATACATTAAACTGTTGTGATCAAATGTAAGTGTGATTGTGTTAGGACCATCACCACTAGTTACATCGAAGTGTTATCCACACTTCCGTGGTAATAAACATTTCGTTCACCTGGGCTCTAGGAGACTCGAACCTTGAACCCCAAACCTCTGGGGCCCATGGATAGATCCTCAGCCTCACACGGGTGGGTCCATGCTTCAGAGCTCCTACATCCCAGGTGAAAAAACTAGTCACATCACCAAACCATTACTGCAACATATTAAAAGCATCATTTCAGCTTATGAAAGATGTTTACTTTGTGATTCTATCACAAACCACTCCACATATGTGATGTCTTGTTCAAAAGTTTTCATAGTAAACAAATATGCAGTATATATCACATTACCACTTCCTCCAGTGTAACCTACAGGCAATATACATTTGGTTAATCATCCTAAAAATTTATTTTTAAAAGAATGTGTTTGCAAATACTGTACCTGAACACAACAGGAAACGGTTCCTTGGGCTGATGCAACACAATTTTAAAACTGTTTAATTACTAAAGTTGTTTTGACCTATTATTAAAGTACCTTACCAAAGTATTTAAACCTTCAAAAACATGCACTATATACATAAATATTCAATACAGATATTTGACAAATTAAGAGAAACAATGATACCAAATTGCCAAATCATTTTCTTTAGCTAATCAACAATTCAGTATTTAATTATATTCAGCACAGGCTATAAAGCAAAGTAAATTTTGAAATACCAGTAGCAGCATGAAATTTTACCACGAACACTAACAGGTACTACACGTGTGGGTCTGATGCAGTAGTTGACTGCAATATTTGCAAATAAATATTATTTTTTTTCCTTCAATAAACCATTAAGTAAACTACATTAGCTAAATTTACCAACCAATTAAAAAATAAGATAAATGGCTTCATATATATACAGATATAGAGCAACAGAGCCATTTGAGGAAATATAGTAATCAACCTAAGAGGTCATAGTTATGAATTATGACCCCTAAAGTTTACAAGACACTTCCTAATACCTCACAAGATTCTTCATGAAATTCTGATGTACTTAATATTTAACTTGCCACCCCATTATATAATATAAACTTAACAGGTACAACAACAGCCAAGAGGAAATGTTCCCTGATGTGATCTATTAACTAATCATTACCAGGAGAGATGTACTTCAACAGTGCTGTAAAGCATATTTTGTGGAGAACACAGATGTGACAAAATATGCAAGAAGGTAGATCAAATATAACAGGAAAAACAATAGAGTACTGCACATGTTCTATAAACTGTATATGCTAGTGGTGACAATGATGCATATTTCTAATGGTCATAATACCATTTCATTATATAGTTTCGAGAAGGCTGCCCCTCTAAAAGGAGATGCAGAGAAAAACAGTTTCAATTTTTCTGGCATGCATGATTCTTACACAGTATAAGGCTAACAAGTGTTTATTACTTTTTAATGTTATGTTTAAAAGACAATGTATTAAAAATAAAAAAATAAAAAGTAAACAGATGACAAAATGCCCAAAAAGATCAAAATACAATAGGGAATGCATTACAATAATGTGTCTTAGATTCTTAAAAAATATATATACAGTATAACAATATACCGTTTGTTTTTTTACACGTGTGTTTTCCAAGTATTACCTATCATCTAATAACACTGAAGCTCTCCTAAAACCTCCTGGAAGAGTTACAATCAACTCTTAGAAATAAAGACAACATTTGTTATCCTCTTGAACTCTCCTACATCTTAACACCTCAAGTCACATGTACTTGGTTATATACAAACATAAAATATTAATACAAAATACAGGCCATAAATCACTTTCATCCTTATTCCTCATTCTATATTTAATGAATAACTTTTACCTACCTAAATACAGCACAATTTCTTCACTATCCAGCAAGCCGATACGTGCAGAATCCCCTTCTATTTATTCAAATCCTCAAATAACTTTCTGTATTCCTCCACCTTGTACCCTCTTACTCCCTTCCTCCTTCACACTCGTGTCTCGTTGCCTCACTAAAGTAAGAGATAAAAAGGGTAATATAAACCTAAATAAGCATAATATCCACTATAGTCTGCTAGATGTTTAAACCATCTCTATAAGAGCTGTGGTCTTTGCAGTAAAGGGTCAGAGGTGGAGAAGCAGGCCACACTAGACAGACATCAGGCGATCACTAGTGGCTCATCATCGGAAAATCCACGAATCATGGGGGAGTCATCATCTTCATCTGAAATGTAATTGCAGTTTTTTACCATTATGAATTTAATATTATTATATTGTATGACTTTTTCTTCCTAATATGCAACTATCAAACTAAACAAATACTCACCAACATCCCCCATAGACAGAATCTAAGCCCCAGTTATGTTAAAAAATGTGTGTGAAAAGATATAACAAAACATCTATTGGTTCGAGACTTACTTGTCAACTACGAAAGGAGAAATACTGTGCATCAAGTTCTATCTGGATACATGATATTAAGATAGCAAAGCTTTGCTAATCATGCTTTAACATGTATCATGTTCTGGTGGAAACTGGCATGGAAATTGACAGGAAAAGAAGGGTAATGAGCCCTGCCTTGCTACTACTATAACAATAATGCTGTGACTACAGTTGCTACTGCCATGCCCCTACCAGCAGGGAAACTTCAACAATCTCACCAATTGCTACGGTTCCTGCTGGCACATGAAGCAGAACTTGGCATCGTTAGTAGTTAAAAAATTAGTTTAATATGCATTTAAGATATAGCTTGATTGGTATTTTGTGACTATTAAATGTATGTATTGAATATGCAAGTATAACATCAGAAGCAATTTATTTGAATGTCCTAAGGCTCTTGGTTCTCCCCTTCACAAAGCTTTTAAATCCGAATCTAGATTATTGTGTGTATAGCTATAGTGGCTACATTTTCTGTTATTATGAACTTTGCTTATGTAAAAAAATGTATCAAGATTGTATGTAAATTTATCTATAAATGTACAACCATTTATGAACACAAATGTTTTATTTGATTTGGTTAGCAAAAAAGGCCTGCACTATACTTTTATGTAGACTTATAGGTTTCTTGTCATTATTTCTTGTAGTTACAGTATCCCCTAAGCAGTTCCTCTTCCCCAAGTGTACTGAACTTCTAACATAAGGTTTTGACTAAAATCTCCCTGTAAACTACATTTTTTTTCAAAGACAGTTTAGATGATAAAAATATTGAGGCAATGTGATCATATCAAATTCTATACTCCAGCGATTTTCCCTTTACAGTATATGCAAATAAATGGGTATGCGGTGATGCCCAGGTCATTCTCATTCTCTCTCTTGCTCTCTCTCATTCTCATTCTCTCTCTCTTTCCTCCCTTCCTCACTCCTCTCTTTCACACCCTCCCCCTCTCTCATACTTCCCCCTTCTCTCACTCACTCCCCCCTCACATTCTCTCCACCTCTCTATTTCCCACCCTCCCTCTCTCCCTAGAGAGGGGGGTGTTAGAAGAATTGGAGAGGGAAGGGGGTTGGGCGGAGAGGAAGAAGGGTTTAGAGAAAGAAGATGCAGACCATAATATGGGATGGGACACCCATACATTTGTTACAACTAAAATCAGGCATAGACAATAATTTACAATTCACTGCATTTACATGAACACCGATAACAGTAATATAAGAAATATACAGAGTATACAAACTTACCCAAATTGTGATCTGTTGTAATTAGTGTGGTGCCTTGTGAACGGTCATAGTGGGTGTTGGCAAAGGTGAGGAACGAGCGTGCCAGTCGTCTATGCCTCACCGCCAATACCGCTACAACCACAATTAAGGCCCCCACTACTAGGAACACTGACACGCCAACCCCTGCTATACTCTTCTGTGACAACACTACTTCATCACCTGTGAATATAAAGTGGTAACTGAGAGGGAGCAGCTTTACCATATTGCTTTTTGTAATAGATAATTCATTACTATCAACAGCATCAAAAAACTAAATTTATAGAACATGACACACAAATCTATGTATGCCAGGCTATAATATCTACTAAATGCTACTTTGAAATCAAATGAAATAGACTAGCAAAGTTTGACCTTACCCAGGGGTTTCTCAACTCGTATGAATTGAGAGTGTTCTGAAAGATAACCATCAGCATCCTTGAGAGCAACAGCAGCGTAATAAATGACTCCTAATGACAGGTCATTTACAATCAAAGGAGGAGCAGTGCACTCGTAGGTTTTTGCGTCACTCATATTTCTGTGCCTTGCAATGTATAAAACATAGCTGATGCTGAAAAGAATTTTTGTTTACAATATTTAGTGACAATGTAATGTACCAGACAGCATTATTAATGACAAATTAGTATAGGAATTAAAAATGTTGCAATCAAAAGAGCACTACAAGACTTCTAAGCAATTCAAAATACTGAATTTCATTTATAATTTGAATGTAAATACACTATAAATTCAATCAACAGGTTTTGATTTATTAGCCACTATTTGGGTACCCATTGTTGTTCAGGTGAAAAACGAAAGCCACATCTACCCAATAAATGACCATCACTGTAACTATCTTTATTACGTCCTATCTAGACGACGTCCACACCTTGGTCACGTTCTGTTCTCGGGAGCTTATAGCCGTCTCCCTCTCAAGCTGTAGAGCACCAGTTTTGTCTGCCCTCTTTACCCGTTTCCCCATTTCCCAAAGTTAACCATCAATCATTTGTCTGACCACTCTTGCAGTTATTTACATCCTCCTGCAGTACTATTTAAAGTAATTCTCATTTGTTTATATATTTTAGTAGATGACACAAAGGTTGGCAAGAGACTGCTGTTCTATTCTGCATGACCTCAACCATGTCTGCAACTATCCCTTTCTCTTATCTTCAGTGTGTTACTAGTTGTGTGTGTGCTAAATATTATGATGTATTTTTTTTTTTTGAGAGACATGAGGGAGGGAGAGGGAAGGAGTAATGTAAGGTGATGGGGAAGTGGAGGGAGAGAGTGATGCGAGATGATGGGGAGAGGATGGAGAATGGTTTAAGGGTTGGTCTAGTCTGGTCATCTGATATAGTATGCCTCATCCAGTATATGTACATGTTCATACACACAGTATATGTATGTATATATATATCTTTCATTATCCATCTATAAATTTATATCACCATCCATCCACCCATCAATCTATCTATATCTCCATCTACATGCTATCCCCCCATAATCTCCATTTGTTAGGAAACTTACAGGCAGGAGGGTCAATAACTCGGCACAGGGTTTTTGTAATTGCACGAAACTTGCACTCTGGACACAAGTAATGTTGAAGATACACTATGAAAATGCTTGAGTGAATAGTAGATGGGTGAATGTTGTAGGTAAGTTCTTGTAAACCATTAGTGATTTATAAGAATGAGTGCAGACTCTTGAAAACTGAAGACTAAGGAGAGAGGATTCAAGGGGATCTCCGGCCGAATCGTAAATTCACTCAAAACACACAATACTACAGAATAATAATATAATATGATGATATAAAACAGAACATGTGCACAACTTTTAAATACATTTGTAAATGACAATTTACTTAAAGAATTAAAGTTTCATTTAAACTGATAAAATGCTAATCAATTTTAATGTGCCTTAATCTTAAAATGAACTATGTTAATGCTACTGTATGAGCAACAGAAAAGTGACACTTGTATTAAAAATAAAATTTATTAAAGAAAAACTTACTTTTTTGCTAAAATGTCATGTGAAAGAGTGCGATTTCTTCTCCAAAAGAATGATCCATCACTAGGATTGTAAGTCAAATCATAAGGTGGAGGGATGACAGGACCAGGACAAATAACTGGCCGGCTCAAGCGTGCACGTGCCAAAGATGTGCATACGCTGATGGAGTAGAGGCCACCCCAGTGAGCACGGACAGAGTGGCGCTGAGTGTGGTTGTCCTGCTTCTTTAGCATATAATTTGACGTCTCTCTACGAATAATATCCGTGATGATAAGCTGTTTAAAAAAAAAAAAAATTAATGTAGATAGAGGTTAATGTAACATGTGTATTTAAACAGTCAATCCTAACCATAAAATTATATTAGTATTACTCGGGCACAGTAAACAATGTCAGGCCTTGAGCAAACATGAAAAGATCCTTTATGAACAGCATTCAGTTGGTTTCTAGGAAAAATTTGCTGTCACATGGCCAGGATCATGCACAGTCTGGCATGATATTATATTTTGGTGCTAGACAATTTTCAGTCATCCATTGATGAGTGAAGGAGGTGAGGCAATAAACAAGCAGGAGAGAGGTGAGGAGAAGAAAATCTTAAGAGGAAGAAAAGGCAAGGCAAAAGGTACAAAAGGTAAGGTGTAATAAAGGGGGATAGTAATAGGAATAAGAACATAAGAGCAAAGGTAACTGTAAAAGGCCCATCTTCTTGAGGTTATCTAGAGATGATTTCGGGGCTTTCGTGTCCCCGCAGCCCGGTCCTCGACCAGGCCTCCACCCCCAGGAAGCAGTCCGTGACAGCTGACCAACACTCCAGGTACCTATTTTACTGCTAGGTAACAGGGGCATAGGGTGAAAGAAACTCTGCCCATTGTTTCTCGCTGGCGCCCGGGATCGAACCTGGGACCACAGGATCACAAGTCCAGCGTGCTGTCCACTCGGCCGACCGGCTCCCAAGGTAAGCTTATGTTAGGTCATGTTTGTAAGAAAGTAACATTACAGAAGAGAGCATTGTTTGTGTCTGCAGACTTAACACTTCTTTTGTGTTCTTTAAGTCTGTCATTAAGTGTATGGCCAGTTTCACCAAAGTATTGGAAATGACAAGACGAACAGGAAATAGAGTAGACACCAGCAGCATTAGAAGCAGGAGCAGCAGTGTGAACTAGATTGCTACGAAGTGTGTTAGTTTGTCGAAAGGCGAGCTTTATGTCAAGAGGACGAAAGGTATTGGTAAAAGTTTTAAGTTCAGATATGAAGGGAAGGCATAGTACAGTGCTACTAGTGTTGGACTGCTTCCAACACTGATGAAGGAAATTTCGTTTAGCTTGAGAATAGGCACAATTGATAAAATGCAAAGAGTAACCAATTCGAGAGAATGATTTGTAGATAAAGACAATTTCAAAACGAAACGTCGTCGTCCCTTCACTTTCTAGTGTGCGATTTGGTCAACAAATGTACAGTACTTGTGTGTATTTTTCTGGGCTGGATTAAGTGATAATTTCCTAGCACATTATTATGGGCATGCTGTAAGGAGAATTGAAGATTCCCTGGAGGCACCAGGCCAAAATGTAGTCTTGCCTGACTATTCATAATCTTGGTCATATGACAATAATTGACCTCAAGGGGAAACAATGTCATAACTCAAAACATTACTACTGTACAACATTACTTAGTGATTTTCGGTAGTTAATCGCAACATTTGTCTTGCAAGTACAGTATATTCTCACGAGTTCTTACGTGCTCTCAAGGTGCTTACTGTGCAGGGTCATTGTGAGGTCATATTAAGAAACTTTTTACCACCCTCTCTTCTTTTCTCTTTATTCATCTGAAAAAGGGCGCTAAGTAAGACCTGTAAACCCATTTAAAAATTATTACAAGACAAATTTTGAAGGAAAACACCAAGAGAGATTTTCATTCCACTCAGCATCCTATTCTTATGACTCACATCCCAAGTATTGGAGCTGATGACCTTTGCATCACTTCATCATACATATTGACTGCATACACAATTTTCTTTTTTTTCCACCACCACATCTTTGCATCTTTTAGTCTACATTCACTTTCAAGACTATTCTCTCACACATCAATAAAATTCTCAGAGTGTGAAAGAGATTAATGTACACTAAGTAGAGAACTATCTCAATACAGTTCATCAAACTTCACTTACTTCAGCTATGCCTATGCTGTACAATTTGTTTACATCTTGCTAATGTGCTTACCTTGACCCCTCTAATGTACAAATTTAATAACCAAGATAACATCACATCCCTGGAATAAACTTTCATTAATATTAAACCAGTTACTCCTTACACCATTAATTCTCTCACACTCACACACACACACTCTACTTCCTACATAAAAGAAAAAAACTGCCTGTACCAGTCCTAATCCTAATGAATATTAATATAATTTAATCCTAAGACATTTAGTCAAAACTTACCAAATACTGCATGTCGTCATTGTCGGACTGGGGACATGATGGCTCCCACGTTATTACTAGGGTCATGTTCTCTAGTCTTGCGTGCAGGTTCTTTGGTGGAGCCAGTGGGTCAGCAACAGTTTGTAGCTGTTGAACAAACATGTACATAGTTTGAAATTTAAAGACAGGGGAAAGCAAAATTATGTTTAACAATTTAGCTTCATTATTTTATCGTTTAGCTGCTAAAAACTGTAATGTACAAGCGTTACCTTGTATGTTACAGACATGGAACGGACATAGGTTGCAGACATGCAACATATGTCTGCAGGTTGCTACAAGCAACAGCATTACTAATCAAGCTATTATCGGAGAAGCCTGGCCCCAAACCAGATTACGAAAGTAGAATAACTCTTGAATCCCACTACAGGTAAAGTATTGGTTCAGTATGCACTGAAAATAAAGACAATCTCTTTAAACCGTTTCCTATAAAATCTTTGTGTTTTTGATTTTCACGACAAGGCAAGAAAACTCCCCATTATGAGGGGTGTCCATTAAATGGGTATAAATATTCCCTTGTCATTGCCTTTAAATGGGTAAAGGATCTCTTCTTTATCCTATCCTTAGAATGAGTATGGTCCCCCAGGTCCTCCTCCCTCTCCTGTTCCATTAGACTTGGAAAACAGTTGCCAGAGTGGATAAGCCTGCTTATCCTGGTTTGAGGGGGAAATTTCACTTCCTGTCTAGTAAGACACAGGCAAATGCAATGCTAGGGATAACTGAAGTGGAGTGTATGATATAGAATCAGACCCTATTACCCTCATTTGGCTCTTCCATACATTGCCATCTTACATGGTTTGTCCATCCTCTCATTCATCATGTTCTCAGCCGGGTGGTGGCTTTGCTCCATTATCTTCTCACCTCTAGGCAGTTAAAGTCTCCCTGTCCCTAAATCCCAGTATAATGGTGCCCCATGTCAGTTGTTGCAGAGTGGCCACGCTAAAGCAATTGCAGTATATCTTCATGAAAGCTAAGCTGTATGTTTGCTTTCTGGTACCATCTTAAGTGGCCTTGCCATTGCCTTTAGTGTTGTCTTGGGGGCAGACTCTTTGCTATACAGTAAAGGGATGTTTTGATTTTTTTGCAGTTTTCTTATTGAAGAGCATTTACTCTCTTGGCAGGGTTTGGGTGTTGGGATGTGTGACTTCTGTATGCTTCTGATCCTAATGCTTTTGTCATCACTCTACAGCACAGGTGAATCATGAATTTTATTTTGACTTGCAACTGAGTGGGATAACTCGGTAATCAGGCTTTGAGAGTAAAGCACAGGAAAGTTCTTTTTCTCTGAACAGGACACTGCTACTCCTATTTCCTTCCTCCTGTCCTGGTCTCCTTAACACTTTTTTTTATCTGGAGCACTTGGAATGCGAGGCATTTCAAGTCAATTCACTGTTGTGGTGTAGGTGCTACCACCTGAAGGCAGTCAAGGTCAGTGACCTACCAAGTGAGCTGCTCGATGCTCCTCATAATGTAAAGTAACATTAAATTTTAATGAAGCTTTCCGAGGCTACTCGAGGCAGTGCCGAGTATTTTCCAGTGCCTCCCAAGCAGCAGTATGACTCATCGGGGGTTGTTTGAAAGGATCCCTGCTGCACCAGTGAAGAAAGTCTTTCTCCCATGACTGGACAAGATACTATCCATAGGACCTGTAGGATCCTCCTTGCTTAAGGAAGCAACAAGTATTCTGCCATGGAAGGAGCTTTTTATATACACAAACTCTTGTATTTTATTTAATTATTTTCCAAATAATGGGTGAAAGTTGGATACAGAAATGCCACAACTTAAGGATAAAATTGGAAAAATAAAGGCAACAATTTCCTCAGTACTTTTTCATGAAATTGCAACTTCAATTTATTTATAAAACTACCAGAGCATCATAATTTAATCATTTTACAGATTACATCTTTTAAGAAAGATTAACTTGAAACTATATTTTAATTAAGCCAAAAAACTAACCAGAAAATATCTGGGTCCGAGGTAAAAAAATACTTTACTTTTGCCTTTATCAAGAATATTCCAGTACAACATTCAGAATACTTGAAGTATTTACCAGTTTTTCACTAACTGGACCGATGCCGATGGGTCCTTCCACCATGACAGCAACCAGATAGGTCTCGCATGCTTCCAGTCCCCTGATCACATATGTTGTATTGGTACTTGTAGCAACATTGGCACTATGCTTGAGATCATTAGCTGTCTTACCCCACACAATGCGGTATGTCCATGGAATCTGCAAAAAAAGAAAATAAATAAATAAATAAATAAATAAAACTGAAGAATTAATGCCCCCCACCCCCCCAAAAAAGAGAAAATGCAATCATTGTTGCATTTGCATCAAACCATTACTTGATTTGGCACATTAACAAAATGTGAAAATCACAGAATATAGCAAATACATTAACTACTGTATTGTCCAGACGAGTCTCCCCCCCCCTTTTCCAATTCACACTTATCAAGACCAATGTTTATGAATTATAAATAATTTGCAGAATGTGGATATTACATACTAGAATTGATAAAATACTGACCAAATTCAACCACTCGCATAACTTGGCTAACTTCTCTCTATATTGCATCTCCAGACTAGAGTCTGGTGTATTTTTATAGATCAACAATATCTCTTTCTATTCCCCTCTTCCCCCTCTCATACAATATGACTTTCCGGAAAGTTATTAATAATGCTGTACTTATAAATGCAATTTGAATACACACAACTTAGGTAACCAAAGAATAGCAACCTTACCCCTATCTATTGAACACAAGTTAATTAGAATTTGTTACAATAAAAGTTCAAAACTTAATTATGCACAGAATGAATACAAAGTCATATGCTGTATAGCCTATCGACAACAAATATCAGGAGGTTCAGCAATGAAAACATTCTTGACAGTTTTCATTACATGCGCTTTCATAAACATCCCGCACATTCATACACCCAATGTTTCCAAAACTTGGATAATGCTTAACAAAAATTCAGTATCTGAATCAACACTCAACATAATAAGAAAAAGTTTTATCTAGTAAATTTAAAAAATGTTATTAATTATCTTCAACTCTTACCTTTTTAGTTTTGTAAGGAGGCTCACTCCAAGACAGCTTGACCGTTGTTCCTACATCCTTCATCACTACAGCCTGTAATGATTCTACCGCCACCAATGGCTGTCCTTGAGTAATCACTTCCATAGTCTTCTCTGGTCCAAGCAGCTGGCCTTTGTATGCTCTCACCTCAAACACATAATGCTTTCCAGGTGCCAGGTCTGATACTAATGAGAATTGGGGGTTTATTAAGTACTTAAAACACAACTTTGACACAGACAAAATCTATAATACTGTTTTACTGAAGTAATAATTTCAAACATCAAACCATCTGTAATAATATAGATATGAAATTATAAATCACTAACAATTCATTTTGAATGATATATCAAGATTTACACTTACTTTCAATTCGAGTATCACTGGTTTTGTTGGTGATTTTACCCGACAGGTACTCATTTTCTGGCCGAGAATGGCTGATAATATAGCCATCAACTCCTGGCACGGGGTCCCAGGTCAGGCTGGCACTTGTTGTTGTACTGCTCACAGTACACACTTGCACCGTTGCATTCTCAAAAGGTTCTCGTACAAACTCTATCGTCTCACTTGGTTCACTGGTGAATACTTCATTTGTTACAGTCACCTATACAAAATTTAAATGTATATAGCAACTGGAGTTATGAAGACTCATAATATATCTTTACTTTTGATCATGAAAATGACTTGTTATGGTAACAAGAAATTAAATCCAAGAGAATAAATAGATTGGCAAGATAGTGGTGAATGTAATGAAATGCCATTTTCTGGGCGAGTCTCGGAGGCTCCCTGGCACCTTCCCTATCTCCGGTTGGCGGTTTGTTTATGATGCTCAGCCTCCGAACTGAGGTGTGAGTAGCCGGCATGTTGGTCCGGGGCTCCCCCTCCCCTTCTCAGAGAGGAGGGCTGCGCGGTCAAGCAGCACGGTGGCAGGGAGTGACGATTGCTTGTTTCCTCCATTTTCCTTTGAGGAGTTCTGTTTCTCTGTTTGGTCTCAGATTTTTTAAAATTTCCTACCATGTGGGGTGTGTTTTGAGATGCCTACCTTTCTGGGTGCCTAACCCTGATCGATGGCAGACAAGAAATACCCCGGAGGGGCTCCTTAAGCCATTGCTCCCTGTGCCTCTGAGGGGACCTGGGGCCAGATTCACGAAGCAATTATGCAAGTATTTAGGAACGTGTACATCTTTTCCCAATCTTTGATGGCTTTGGTTATATTTAAACATTTTACAAGCATGAAAACTTCCCAATCAACTCTTGTTATTCTTATAAACAGCCTCTTGGTGCTTCAAAGCTCATTAACCGTTTATTAATTGTAAACAAAACCGCCAAAGATTGAGAAAAGATGTACAGGTTCGTAAGTACTTGCGTAACTGCTTCGTGATTCTGGCCCCAGATTCCAGCTCTGGTCTCCAATAGGCAGGACTCCATTGACTGAAGCCCCTCCAGACTAATATAGCATATATCAGTCCTATAGCTCCAGGGAGCTGAATATGAAAGAAACTGAAAAGAATATGACAGTACAAAACTTATGTATATAATTATTACATGAAACCTCACTGCAAAACTGAAATGAAGGATATACTACATAAAACTAGAACAGGCACACATTTTATAGCAGAACTCTAATGGTAAAAAAAATTACAAAACCTTTTACTCTTCTCTTCCAAGATGCTGATCAGCTGCCTCTACCATATCATCGAACAGCCTTCTCAGATGAATTTCAGCAATTTTGCCTTCTACAAACTGTACATAGTTTCGTTCTCAAATAAACGGTACAACTTATGAATGCTACCAAATACACATATGGCTACCATCACATAAGAAAACATTACAAAAATGAAGCAGGAGCTTTGCTAGAAAGGAGTTTTAAGACATTTTTAATATTCGAACTATCAATGCGTTACTTACCCAAACACGGATTACGTTGGAATCAATAAGTTTTGAATGAATGATAAGCTGATTAACACCACCTGGAAGCCTCACTTCCCGAGCTGGATTTGGGGGAGAAACATATCTGGAAGACAATACAAATTCATGTACACACAAATGTGCTAGTCAAAGCACACAAAGATGGGTTCAAAATTTCAACATTTATAGACTTGTACAATTATTAAAAAATGATCTTCTTACTTTAACAATATCCACTATACTTAAATGAGGTAGGACTCAAAATGATTACCGTATACAGTACATGATGAGCATTAATTATACAATACAATAATTCAAATGTAAAAGTCTATACAATTCTGATCATTCAAAGCTTGGAATACACAAAAGCTTCAAATTATTAAACATGATTCAGGTACGGAAAAGGGTAAGGGATAGGACGGATAATTATCCTGTTTCTTATTCTAAAATGATTTAAAAGTTACTATTTCCAGAACTACTACTACTATTACTACTGTGAAAAACTAATAGACTGGTTAAAAAAAAAAAAGAAACATACGTGAAGGGCAGCCATTAGTGAACTTAAAGTAACCTATCATGTAATGACAGTGCATATAAGGAGAAAACACTTTGGCTTGGTTTGTGAAACTTTCAGCTTGTCAAAGGTTTTTCTATGATAGCCCATTTCATCTTTCCATGAAATATGTCTTATTTCATCTATTTTTTACATGACATGTCTTATTTTATGCAATACATGTTCTTTCTCATGAAATGTTAACAAAAATTCTTAAAGTATCCTTGACCTTGACAAACAGATAAAGACCATTATTAAAACAATTATCCTGTAGTTCAAATATCTATTGGTATTAAATTATAAATATATTCCCAATAACAAAACATAATGCAAAACACATCTTGGTCAAACAATAGGATGACTAACACACTGATGGACCTGAAAATTGATCAGAGATGAAGAACACTCGTGTACCGAGTTAGGTAAAGAGTAACTACAGTAGATGCTACTACTTACACACGATATTGCTTGATTGGTCCATTGGGGTGAATAGGAGGACTCCAGCTGACTTTAACTCTATCCCTCAACTGTTCCACTTTTACACCTTCCGGAGGACTCGGAACTGAAGGAACAAATTTTATTTCTCAATTAAAATATATTTTATATGCACAGCGCACCATCTCAGATCTGGACCTCTCTACAAAACGACCCTCTAAACAAAGGACCAAATCTTCAAGTTTTTCTCCCCTCCAAAATTTGGAAAAAAAAAAAAAAAAAAAAGGGATTTCTTCAGGGAATTTCAATGAAATCTAAAATGCCAGTTCATCAGATAATTCCATTAGTAATTTTGTTCTTATTTTTGCTAATCTTTGTTTTTTTAATTGCCAATAATACATAAAATAATGCATACCGGTAAATATTCTACAAGTGTTTTACTATGCTTGTACTGAATAATAAATTGTACAAAGGTGTTTAACGCTTTTTCCCATGGTGTGCATACCTATAGCTAGGGCACACGCACCATCCGCATGCTTTTCTTACGCGAGTTTTTTATTTTGAATATTGTTACTCACTGGTTTTTCTTCCAATATATCATTATTTGCACATTGAAGCTATTTGGTGCACCAAGAATAGTAAGGTTACATCAGAAAAGGGGGTAAGAGGAACTTCATTACCAAGGATAATAAGGCCGAGTTATTAGAAAAATGTCGTCTTCACTGGGGAGAGGAAAGTGGGAGCAGAGAACAGCATTCATTTCTAGAGCTGCTTTTGATGTCACAAATAATTTATAAACTTAATTTTAATGAATAAAATTATGCTCTCTATCAATGCTGTATGCAGCACTGTAGCCTGGAACTGGCTGTCTGTAGTGAACAGTTATAATCTGTAGCCAAGAGAGCAACATTAGGAGTGACCACTGACGACTACTACAAGACCAGTACAGGGTAACTAGAAAAATTTAACACTGACCTGCTAATATAACTGCATTTTTCTGCCACTGTCTTACCAAGACTCACTATTACTACCAAAAAGCAAAGTGCATAATGGTCTTTTGTAGGATTGTAAAAATCATTACTCATATATTATTTGTGTCTAAATATGCATTAACACGAATTGTATCACTTGCTTTAAGAAAAATTTGGAGGAAAAAAAAGGCCAATTCTTAAAATACGTATTTCATTCAAATTTGGAAAGATATAATCCAGATTTTGGAAGTGCCACTGTATACAGTATAACAATTTAATTAGCTTAATATTACAAATATATACACATATACAAATATTCACATATATTACATATTTTTTATGTTTTATCAAGGGTAAAGATACTTTAAAATTAATTCAACTAACTTGCTTCCTGTGTGTGGAAAATCCTGGATTTTATCGGAGGGAAAATTTGGGATCCATTCTTTTCCCGAACATACACCTTGAGCACATATGCTGTGTATGGCTCAAGGCCATCAAACTCATATGACTGTAAGGAGAAAATAAAACACGAAATAGATTTTCAGCATATTACATGCACGGCAGAATGTAAATGTAAAGACAATTAATGATTAAATAAATAAAAAGTAAACCACAAGGAATTTTTTTTTTTTATAAAATTAAATCAAATTATAGAGGAGCCCAGTGCCACTGTGTGTGAAGAGCTTAGCATCACCAAATATGGATGTGGGACAACAGGCTACATAATGTTTAAACAAAGTGAAGCCAACATCCAGGTCTATATGAATAAGGATGAGAAAAATATTACATCTTAAAAACAGACTTGCCTATAAAATTAAGACAATGCAGAACTAATGATAAGTGTTAGCAGAAATGCTGCGTGGGTCTTCCACTATGATAAGCGAGCTAGTTTATACCTTTATAAGCCCTTCAGTCCGTAAAAATATTTTTATCTATACACCTTATAATTCAAAGAATAATGATAAAGAAATCCTTTTAGAGCAAAGCCTCACATTAAATAAAATGTCATGAAAGTACAGCAGAACAAGTTCAGGCATAAAAAAATATAATTTAGTAACTAAACAAGGGTGCTGGTAGTACAGTCGGTTTCGTTCTCAACTCGCAATTGGGAATTCCATGGGTCGAATCTTGGGTGGGACAGAAATGGCTGGGCGTGTTTCCTATTATCTAATACCCCTGTTCACCTAACAGAATATAAAGTAAAGCCGACTACCCCGGAATAAAGTCAGCTTATTGTGGGGTTGCATCAGTAGTTAGGCTTACATAAAGTTCCTTGCCAGAACTTAACTTAACCCTAACATGAATATATACACTGGTTGCCTGTTCCCCTACACAATGAATTATTATTAAATTATAATTATAAATAGTATGAAGTTGAGTGATCAACCAGTAAAGCATTAGTGATGACATTTGTTGAGTATACTGTACCAGGAAGATCTATATAAACAGCGATTTTCACACGAATCATGACAAGAGATGCCAAGCTGAAATTATGTATTTGTTTTTTCACTCAAAATACAGCATGCATTCTAAGATACAAGTGAATACTCACTGTATTTGAAGTCCAAGATATATTATGCCAGGCAGATGGATTACCAAGAGCAGCTTTCACAATAAGAGACGGCATGAATTCCAAGCTACGCTCAACTTTTTCTCTATTGTTTACTTCCCACTTCACTTTGACTGAGGTATTTGTTTCTTGAACCACAGTGAAGCCAGTCACAAGGAATGCCTGTAAGGTAAGTATGCGTAAGAAACCATAACAATCGATTATGGTACCAGATCAACAAACTTGGAAAAGGCTACTCCAATCTTTTTTTAAATTATTAATCAGTATGCAATACAAAATCAGATCAGCTAAATTAAACATTTTGATAGCATAAGAAACATTAAGAAAAGTACCATATTCCACAGGCCAGTATGTATTGCAATACAAACAGAATGGGGGGAAAAGTTAAGACTGGTGAATATGGGATATGCAACGAGAAGAGAAAGCTCAATTGCAAGTAACAAAGTACACTGGATTCGGTAAGTCCAAGGGTGTAACAGATACAAAATGGGAAATAATGCATACCGGGATCATTGGGGCGAGGGGAATACCAGTACTGTATACCTATAAGTATATACAATATATACTTATATATATATATATATATAATATACAATATATATACTAATATACACAATATACTTATAAGTATATACAATATACTTATTGTATATACAGTATAAGATGTCTCAACATCCTTCTATAATCATGCAAGTGCTACATATGATCTATATATATGTACACTGCCCCGTTTGTTCTTGCCCGAGTGCAGTGATCCTAATAAAAATGCACATTATTACAGTATAGTACTATGCCAAGGTGGTGAAAAGTATAATGCAGCTATGACAAGGTCATTTAGACAACAATCTCTTTAGTTTGATATATTATTAACTAGCTTAACTAAAATACCCACCTTGTCATTATTAGAAGAACAGTTCTGTTCATCAGTGAGGTCGACACAATCGTGGTTGCCATCACAATGCTTAAATAGCTCCTCACAAGCCCCTCCATCACACATGAAAAATCCATATGGACATCTTGCTGTTGGGGTCAGTGTTGTGCTACAGCCTTCCTCGTCAGACCTTAAATAAACAATGTTTTTTTGTATTAAACATATATTGTATTTTTTGTATTAAAAATACAATATTTTTATTTAATGAATCAAATTTAACCAGACTTCACACAGCAGAAAAAAATAATAAAAAACAGTTATATTATAGGGACTACTAAAATCACACATTTTTAAATACTTTTATTCAGTATTATACTATACTGTACTACTTTATAGTGTAAACCTCGATATTTGAAATGTGAAATTAGGCAAGAAAAACAAAAATTACGGTGATCCAAAAATACATAACACTAGAAATGTACATGTAGGAGCCCAAAACCTGCCAAGAACATGCTAGACTAACAGTTCAGCACACAATTAATCCTAAAGTATGTTAATCAGTGCATAACAAGAGAAATGTTAAAATTCACCAATACACTTTGAACTTGGTAAATGTGTGTTCACTCGTGTACCTCTAAAACAGTGTTCATGAAAGAGAGCAAATAGATGGCCCACTTTATATAATTTATTAACATAAACAGTTTTCAGGGCTCTCCAAATATTAAATTTGTTTAACATATTTTACTAAAGAAATAAAAATGAGGTTAGGATGGAGGCCTACTAACTGGGTAGGTGCTCACAATTGCTCCAACTCTCAATAGAAATTACAAACCAAGTTCAGCCAGTGCAGTGACGTAAACCTGGCCAATCAAGAGTTGACAGTGCAGTATTTTATATAATCCAGGGATATCTTGAGGTTATCTTGAGATGATTTCGGGGCTCTTTTAGTGTCCCCGCGGCCCGGTCCTCGACCAGGCCTCCACCCCCAGGAAGCAGCCCGTGACAGTTGACAAACACCCAGGTACCTATTTTACTCTTAGGTAACAGGGGCATAGGGTGAAAGAAACTCTGCCCATTGTTTTTCGCCGGTGCCCGGGATCGACCCCAGGACCACAGGATCACAAGTCCAGCGTGCTGTCCGCTCGGCCGACCGGCTCCAACCGTGATGCAAATAAAATGGCAAACAAAATTGTAAAGCTGTAAAGTGGTTGTGTTTTACATATTAAGAATATACAGCATGTACAGATGGACTAATTTTGCAAACAAATATGCCCTAAGCTGTAATGCACTTTAACATGTGACTGGCCTAAGTCGAAATGTTAGTGCTCAAAATACTGTAATACAGAGTAGAGGGAACTAAACAGTACTCACCCATCAGCACAGTCCTCCTGACCATCACAAAGGCGTTTGCTGGGAATACATCCACCAGTACGTCTGCACTGGAACTCTTCTAAGTCAACACAAGTGGAAGTCTGGTGGCAATTTTCTTCATCTTCTCCACCAGGACAGTCCAAGTCTGTGTCACATACCCATGTTTCCCATATACACGACCCTGTGGTACACTGAAACTGGTCCTGGTGAGAAACGGTGCAATTTTAAGAAACTTATTTCCAAAAAGGAGTTAGCCATCAGGCCAGAAATATTAAGCGAGATTGTGTCTTAACATCATTTACAGAACTATTTGTTTATATTCCTATTGTAAAGATCCTATATATTGCACTATATACACTGTAAACTAAGATGTTACCTATTAAAGAAATGTATCTTGGAAAATATGCAAGATGAATAAATTCTCCTTAAATGTTTGCTCTTACAGAATATTTAAGCCATCCATCAGAGCATACATTGGTCCTCTAAGTCTTGAAGCAGTCCATCAAACTAAGCTGGACTAAGGTCCAAGTCCCTCAGAGCAGAGAAGTTGACAATTGTAATATAGAAGATGGCATGTAGCTAATTTTCAAGTAGTTGTCGTTATTGTTGAACTCTTGCTTTCAGCTGGGGGTTTCTCAATTTTGGGTTGATCTCCAATCCCTAAACTTGACTTCTCATTAAAACCAGATTCTGGTTTTGGTTTCCTTTAAGCTCGGATGAATCTCAAAGGCTTGGCGGACCTCCCCAAGGTATGGGTGAACTAGTGCTTACTTTGGGGAGCTACTACAGGGCCTCAGCTAGCCTGGTGGATAGCGCGCAGGACTCGTAATTCTGTGGCGCGGGTTCGATTCCCGCACGAGGCAGAAACAAATGGGCAAAGTTTCTTTCACCCTGAATGGCCCTGTTACCTAGCAGTAAATAGGTACCTGGGAGTTAGTCAGCTGTCACGGGCTGCTTCCTGGGGGTGGAGGCCTGGTCGAGGACCGGGCCGCGGGGACACTAAAGCCCCGAAATCATCTCGAGATCTCAAGAACCTAAATCTGATCAAAGCTAACTCAAGCTAACTCAAAGCTGGATGATGTAGAACTGACAATAATATGCACACCGAGTATCATGTTATATTTTATATTTGTTCAAATATAAATATTTGAACAAATTTTATTTGTTTATTTCATCTGTTCTACTTTATCTGTTCAAAGTATCTGATTGTGTAAAAAATGAAGTTTGTGCATATCTCACCATTATATTATTTAACTTGCCTTTAAAATAATTTTGCACCTACAGGCATGTATAGTCCAGCCAGAACTGTACAACTACAAATTATTATTTTATTCCAAGAGATTTAAAAACAAAAATAACATTACCCAACTTAAAAACTTTCAAAGAATGGGGAGGTATCAGCTCAGAAGATAGGAGAGCACAACAGATAAAGAAGTATAAAGGTAATAAAACAAATGATGTCAGTCCATATAATGAAGTCCATTCATTATATCTTACACCTACAGAATTCCACCAACAACCAGCATCGCTGCTCTTAAACAAATCGTCTACATTTTCCTATAGTTAGATTTATAACGATCTGATAAGAATTGCATATACAGTTTAATGTAAAAATGCATCAAGCATCAACCTGTTCTTAAAATAATGACCAAAAGTGGCTCTAATCAGTATGCATCAGTACCCATAATCTTTCTCAAGGAGTACTTACCTTACTTCCAGTTCTTGGTGGGCACTTCTATTACTGTTCCAACCACATATACAGTACTGTAAACACAAAGCTACCACCGGAAGAAAAATTACCCACGTTAACCTAGGCCTACTGTATATACCAAATGATAAGACATGACAATGACAAAATAAAATTGTATTTTCCCCATTACAATTTTAACATTATCATTACAATATTTTCATTTGGATAAATTAAAATAAATTTCTACAATGAATTCCTTGAGACATTTCTTTCATTCCCACATCTTTACTATATTAAATGTAAAGCAACTAAGGCAATCTGTTATAGAATCATACGATACACAAATACACCTCAAATATGCCACCCTTAGATTATACAGTACATTTTAAATTTTAGTCTAATTTAGTGACTGATCTCATGGTTAAAACAAAAAAATGCCTACCTTCTGGCAAGATTGCAGAACAGGTGTGGTCGGGGCTACCGTGGTGGTGGTGTTGGCGCGCGCCCCTGACTGGCTACACCCATCTTCATCAGAGGCATCCCCACAGTCGTCCAATCCATCACAACGCCACCAGAATGGAATGCAGATTTTGTTCGTACACCGGAACATAAATTCAGTACAATTTAGATTTGTAGGCGGGAGTAGTGGCCCAAGAGGAATGGAGGACTGTGGTGTTGTGGTAGTAACATTGTCACAACCAACTTCATCAGATTCATCACTACAATCTGCTTCTCCATCACAACGCCACGAGCTATTTACAAAAAAAAAAAAAAAAATACATATATACAGTATATATATATATATATATATATATATATATATATATATATATATATATATATATATATATATATATATATATATATATATATATATATATATAGAACTTTTTGTTTTTATTATTATTTTGCTTACAAATGCCTGATCAACAAGCTATTGGCTGGTTGCGTATACAGTACTTATGGATGCAATGACAAAATCATATAATTTCCCACCTGTACTACCGAGTTCATTCCTTAGGCATCTTTTGCTGTATCTATGGACAAGATTATGAACAGTCAGAACAGGTCACCATTTTGCACGGATTCAAACTAGTGCAAGATACTAGGTAACACCAGTTCCAGTCAGAGATGACCACAAGAAGGCTCTTTTCAACTACACTCAAACCCCTTCCAAACACTTTTTAATTACTCAGTATTAAAGAGATAGCCAGAGAGTGCTGCTATCACAATCTGCCACCAAGTGTCACCACAAACTTGTTACCGGGAAATTTTGGGTCTCCTCACCTCACAATTTTCTCCAACTTTTCAATGTTTTTCAGAAGCTTACCATTGTGTAGTGAGAAGCTCCTAATAGTGGATGCTTTCTTGCAAGTGTATACACAGTCAAAGAATGTCTTTGGATTCTGTAAATGACTTGGATCCAGAGTTACCTTCTTATTATAGTTCAGTTAGTGTCTCTTGACAGTTTTTCAGTACTTATTTATTTTTTTTGCTTCCTTCAGACTTTCCTAGGATAGGCATTAGCACTGGATTCACAAATTGAGCACATGCTCAGTCATCATCTCACCTACATGTAATTGCGATCTAATCTGTTTACTCGAAGTCGAGCTTGACTGTGTTATTTAGGGTTGCATGCATTTATTAACATTTCATTTACAACATGAGCTGCTCTCACCCATTCTTTTTGTCTACATAAACACATTTAGGTTAGGGTAGTTCTAAAACAAACATCTGGTCATCCATGTCCATCTCTTCACACTGCTGTTCCAAGCAGAGGTCCCTAGACCCCACATAAGCTGCATAAATACTTTAAAAAACAAAAAGTACCAAAGGGAAGCAGTAAAACTCTACACACACGCTGAGAGTATAAGAATTAGGGACAAAAATACAGAACAACTGTTACAGGAAAAAGAACCGAAGAAAAATGTGTGTAAACAAGAAGGCTAGTCATGGGAGGTGAAACATTACAACAGCAAATTAACCCTTTAACAGCACAAATTGTATACTGTATATAAAATTTTGGTCTAACTGCTTGCACAGCACACATTGTGTGTATGTATGATATATATATATATATATATATATATATATATATATATATATATATATATATATGCAATTGACGATCACAAAACACTGATCATTTTATGCGGAAAATCCACAGAGAAATATGAAATGAGGTGAACGTTTCGGCTTTGTTAAAGCCTTTGTCAACACCAGACTGACTAAGGAGAAGGGAGAAGGGGGAGGATATATAGGCCGACACCTGACCAACCCATCCCTAGGGTTGGTCAGGTGTAATTAACCAAAATCAGGTATAGCTTAGCTTAAAATGGTCAAAGAGGATTAAGCGGTCAGAGAATAAGGATGAAAGATTAAAGAAAAGCCTCATGAACACACAATATATGAATATACAATTATAATGAGACATTGTAAGCCTCTCTATCAGAGTTGTTTCTTAAACTGTTGTGCAATATTATAACTTAAAAATGGATCAAGTTTGTACATTCCAGTACTAACATTAAGAAGATTTGGACACTGACTGATTAGAGCAGACTCAATCAAATTCCGTTCCACGAAATCCCCACAATTGGTAATGCTTTTTGCCCCATTCCAGTTAATATTGTGATCGCATAAACTCGTATGTAGATACAATGCATTAGACGTTTGGGCAGTTCTAATACTATAAGCATGTTGTGACAACCGCAATTGTAAGGACTTTCCTGTTTGTCCAAGGTACACAGAATCACAATACAATTTTGTGTGTATTCAATTCCCTGCAATGATTGTGATTCTGTGTACCTTGGACAAACAGTAAAGTCCTTACAATTGCGGTTGTCACAACATGCTTATAGTATTAGAACTGCCGAAACGTCTAATGCATTGTATCTACATACGAGTTTATGCGATCACAATATTAACTGGAATGGGGCAAAAAGCATTACCAATTGTGGGGATTTCGTGGAACGGAATTTGATTGAGTCTGCTCTAATCAGTGTCCAAATCTTCTTAATGTTAGTACTGGAATGTACAAACTTGATCCATTTTTAAGTTATAATATTGCACAACAGTTTAAGAAACAACTCTGATAGAGAGGCTTACAATGTCTCATTATAATTGTATATTCATATATTGTGTGTTCATGAGGCTTTTCTTTAATCTTTCATCCTTATTCTCTGACCGCTTAATCCTCTTTGACCATTTTAAGCTAAGCTATACCTGATTTTGGTTAATTACACCTGACCAACCCTAGGGATGGGTTGGTCAGGTGTCGGCCTATATATCCTTCCCCTTCTCCCTTCTCCTTAGTCAGTCTGGTGTTGACAAAGGCTTTAACAAAGCCGAAACGTTCACCTCATTTCATATTTCTCTGTGGATTTTCCGCATATATATATATATATATATATATATATATATATATATATATATATATATATATATATATATATATATATATATATATATATATATATATATATATATATATATATATATACATATATATATATACATATATATATATATATATATATATATATATATATATATATATATATATATATACATATATATATATATATATATGCGGAAAATCCACAGAGAAATATGAAATGAGGTGAACGTTTCGGCTTTGTTAACATACACACATATACACATACACACACACACACATATATTAAAGTACCGCGAAAGATTTAAAAGTTCCGCAGCTACATGGGATTCACATCAGCTTCCTCAGGACTAGTAAACAGACTCCATTAAAAAAAAAAAAATTCATGGGTAACATTCCTAGATGTAAAGGCCTCAATACTGAGTGAGCAACCAAGGCTGGCACACACAGCATGAGCTAACAGCACTACTGTTCAGCTTGTGACCACAGCATCACCTCAAAATGTCAAAATATATATAGTATATACGTAACTGCTATTATTTAGAGATGATAATATTACAGACAAGTGTGACTGTGTACACTGTTCAGATATCAGTGAACAAAATACTGTTCAAGATGTTCACAGCGCTAGCCACAGCACACTGCCACTGTTTGGTCCATCTAAGAATCTTGAAATGACTTCTCATGTTCCTTTACAAAATAAACCTGTGAAAATTATTCATTTACAGAATTATTAATTTACAGTATTTAGTGACCAGGATTCTGATAATAGCAGAATTGTGGTGAGAATTAGCGATGTGCACAGTATGGTGGGAGGAGGAATCTTGGCGAGAGAGGGAGGGAAGGAGGTGGCATCAGCTGGCTGGTGTGGCAGCAGCCACTGTTATTGCCTGGACTCGCCATACCAGCTTAATGGTTCATTATGGTGGTGAACACAAATGTAGATATTTATATATAATGCGTGTATATAGTGTAATAAAAAAATTTTTGTATTGTTTTATGAACATGGCAATTGAATCACTAATATGCACAACATACTTTTAAGTATACCTGCTTAAGCTGCTTCGATGGTTCACACATTATATAAATATATCAAACTGCACACTATTGAATAATGTTACTGCAAAAAGAAAATAAAAAATCCAGAGAAAAAATCAATCATACACATTGAAATAATTAGGTAATATCTTTGTGGCAACTCCCGCCTAACGGCTCAAGTGGAGGAGACAGGCCCAGGACAAGTACTCTATCAGCGCTTGAATCTTGCCAGACTTCCTTGCCCTACTGCAGCAAAAATGTGTTACCTACGATTTTTATTTTCATTTTTTCCGTGATGAGGGAACACATTTTAACAATCTTAAAAGAAACAAAACACAAGCAGATAAGGAGTCACAATAACGTGGCTGAAAAATGTTGACCAAACCACACACTAGAGAGTGAAAGAGACAATGATGTTTCAGTCCGTCCTGGACCATTATCAAGTCGATTGTGAAAACAAAACAAAACATAATTTGAATTTTTTTTCTTCTTGTGCACAGCGGTGTTGTCGATTATTAGCAGCAACGCTGCCCAGGTGTTAAAGAAAAGGCATAGGGTGAGGACGAGGTTATTAGAGGAACACACTCCATTTTTGCAGCAAAGGTCAGGCATACTGAGAATGGGAGAGAAATCAGATCAATCATGTGAAAACTCTAAGGACTAAACAAGCAGTGCCGTGTATTGTACCACACTGGAGATGGAAACGAAAAAATCAATTAGCGTACAAGGGCTTTCCATGCTAGTTGGAAGGACAGGTAAAGAAAGGGGGAAAAAAAAAAAAAAGATTGAAAGGCAACAACAGAGATGCTAAAGATATGTATATAATTAGTGAGGCAACATGAAAGCTGAAAACATAAGGAGGTACCAAGCAGGCCAGGTGTAACTGATAACACATTAAAAAAAATGGACACACACATTGAGAGCCATTTCTTAAGAAAAATCATTATGCTTAATACATATTTAAAATAACAACAAACACTATGTTAACAATGCCAAGAAGCCAAGGGTATAACTAACATTTTAATATAGGGACCAAACAAAGCATCATGATCAGCTCATCTGGCTATAATTAAAAACTCATATTTTAAAATTAAAAGCAATCTACAAGATTAGTTTGGCTTATAAATGTTTAAACCGAAACCCCAAATGAAATATTGAAATGTACTCAGCTGCACCCGGGTCTCTTCCTCCCCCCCCCCCTTTCCATTTTCTCAAAATTTATTACAAAGCACTGAAAAATTATGGGAAACAAACTATTTCACACCTAATGCCATGAAAAGTGCATGGGGGTGTGTCTATAAATGCTAATATTTTAAGAAATATTTAACTTAGGAAGACCTCAACACGCCTATGTCCATCCCATACCCCAGACCATTCCCTTCTGCAAAGCTGGGTTAGGGAACACATCCAACCTTGAACAAACAGACATTCACTCTTACAGATACAGACAATGCATATAGCAAAATTTGGCAGCGTCTCAATACTAGGCATAAAAATGCTATACACAATGAGTAGATTATATTTTCAATAGGGGTATCTTGGATACAGGAGAGATACATTACTTGAAACAGTAGAAGAGAAAAAATCAGCACACAATAGCTACCTAAAAATACACTGCTTGTTGTGGCACTGGAATTGCCAAACTTCACATGTATGGCTCTCGCAATTTTGTTCATCAGAGTTATCAGGACAGTCGGAATCACCATCACAACGCCAGGAGCTAGGCAGGCATCGCCCATCAAACGCGCACTTAAACTCTGTACCTTTCCAAAAAACAAACAACTTTTTTGTTAGTGATTATGTTAGAAAATGTACTGAAATAAAATATTGAGCATATAGCAGTACACTTCTCCTCTGGGGTGACATGATCATGATATCACCTTACATATGAGGCAATAAATATGAGTCAAATACCAAGTGATAAAATTTAAATACTATAATTCAGAATTTTTTTTACATACAAATCAGTTCTCAAATTTGAAAGTCCTCAAATAAAAACAATTACACAGTTTGAAATCAAAATAAAATCCAAATACAGGTATACAGGTTTAAATATAAATGACATATATACTTGTATGTAAAATAAATAAATAAATATAATGTGTGTGTGGTGTGGTTGGTGTGTGTGGTTGGTACTCACCTAATTGTGCTTGCGGGGGTTGAGCTTTGGCTCTTTGGTCCCGCCTCTCAACTGTCAATCAACTGGTGTACAGATTCCTGAGCCTACTGGGCTCTATCATATCTACATTTGAAACTGTGTATGGAGTCAGCCTCCACCACATCACTTCCTAGTGCATTCCATTTATTAACTACTCTGACACTGAAAAAATTCTTTCTAACGTCTCTGTGGCTCATCTGGGTACTAAGTTTCCACCTGTGTCCCCTTGTTCGTGTCCCACCCGTGCTGAAGAGTTTGTCTTTGTCCACCCTGTCAATTCCCCTGAGAATTTTGTAGGTGGTTATCATGTCTCCCCTTACTCTTCTGTTTTCCAGGGATGTGAGGTTCAGCTCCTTTAGCCTTTCCTCGTAGCTCAATCCTCTCAGTTCCGGGACGAGCCTGGTGGCATACCGCTGAATCTTCTCTAACTTTGTCTTGTGTTTAACTAGGTATGGACTCCAGGCTGGAGCTGCATACTTCAGGATTGGTCTTACATAAGTGGTATACAGGGTTCTAAAAGATTCCTTACACAAGTTTCTGGTGTGTGTGTGTGTGTGTGTGTGTGTGTGTGTGTGTGTGTGTGTGTGTGTGTGTGTGTGTGTGTGTGTGTGTGTGTGTGTGTGTGTGTGTGTGTGTGCGTGCGTGCGTGCGTGCGTGCGTGCGTGCGTGCGTGCGTGCGTGCGTGCGTGCGTGCGTGCGTGCGTGCGTGAGATGAAAGGATAATTAAATATCGATGCGGTACGATGTGATTAGGGGTGTGGTTATGATTCTGTCAAACACAATATATATTTAACTTAATACAATAAAAGCTTTATGTGCAAAACTGCCAACAGACTAATATGAGCCTCCACTGTCTGCTATACTTATTAATTATGATCACTCAAGTTTTAATGCACCCCCCCCCCTTCCCCATCCCTTTTGTTCCTTGACAATACAGTACTGTGTTAAAGCTTGTGTAAAATATGCCACTGAGGGGCTAAATATACAAATTCAGTATGAACAGGGACATAGCCTGTACCATCATAAGCACCTCCAAAGGATACCTGATCAACCAGGCTGTGACTCATACGTCAGGCTGCTAGCAGCCGCATCTAACAGCCTGGTTGATCAGTCCAGCAACCAGGAGGCCCGGTCGACGACCGGGCCGCGGGGACACTAAGCCCCGGAAGCACCTCAAGGTAACCTCAAGGTAATCATATGTAAATGATGAAAGTTACATGCCAAATTAAAAGAATTTCTCTACGATACTGTAGACACCAAGGAAAATGTCTTAGGGAAATAATCTTGTAAAATCCACAAGATATCCAAAAAGGTTTACCTAAAACGATTGTGGCAAAAATAAAATCTGCCTTAAAAAAAAAGTATCTTATATTACCTTTGCACTGAGTTATGTTGGTAGAAGTACAGTTGACCTCATCACTACCATCTCGGCAATCATCTTCCATGTCACACTGCCAGTTGAGATGAATGCAACGACGGTTTGCGCACCTAGTTCATAAAAGATAATAAAATTACTATTTTCTATACAGTTTACATATAAGCCAGCTTCTTGAATAACATCCTAATCAGAAAAGGTGTACAGCAAGCACCATTTTAAGTCCATTTCTTTTTGATGCTTTCTTAGCCGACATACCAAAAACCACCTATCGGCTTGGTGGTGTACAGATAATCCCCATTGTCTCCATTCTTCAAATACATGACAACTAATAGCAGAGTTCTTTCATGGTGACTCAACAGATCAACAGAGCCTGGCATGTTTAGTTCTCTTGGGAAACCATATAGGTACTTGGCTCTGTGAGCAATCAAAGAACTTGACTCATGACAAAAAATAAAAAAAAAATAAAAATGACTTACGTGAATGTACTTTTTGGGCACTCATCATATTGACATTCCTGTTCATCCGAGTTATCACCGCAGTCGTCGTCATGATCACAGCGCCAGCTTGGAGCAATGCAGTGACCATTGAGGCACTTCCAAGAGAGTGGGTCACACGACTTTTCTTCACATTCAGGTGACCCCTGAAATAGGCATAACATACAAGCAATGTTGAACCAGAACATGGAGCAAGAACAGTAAGAGAGCATGTGCTATAAATGGGGTGCTGTGTGTCCTGAAACTACATTTGCAACCTTGCTGTAATGAGTGTGCAGAACCTGCCAGTGTCATGCCCAACTCTTTATTAAATTACCAATTTTTTTTTTGGCCTGGAAACTGTCTCTATATAACTTTGTAGGCAAAAATATAGAACTGATTTTTTTTAATTTACACATCCAGGATATATTATAATTAACCATAGAACAAGAAAACCATAAAAAGCAGTTCACCTCATCGGAAAAATCTCCACAGTCGTCATCTTTATCACAGAGCCACTGCTTGGGGATGCATTTTCGATTTTTACACATGAAGAAATTTTCAGGACAAGTGCTATTATTAATAGGTCTGCATGTTCCATTTTCTTGAATAGGTGATCCATCTGGGCATTGGCACTCCTCACTGTATTGAATGTTTGATGCCTGCCGCTAGAATTAAAAATGAACATTTGGCTTTAATAAAAACAACAGCATTACATACAAAATTAAGGCAATTAATTCATAAATTAATAAGTATACAGATGTATATGTAGGAAATACTTTATTACACAGTGTCTTGATAAAACAGTTGAACCTTACTTAACAAACAAGACTACAACACTTCCCTAAAAAGTGAATGACAATCAAATATTTGACAAACAAAAACCACTTTCCAACTGACTTCCATGATAAAATTGAGAAATGTTCCAGACCCAAAATTTTCTAGTTGAGAAATTATTTAAACATTTGATTTATAATAAATGAACAACACGAAATATGTGTATGAATTTATATTTGAGTAAAGGAGTGGCAAGATGGGATTTAAGCGTGGGTCGGCTACAAGCAACCACTACTTTCCTTCCACACTTTCCTTGCTACATGAAGTCAGGCCAGACACGCCCCCGGCAGGCTACCAGGCCAGACTCATCCCCGCCGGGCTATCAGGCCAGACACGCCCCCGCTGGGCTATCAGGCCAGACTCGTCCCCCACCCCCACAGGCTATCAGGCCAGACATGCCCCTGCTAGGCTATCAGCCCAGACATGCCCTTGCCAGGCTATCAGGCCAGACATGCCCCTGCCGGGCTATCAGGCAAGACACACCTGGTCGGGCTATCAGGCTAGGCATGCCCAACTGGGCTATCAGGCTAGACATGCCCAGCCAGGCTAGACAGACTGCAAGACTGGATAAACAGGCTAGACATCCATGTTAACAGTCTGCTTGATTCTCTCCCCTTCACTCACCTGTACGAACGCTTATCTATCATCATAAGTTGAAAAATGGTTACAAAACTACTTTACTTTTGTGTAAATATTTAACTGAATAAGCAAAATGCAAATACTACATCGAGTACAGCCATCTGCAGCTCTTCATACCAAGACATCCAACTTTTCTCTCACCTAAGGAGCCAATGATCCTGTTCCAATTGTGTTTGTGCTGGTCATGGAAGATGTGAGAGACTTACGTGCCGTCACCCACATACCGACTCCAATACCCACATACCAATATCCACACACACACACACACACACACACACACACACACACACACACACGCTGTCACCCACAAACCAGATGGACAGAGATAAAGATCTAGGAGTTGATATCACACTAAACTTATCTCCTGAAGCCCACATAAAAAGAACATCTGCGGCATATGCAAGGCTGGCTAACATCAGAACTGCCTTCAGGAACCTATGCAAGGAATCATTCAGAACCTTGTATACCACATATGAAAGACCAATCCTGGAGTATGCGGCCCCAGTATGGAGCCCGTACCTTGTCAAGCACAAGACAAAGCTGGAAAAAGTTCAGAGGTATACCACTAGGCTAGTCCCAGAACTAAGAGGCATGAGTTACGAGGAAAGGCTGTGTGAAATCCACCTCACGACACTGGAAGACAGAAAAGTAAGGGAAGACAGGATCACTACCTACAAAATTTTCAAGAGGAATTGACATGGTAGATAATAATAAACTGCTTAACACGGATGGTACGTGAACAAGGGGACACAAGTGGAAACCGAGTACCCAAATGAGCCACAGGGACGTTAGAAAAAACTTTTTCAGTGTCAGAGTAGTTAACAGATGGAATGCATTAGGCAGTGATGTGGTGGAGGTTGACTCCATACACAGTTTCAAATGTAGATATGATAAGAGCCTAGTAGGCTCAGGAATCTGTACACCAGTTGATTGACAGTTGAGAGGCAGGACCAAAGAACCAGAGCTCAACCCCCGCAAGCACAACTAAGTGAGTACCCATACTGGATGGATGGGGCTACAGGAAGGGAAAGATGTCAGTCTGTTAACAAGATTCATAAATCATCTGCTCCTGTACCCACCTGTATTAAAAAGAATGTAAATACTGTATTGTGTAATGACAGTTGACCAACAAGAAACACCTATTGTTACAAAACAGAGCATTTGAAAATGCATGCAGCAAGTCAGAAAACAATAATAACGGGGAGGGAAATGACCTTGAAATGGGAGCAGGTAACGATGGTGGACTTGTGTAAGCGAAGTAGGGTGCTGTGCATTCCACAGCTAATAATGCAACCACATAATGAAAAGTGGCAATTGATTTGTTGTTATTAAATATAGCAAATGTTTATTATGTGGCACAACTGGATAATTTTAAAGTATACATTAAGTAAGGGGTCTCCTGAAAGCCTCAAAAACACAATAATACCTGTACAGTATTATGATGCACAGAGGATTACATAGAGTTCATTATGAATGAGTTTGGGTGATTATAAATAGGAGCTGTCTCCTATAGGCCAATAGTTTTCCTTATTCTTATGGTCTAGAGCACGTAACATTATATTTAATGTTCTTGGGAAAAATTATTTTACTAATACACACCTTCATACCGTCTGGGCAGAGGCACGCAAACTGGTTATTGGGACGACCCATGCAGAGGTGCGTGCAGCTGGTTGTCTGGTTCCTGACGGAAAATAAAACTTAAAAGTCCAAAGCAAATCAATATTTTAAAATATAATAGTGAACTTAAGAGATAATTTCAAGCTATAATAAGGTAAAAAAAAAAGCACATGGAAGATAGAGATATGAAGATGCTGTATACATAGAGAGTACAAGATATGAATGGGGTGCCTTCCATACTTTATCATACTTCTGGTCAAGGTAAAGAACCATGTAAGACAACATGTCTCCGACAACATGTCTCCAAGTCTTTACCTGTTCTAGCTGAACCTGTCAGAAAACTATTTTTTTTTTTTTACACTGGAGAGATATTACCAACCTTACTGTTATCTACAAGGTTGTGTGGGTGCTTTAACTACCTGCAACATCTAAACTGCATGCAATAGCACCAATCCCAATGGTGGTCACAATGCAGGCTATCAATAGCATTAGTTAAAGTATGCAAGAGCAGTCGCCAAGGTACACTATCTCAGAATAAGTGTGTCGCAAGCCACTAATCTTCCAATGATCATACAGGTATCTCCTGCCACTGGGTCTTAGCTTTGCTCCAACATGTGGTCACGCTCGAAAGCTAAAGATACCAGGGGCTCACACCGAATTTGTAATTCAGTGTTCAAGACTGTAGGGCATTCATACCTGGAGCCTGTACCCAATTATATGAGCAGTAAAGAATGAGGAAGCGGGGCTTATAGAAGGACTGATGAAGGCCACCGTTATGACTAATAGGTTTATTACATAAACTTACTTCTAGTGCACAAGGAGCTTTTGTTATGTTAATCAAGAGCATCACTTGAAATAAGCTAAACAAAAGCATGTGTACAGCTTTTGTTTAGCTGATAAATAGCTGGGCAATGTTTGAAAAGCATGAAGACACTGATGAGAGACATTCAAACATCTCAAAAATAATATTAAATTAGCCATGTATCGTATAAGCACATTTACATTGAAAAGAAGATAGTTGTGCAAAGTTCCTTGAGAACACATTTCCCAAAAAAGACTACCCTAGCAATAGGTTTGAAGAAGCCACTTTCAATAATCTCAATGATCTTCAAGAAAAAGTCTAACCCAAAATCTTTGAGTTCTACTGTAGCTAGTGACACTGATGATGACCCACAGGTCTAGGAGATGAAGGATGGGAGGCAAACATCAAACGCACCAAGTGACTCAAAATAACCAGCCAATCCCACTCTGCCGACCCATCACCCGTGCATCATCACATTCCACCACCACCTCCAGCAACTAGCTTTCTTCACTCTTCAAAAACCAGGCAACTTTGAAAAGCAGGACAACTTCATTATTCAAAGGTAAACAATATTCTGTTTTTGTTTTTATATAATGTTGTAAAATTATTAGTTTTGTGATGATTTTTGGTGGTCTGGGAACACATCCCATTTACAGCATTGCACTTATGGGAAATCTTGTTCTGCATGCTGAGCTTTACAGACATATTTTTAGAATGTAAACCGTTCGTAGGGAGACTGCCTGTGCTCATAAGCTAATGCCCTAAAAAGTAAGATTTTTCAAAGAAAAATGTAAATTCTAATGAAAACTGATTCAAAGTAAAAATTCAAACTTCATCAACCGCTAACTAAATGGGGTACATATAAACTTACTTATATAAACTTATAAACTTATAAACTTACCCACAGCTATTGGTGCCCTGTTGAGACAAGAAACCAAACACCTTCAGGTCAACAAGTCCTTTGCGTGTAATGTTTGCAATTGGAGCTATACCCCATCCGTGTTCTTTGTCAGCCTGAAGTACCTGGTACACCGTCCAATCATCCCAGAAGACAGTCGACTTGTATATACCCAAAGCAAATGGCTGCATCACCTTCTCCTGTAGTAAACAAAAATTATAATGATTACACAATTAATATTAATCAACTTTGATAAAAAGAGAATTTCTACTGAAGAGTGTGTATTAAAGTACAGAGGTCAACACTGTGGATAGTGACGATGTATGCTGTTGGCGACTGAAGTCATAATCAACAAAATTTGGGAAATTCTGGATGCCCTCCATAGTACTCCATTATTATATTTAATCTTTATCATCATATATTAATCACCTGGGTAATGTGGTTATCATATGTTGACGATGAGTCACAATAACGCGACTAAAGTAAGTTGACCAGACCACACACTAGAAGGTGAAGGGACGACGACGTTTCGGTACGTACTGAACCATTCTCAAGTCGATCGACTTTGAGAATGGTCCAAGACGAACCGAAACGTCGTCGTCCCTTCACCTTTTAGTGTGTGGTCTGGTCAACCATCATATATTGAATTTAGTTATCACCGGGTTTTTATAAAAATGTAAAAGTGGTCATAAAAATTAGATGTATTGGAGTTAACCTAGACCAATGATAACAATTCTGCTATCTTTTTAAATGCTAACTACAGATGAGGTTATCTCATACTGCCAGCAAGGTGATTATCATCAAATTACAATTTGGTGTTTGCTGCTGGTGTTTGAATCTATTTCTGGGCAACATTACCAGACTATTTCTGGACAACATTACAGGCAGCCAAGGAATAGGTTCGCAAGACACTTCCTTTGAGTTCTGCCTGGAACAAAGTTACAATATACTGTAGCTGTACATAGTACAGTACAGTAATGTGCTCAATCACTTTTTTGGGTCAATTATGTGTAAATAAATATTGTTATTCCATGCCAGTAGCTGGGAAATTTACCTACACACAAGAGAAAAGAAATTTTTCAGCTTCATTAGGAAATAAATGTGATAAGCGCTTACACTATGTGATATAATAGTCTTCATATTTCGTCCATCGAGGTCTGCTGATGCAATATAGTCTCGGCGTGCGTCTGCAAAGAAAATCCGATCCGTCTGGAAGTCGATAGCAATGCCATTTGGCCAACCAACGGTACTGACACCAAACAAAACCTGGGGGATTATAATATATGTAAGAATATAATGCAATCTAGATAATGAATTTATCCCACTAGCAGATGGGTTCTCAACGTGGCGCCAGTCAATTACACACCTCCTTAGCAATATAGGACATCATAACAACTCAGAAAACTAAATTTAACTGCAAAACTTAGATATAACCGACAAATTTATCTAATGAACAAAATACATTCAGTTCCTGTATACTGTATAATTAATGGGTTAAGTAATAACGATGAGCTTTTTCAGAATATTATCACTTAGAATGTATTTCTATATTCGACTTCTAGTATTTTTTTTAGAAAAGAACACTAGCTTTACTCACCGTAAAATTGGTTCCATCCAAGAAAGCTCTGGCCACTTTGGGTGAAGACTCTGACCAGTCTGTTATATAGAGGTATCTGAAAGCCAATATGCAGGGTAATGTCAGGTAACTATGAAAACCATGATGGTTTTCCATGATGGTTTTCCATGATACGTATAAACCAACCAGGCATGTGGGCCTGCGGGCTGCTCCAAGCAACAGCCTGGTGGACCAAACTCTCACAAGTCGAGCCTGGCTTGGGGAGTAGAAGAACTCCCAGAACCCCATCAACCAGGTATCAACCAGGTATCAACCAGGTATCATCAGTCTTGCAGCTACACAGATACCTCCTTATTTGAAATCTGTAAATCACAGCCTCCACAAGGACACACTAATTACTAATAAAGTTTGTATGAACAGTGGTGGTGCAGGACTACTCAAGGTTAGCCACTGTGATGCTAAATTTGTTGTGGTGATAAAATAACAGGTCCAAAGTTGAGTAACAAGCATTGTATTACATTGCAGTGTCGTTAGCTAAGATTCTTACAAAAATTATGAAGGAATTTAAACAGCAACAGACCATTAGTTTTAAACTAGACAATTTAGTGAAAGCTGGCCAATACAAGAATACGTATAAGGCATGGATTGTAGAAGCTCTATCAATCCCATTATAAAATGTATACACAATATTATACTGGATTATATTTCTTGGTAAACTGCTTCATATGTTTACAATTTGATTAAAAGAAAAATATTTTTTAGTAAAAATTGTGGTGCCATCCACAATGTATAAGGGATGGATGACAGGTTTTGTCCACTTATATTCTTCAGCTTGATTTAGAGTATTATTACCTTACTGTGCTAAGTCGCGCTACATGGATGAGATAGCTCATGTGCTTATCAATCTGTTCTTGCCTATGATTTTGGGCAGAGAGGATAATCTTCTAGAGCCCACCTTACTACATCTGGTGAAACTCTATTCTCAATTTCTTTTAGAAACAGTGAACATTCCACATGTTCACTCTTATATACTAAAGGACACAATGCTTATTTACGTAAGTGACTTACTGCCAAGATACGGTTGACCCAAGATTAACAGTGCTAATCTATAATAATCAATTCTCAACTTACTAAGTTCAAAAATCCATCCACATACTTCAAAATTTGATAAACAAGTGCTTACTGTGCATTACGAACAAAAATATTTCAAAGGCTTACCCTCTAACAGGATGAACAGCAATGCCCCGAGGATTATCCAAGTTGCTGCTATTGAGAAGCATTCGTCGCATACGTCCAGAGTGTGAAATATCTGTACGAATTACCTCGACTGTCTTTAATTCCCCATCAACAAAGTAGAGATTCTTAGAAATCCAATCAAAAGCAAGTCCTTCAACACTTTGAGTATTCCTATCTACCAGGGTTTCCACATCATGCTCTCCGTCAAAACAAAGACGCTGTTGGAAGGAAAAAAAAAAGGTGCACTAACGATGAATTATCCATACAGGGTTCAGTATAGTGTTTTTAACTTAACTCCAAGTATTGCCAGTTTTCCATTTATTTCCAACCATAAACTTTAATACTGTACTATAATAAATGTCAAACTAATTTCTAAATTATTTACAATACACTCCAATTCCTCTCAAATGCACTCTTTGGATTTTTTCCTACATTACATTATTCAATACATGTTAGCCATACACGAGCCATTGCAAAATTAACTTCCAGGTGTATATTTCGGTTTCATTCAACATAACAAAACCATTTTGGTACATTCTGGAATCTTCAGGTATTAACTTTCATACTCCACATCTCAATGACCTAAACATCACTGACACTACAAATCTTATTTACTTACAAATCTTACAACTATTCAGATTTCCCATTTTACTAAGGTCAGTTGAAAGGTTATTAACTGCTTCAGAAAAATAATTCCATTTTCCACGCATGTGGTGCCATACTTACGTTTATTTTCTTCTCTTCGACATCTGACCAGTATATGCAATTAGCAGCCATGTCAAAGTCAAGAGCAATAACCATCTTCAAGTTCGGTATGGGCAGAGGCTCGAGTCCACCCTCTGGGTTGAGAAGATCATATCGTAGGATCTCTTGACGTGCTGACACAAGCAGGAACTCTTGTACTTCACTATGGAATCAAAACACAGGTATTACCACTAAGGATTTTTAACCACTGCACTGCACCAAACAACAAATGTCATTTTGAGAGTTATGCATTTTTTTTTTACTTAGTCTATATCTTAATGCTTTTAATGTTTTCATCACTGTGTTTTGAAATGAAAATAGTTAAGTTTGGAAACATTTTGACATTACCTTTACCTGACCATTTATAAAAACAAAAAAAATATGTCCTTAACAATTGCATTATGAAGTTTTTGCCAAAAACAGATGCACAGTGCAGGGGTTAAACAATTAGTGATAGCATATGTAGGTTAGTTGAAAATTTATGTAAAGCAATGGCAGTGGAGAATGAAGGGGAATTGTTTTTGAGAAAGTAAATCAAGGAAAATTCTTAGAAATGATACATCATTTGAAATACTGTATCTGGAGTGTGTAACTGACAAAACTGCATACACAAAACTGAAATCAGTAGTGTGTGGAAATAAAAAATAAACCAATAGAAGAGGACAACTTAAGAAGCGTATGTAGTGACAAGATAACAGGTACAGTAACGAATCGTCACAAACTTATGGAATGAACAAAATTGTAATTTGTAAGAAATACAACATGGAAACATACAAAACTATGAAAGGAATTGACCAAATTCATAGAAATGCATTTTTAAATTTCAACCATCGAGAATAAGGGAGTCATACTGTACTGTAGATTTAAGCTATGAAATCAAATGTGAATTCTTTTTAAGAGTATAAATTCTATTTGGCAGTGGAAGACTGCCAAAATAAACCACTCGTTTATACAAAAATCTTAAAACCCAACAGCTGATAGTGGAATATATATATATTTTTTTAAATATGAAAGATACATTGTTATCCTATATGGTACCCTGTTAATTATAATATTTTAGTAATACTGTCTATTAGGAAAATTTTCTGAAGTGAATTTTATATTAAAAAACCCAGCATTGAATGTAATGAAACAACAATTTCTAGGTGAGCCCCGGTGGCTCCCTGAAACTATCAGGCTGAGATGGCTCCCTGAAACTATCATGCTGATAGCTCGCAACGACTAGATTGCATCAGCCTTTGAGTTCAGTTCAGCCTACCAAGGACCAGAGCCAGAACCTGGCCTGGTCGAGAACCAGGCCACGGGGGGGACATTAAGTCCTGAAATCATCTCAAGATAACCTCAAGATAGGTATACTAGTATTGAAAGAGATCTATCAACATCAAAGGCCCAAGACTTTTTCACATACTCCCTCTACACTAAAGGTACATGACTGGCCAGCTTCTCCCAGCATTCAAGAGAGAACATGATAAACACCTTCAAATGATACCTGATCAACCAGCCTATGATTCATATATCAGGCTGTGAGCAGCTACATCCAACAACCTGGTTGACCAGACAACCAACCAGAAGTCCTGGTCAGAGACTGGGCCGCGGGGATATTGATCCTCAGCATCACCCCAAGACTAGACTAAACACTTAGAAATTGAGGTTTCAGTACATTTAATGCTGGTTTTATTGTTCTAAAGAATATAATACGGTGTGCATATTAGTGACACAAATATAAGTATTCTGATGTTCCACACATTTTATTATATAAATTTCACCAATGACACTCTTGAATATTATTACTGGAAATAAAAAGACAATGAAATAAATGTATAAAAATCACACACAGAAATCACAATAGCGTGATGCATCAAATGAACACATCCACAAGGGCCGTGATGAGGGTTCGAACCTACGTCCAAGAGGATCCTAGATGCTTCTTAATCGACTGTGCTACGACATGGTTAAAAAGAATTGCAACCAGGACTTCAACTGACTTCACACGAATCCTGCAGTCTCTCCGAGACACAAACCAGGGTTTCACACAATTTGCCCCGTGCACCCGAGCTCTGTCAATAAGCTATTCTACCTCTTCGCCCTTACTTTATTACACACAGAATCACAATAGTGTGTGTAATTTCTGTGTGTAATGAAGTGAAGGCGAAGAGGTAGAATAGCTTATTGACAGAGCTCAGGTGCATGGGGGAATTATGTAAAACCCTGGTTACAGGATCCATGTGAGGTCAGTTGAACTCCCAGTTGCAATTTTTTTTAGCCATGTTGTAGCACGGTTGATTAAGGCGCGTCTGGGATCCTCTCGGACATAGGTTCGAACCCTCATCCCAGCCCTTGTGGATTTGTTCAATGTATAAAAATATTTTCTCAGTAACTTCCAGCTCCACACCTGACCTCTGGCGACCTTCACAGGGTAAGTGCTCCTTGAACACTCTTGAATCATGACGTCGTCATGAAATTTCCTCACTTTACTACTGCCAAATTCAGTTTTTTTTTTAACCGTTATTTGGGAAAGCATTTTAACTATATTAGAAAGAAAAATACAGGGGGAATTATTTTTCCTTGTGCACAGAGGGTGATGACGTGCAGGGGTTAAGGACTCGTAGGGCTGACACGACTTACAGGTGTCGAGCTATCTCAGTGCAGCTAGCACCGAAATAATCCTTCCAATAAGCATTAAATGCTCTCATGTACTGTAAACCAATCCACACATGAAATGAAAGTTACTTGATAATGGTCCAGGATGGACTGTAACATCGTAACTTTCATTTGATTTCATATGAGAGGGTTGGGTTATTCGTTTTCCCCCATATTATTGTGACAATCTCTGCAAATATTTTCACTTTATGCAAAGGCAACAACATACATAACTAATAACTACAAACAATGGTTAACATTTGGAGAAATTTTAAAACTTACGTGACAGGACAAGCAGTTATTGAAGGTTCGTACTGATATTCCCGTCCTCCTTCGCAAGTATCTCCAGGAATTCGTCGGTAGCCTTTTGTCCTATTGTAGAAATGTCCAGGTTTGCAAGTGTTTGGGACGGCATATGGGTCAACTCTGTCCTCTTTATCTTTTATGCACTCGTGCGATGTCATGTTATCAGCAAAACCAAAGTCACACTCAAAATCTTCACGATCACAGGGACAGTTCTCAACCAAGATTGGTCTATCGTAATTTATTCCGTTGAAGCAATTCTTGTGAGGGGCACGACGTTCATAAACCTGCTTGCGTCCAAGTAAACACATGCGTCCACTACGACCATCAGATGGAGACCATGTTTTGTAATCATCCATAGTACATTTGCTTTCAAAAACTGACTTCATATCCACCTAAGATAAAAAGAAAATGAACAAATTCAACAAACTGTCCTCCATTTATTCAAATAAAGTACCGGCCTAAAATTTATCACTTCTCTAGCTTCAATTAAGTTTCAAATTTTTTGCTTTTCAATGAAATTTTAATCATAACCATAAATGCTACATTTTCTGGGGGAAGGGGGAAAGCTAGTAAGCTTGCTTCACCAAACTGAACCATGGAGAATGAACACACTATTGTGAACCTAACTTCCCTAGTGTAGATAGTTAATTTACATGTTAACTTTGCTAATTAATGATAATCAAATGTTCAAAATGTAATACATCTTACAAACTGTACCGCCCCAAAAGCGTAATAAGCCTCATCGATTGTACCTCCTCCAGAGTCTGACACTTAAGTGGAACAATTTGTCCAAACAAGCTGTTTAAATCAGAAGTGTTTAACTTAAAAACACAAATGAAAATAATATAGCAGATGGAAAGCAAGCATGAATATACATCACCAACACAGGCTAGTATGTATGGAGGAGGATGAGCAAATACTTGCAACCCAACAAATTCCTTCTGCCCATCTGGGGTAATGTAACATGTTCCTGACCTCAAGCTGCTAATATAATAAGCATGTTTAATTACAGTACATACCTTAACAATGATCCACTGATGCATGTCTGGCTTTGAGCCAAACAGAGTAAATATTGTGGTGTTTTCACCTGGTTCAGTCATCAAGCCATATATGCGAAGTTTCTGTAAAGTACAACACAAGACATTGCAGCTCTCTCATTGATAAAGACGATCAATCAATTCTGACCATTTTGAATGCCCTTAGTATAAAACAAATAATTAAGTTACTCTTCACCAGTACAATTCTCAGTCAAATTTGATTAAACTCTTTTGTAAAGCTTTAAAATTCAATACCTTAAGAGTTTAGCATTTTTTCCATTTCCAATAAGTTGATATTGTGTTCAATATAATACATTCTATTCTAACCTCTGAGTAGAATGTATACGTAAGCCATGTCTCCCCCTCATTCGTTGAATACTGGATCTCATTCGTCTCACCATCTACTCGATAAAGTTGTACAGCTACGATAATTCCTCCATGATCGCCAAAGGTATACATGTAGTTGCCATATAGTACCTATACAAGAAGATACAATAATGCAAATTGAAGTCTTTCGAATGATGCTCATAATAATCATATTAATAATCTAAAATAACATAAATCAGAGATGCACAAACACAAATTTTACCTGATACCAGTTTATCCCAGCATCAGTGGAAACGAAGAGTGAAGTGTGACCCTTAAGGGATTTTCCAATTGTACCTGTGGCCAAAATGAGACCTGGAGCACTTGCTTTACTAAGTATAGGCATGGTATGGGCTGCAGGATAAAGATGACTTAGCTCTTGGCTTACTTGTAAAGAGCAACCTGTAGCCTGTAAGAAAAGATATTTTACAAAACTTAGCAATAATGCAATACCGACACATTTTTCTAAAAATCTACAGTTAGGTAGCTTCATTGAGTTTGGAACTATTTAGCATTTTAATGCAGAACACAATTATATTAAATGTTACTAACCCTTTCACAGTCAAAAGGATTACCCTCAAGATCTTTCCTTGGTGGTTGAAGAGGTTTCCACTGAGCACCTTGGTCAAATGTGACATAGGAGAGCACATGTTCAGGTCCCAGCTTACTATGGCTTGCATTGAAATTGGCGGCGAGTTGAGATGCAATGAATACCCCACGTACGCCCTCAATTCGGTGCAGGTCAGCAAATGCCTTATCTACTACGGCACTGTGGATGATAATTACAGAATTCAATAATACTACTACTGCGTATGACAAGGGAAAGCATTTTTATATAAAAATTAAATAATAAATGTTAACAAACCAAAAATACAATACACAAAGATATGCAGAGAATGGGTCACAATAATGTGGCTGAAACATAATAGATGTAGGAAGAAAATGCATTTAGTGGATTGAGAAAATAGTAGCAGTAGTTAATAAGAAAATTAAGTGGATTTGTTGATGCAAACTAAAGGGTAAAAAGACAAGAGAAAGGAAGGATGGAAAGAGTAAAAGATATACAAATAGTGATAAGGATGAAAAACAGCAAATCAGGACTGAAACAAAAATTTACACACAAAATTTAAGGAAACAAATAATCAGAACAAATTTAAGTATATCAAGTAAACTGGTGAAAAAAACAATGGCAACAAAGATAAGCACAACAAAATATTTACTACTGAATAAATTAAAGACAAATGTAGAGAGCACTTGAAAGCTTCATTGGTGGAATTAATGAAAGCAGTGCAAATGTGAGAATGACTGGTTTTGATAGCTTGAAAACACCACATGTATTGAGAGATACAGTACGCAGAAATTGTATTAATACAGTGGAGAAAATTAAACAGAATAGATACAATATGAAGAGTGTGCCAAAAATCATAGCAAAATGATGCTATACCAGATGATGGGAAAAGGGGTTACCTTGAAGTTACCTTGAAGTGTTTCCGGGGCTTAGCGTCCCCGTGGCTCGGTGTTCAACCAGGCCTCCTCGTTGCTGGACTGGTTAACCAGGCTGTTGGACGTGGCTCCTCGCAGCCTGACATATGAATCACAGCCTGGTTGATCAGGTATCCTTTGGAGGCGCTTATCCAGTTTTCTCTTGAACACTCAGGGGTCAGCCAATTATACCCCTTATGTGTAGTGTAAGTGTGTTGAACAGTCTCGGGCCTCCGATGTTGATAGAGTTCTCTCTCAGAGTACCTGTTGCATCTCTGCTCTTCAATGGGGGTATTCTGCACATCCTGCCATATCTTCAGGTCTCATGTGATGTTATTTCTGTGTGCCGGTTTGGGGCCAGCCCCTATAATATTTGCCACATGTAAATTATTATGTCTCTCCCGCCTGCACTCAAAAGAATACAGATTTAGGCTCTTTAGTCGGTCCAAGCAGTTTAAATGTTTTACCGAGTGGATTCTAGCAGTAAAGGATCTTTGGACGCTCTCCAGGTCAACAATTTCTCCAGCTTTGAAAGGAGCTGTCACTGCAGCAGTACTTCACCCTAGAGACCACTAGCGTCTTGACAAGTATTATCATCGGTATAGCATCTCTGGTGTGAAAGGTTCTTGTAATCCAGCCTGTCATTTTTCTTCGTAGCGAAGGTACGAAGCGAATGTACCATTATAAAAAAAAAAATTATATTTAACAACTTTTAGCGTTTCTTTCTGAGCAGCCCATTGATTGCATTTTGAAAAATCAGCTAGGTTCTATCCAAGACAGTGCAAAGCTACCAATCTCTTTTGGGGTTCAGATCCTTCGGGTCCTTCATGGGAGGATGTATTGGTACATTCGCCTGGGCTTGAGCTGGGCCTGCTTCCAACTTCTGTCGTGCCCATTCTTTTCTAGCTTGGCTTGGTTAGGTAGTGTTCTCCGTTTAGGGGGTTGCACAACTTAGAAGTTCACAGTGATGATTGACATTTCTGGTGTTGCCACTAGTATCCACCGACTTCTCCAAAATTATGTGGCAAAGCCATTTGCAAAGACCACTGTCACAGTGTGGAGAAAGTTGATGCGTGCTTGGAGTTTTAGCCATGTCCTGGTGGATCCTGCCTGATTGCATTCAAAATGACCAGGTGGTACCATGTTCAGATACGAGTAAACATAATAATTAAGAAGTAAAGCAGAGAGGTAACTTTCCACTACACTTAAGTGTAGTGGAAAAAGGGTATAAGAATAGTTATTGAAAACACACATTAATTATTTGGAAATTTCTGCAGTAAATAACAGCATGGGTTCGGTGGTGTAAGAGATTGTGTGAATTAAGCATTTGCATTGAGACAGCTCAATGGCATGATAGAAAAGATTTTAAAGTGTTCATGGCATTATGGACTTGAGAAACCCTATACACTGTATATCAACGTTAATACATATCTCTGTAAAGAAATGAACATTTATGTTATTTAATGCTGAGGGGAGCTTTTATTCAAGGAGGGTTTGTGAGGGTCAACAAAATAGTGAGCGATTGGTTTGATATTAATATAGGAGTATTCCAATGGTAAGCGGTGTTCTCGCTCATAACCTTCATATCTTTACATTTGTTGGGGCTGAATTAGAGTAGGCATTTATCTGCAACCATAACTTTCAGCTACTTTAGGTTCTCCTGTAGAACTGTACAATCTTCAACAGTCCTTATTTTTCTCATCAATTTTGCATAGTCTACAAAAATGGGTATGCAAGACCATCTCCATAGGAGGAAACTCATGTAAATCAGATACATTAGATTCCAAAAACCGAGCCTTCAGGAACCTCTTGCTATGAATGTCCTCTCACCAGGAACAGTGCGTGTCAGTCTTTTATAAAATCACCATCTCAAAATGCATTTTAGCATTCTAGGAAGATGCAATCTACCAAGCCTTCTCTCTCTTACAGACTGTCAGAGAGCAATAAGGTTTGTCATAAATGACTTCCCCCTTAAGCCAATAGCATCTCAGATATAGTTTATTTTCTTCTGATGTTCTATAATCCTTTTTCTGGTTTTTTTTTGGCCAGTAACATTCAGGGGTGATTTGGGTAAGGTGGGCAAGCATTGTTGTGGGTGGGGAGGAAAATTAATGTGGGCAAGTGGAAGATATGAGCGAGTTATGGGACGTGTGTAATGGTGATTAGTGCAAGGGTGGAGTGTGTAGAGAAACGAGTGGTGGCTAACAACATAGGCAAGGTGTACAAATATAAGTAGAATGACTTGATCGATTGTAGGGGGTTGCCCATAAACATTGAGAAAATAAAATAGCAGTCTATGGGAAGGAAATATCCTCGATTTTATGATATTAAAGATAATATTTTAAGTCCTTGACAGACATGGAGACATTTGCATCAAAGTTCCTCCAGTGTGGAATATATTACCAACAAGTGTTACACAATAAGTGGAGCATTGCAATCATTGCAACAAGGAGCAGAGTTGCTGGCCAGCAGATACCTATGTATTATGTGGGTGTGGTCTATAAGCAAACACAGTTTTCCACCAGTATGACATCCAGATCAGTGATGAACAACCTTTGTTATCTCCCTTCCTTAGCTTGTCAGAGTAAAAAGTTGCTTTCTCGAGATGGAACTCGCTAAATAGGCAGTAATACTTTGAAGGGATCAAATTGACCGAGGCACTAAAATTACACTTGCTCTACAGCTGAAGGTAAACTGGATGATGATCATGGAAAAGAACAAATTATTACTATTAGCACTAGCAGAAGGGAAATAATTTTGGATCCTTTATGCATACAGTATTACCAAACTAAGCCACTGATGACTGGCAGTACAAAACCATAGGCAACATTTGCGCAAGTCGATACATAAAGTAGTGCTGCCTTAGGTGTGTAATCAAGGCTTGCCCTTGACTGGGAATTCATGTCTATAACACTTTCGGTTGTCGGTGACATATTGCATCCATAAATAACAAATGTCCGGCAGGAATGCATTTTGTGTCCAAAATTAAAATATTTGTTAAAATTCCATTTTTTCCCGATCATGATGGGAGGCGTTTTAAAATAAGCACCAACGTCTTCGCATTTTCTGTGATAGCCCATGTGGCACAATGTCATGGAAAGGCCGTCTAGCTTTCAAGATTTATAAACCAAATGAACCTCATAAGTATGGAGTACAGCTGTACATGCTAGCTTGTACTACAGATTACTCAGCTGGCTTGGTCTCAGATTACTCCTTGTGGTGGTGCTGCTGCTAGAAGAAACCCTCGTACTGTGGGTAAACCCGAACGTCTGAACAGGAACTTGAACCATTCCCTAATTTGCATCGAGTAAGTTCTGAAGTGTCATGTCTGCTACAAGTATAGTAAAAAGGAAGGACACCAGGTATAAGTGCAAGTCGCGTGGTGTGGCACTGCGTGCTGCACCATGCTTTAATGATTCTTTAACAGGCTTGTACCATCATAAGAGGACATACCGAGTGGATAAGCAATAATGCTTACGCCTGATCCCCCACCCATTCCACATATAAAACATGGATTGAGAAACTTCAGGGAAACCTTTTAATGGAGCAGGTGGAGTGGTTCAACCTAATGCTCAACTATTGCTCTACAAACAACGTTGGATGGTAAGTACAGACATGTTTTTTCCATTTATTTATACATATGATATTGTGGTACAAACATTTATGTGAAGGAAGCAACACAAAAACAAATGATAGTGTCAACAAATAATGTCAGGAATGAATAACAAATGTAAAATAATGAAAAAAAAAGCCGGGTTCTCACATGACGATATACTTTATCTTATGGTATTGATAATGTTGTTCTTCCATTTGCCCTTATATGCATATATCCATTTAGAGCATTCTATTGCGAACAATTAGATACCAAAATGAACGATGTAACACAAAAATTGACGTGAGAAAACTGAAAAAAAGCACACACATTTTAGTGTGGGTGCAGCTCACGGGAAACACCAGGTCCACTTTGGGGTGGGCTGGAGGGGTACACGCCTTGCACCTCAAAATGTTAGAGAGTTCATTTAATATTTAAAAATATTCGTTCATATTGAAAAAAAAATTACTTACAATACTAGCAAAAATAATGATAATGTGGTAAAATGGCTGACTCCAGTATCCACCAAGACAATTTTGACAAAATAAGGCCAGCAGTTTATTTTCTTTTCTAGTGAAGCACCGATTATTAACCTGCTTTGACCCCACTGCTGTTACAGAAGACAATGTCAGGAAGACAACTGTGAATTAACTACAGTTGAAAGCAATTTGTAAAAGACAATGAAAGCAAATAAAGGTGAGACAGACTTCATTTTAAAACTTTTGAAAGTGCAGTGAATAATCATAAAGGCAATCTTGCACTGATGATGATGTTCCTTCTAACTCACTATATAAAGCTTGCACCCGGATAAGATGGACTTCTCTGTGCTTGATCCATACGACTGCATTGGGATGGGAAATGTTGATAATAGATTGATGGATGCTCTACTTCAAGATTTGAAAAGCCTCATATTATAACAACTCTCCTAATTATAATGTCACTCAATATATAGTAAATATTCTGATACCTACAATCATACAAGTTAGTCAATCATACAGGAACAAAATATAAAGTTTTCAAGGATTACCTCAGCCAAGTGTCAACCCAGTTAGTGGAGGGGTTGAAGAATACGATGCGTTCAAGGGAGAGAGAGAACTGTACTTCGTGATGAGCTGATCTTGGAACTGATGACACGTACAAGTTGGAAATGAACCCATCATGGGCAACACATACCATCACCTATAAAAGAAAAAAAAGAAAAGAAAAATGACCAAATATCCCAGCAATAAAACTCAATTACAAATACAGTACTATTATTTTATTGTCAAGAAACAAGCAGACGAGAGTAAACTTCATTGATGCTTTTGCCCTAACAGTTATCAAACTTTATGAAAGCCTTTACATGGAAACATCTTGAATAAAGTCTGCTCTTGTTTTGGCCTTTTTTTCCATCATTCGAGGCACTGTGCCCTGCACACAAATTATACTGACAACAAACTCTTAATTTCACACCTGACAGCAAGGTTACCAGCTACAAATAAATATCCATTCCGCCTCTGGGTTAGGTTTACAATTGTGGTTCTACTTCCTAAAAGTGAAGGAAAGTCATGCAAAAGTAGGAAAGTCATTCAACAGCATTGAATGTAATGAGACGCCATTTTCTGGGTAGTGCCCTGGAGACTCCCTAGAGCTACTGGACTGATATTAGCTAATATTAGCATGGGGGCTTCAGTCATATGGAGTTGTCATGCCTACAGGAGACCATTAACCAGAGCATGGTCCCCTCAGAACCTGGTAGAAATATTGCAACCCAAGACCGAACAGAGGCGAGATCACACTGCGTACCACTCGCTCGTGCTGACACCCAGAGGATGTCCCAGCCCACCGAGCCAGCAGCTGGACCGCCAGTTTCTTGCCTGAAGCTATACGGGGTGGATGCCTGCTCTGGCCTTGATTACCTGATTGGCTTCACCCTACTAGTGTTCCTTCTGCATGTTGGAGGCAGCCAGGAGTTTGTACCAAGGGCTGCATGCACTTAGGGAAGGGAGCCCCGAGTACCCTGCGAGTACACCCCTTGGGGTTCAGAGTTCCCTTCTCTGGATCCTTCGGGTCTCTCATTCCCATAGGGGTAGTGACTGCTTGCTTTGCTACCTCGCCCTTGGGTCAGCTTAGGTCCCAGTACTTTTGAATAGCCCTGGGTAGGGAGTGATTATTTGCTGGTTGGGGCGCACCGAGCTGCCCTGCTTGAATAATCGCAGCAGCCGTGAATCTTTCTGGTCCCCCTGGATCATTGTCCTTCCTCCGAGTTCTCTTTCATCCTTTAGTTTGCTTTACTGACCGTTGGGAGGCTGCCATAGTCCTTATTAGGTGCTACCTAGGTTCAGTAGGGCACTTTTCTCCCCAACAGAGAGAGAGAGAGAAGAAAAAAAAAAAAAAAAAAAAAAAAAAAAAAAAAAAAAAAAAAAAAAAAAAAAAAAAGCGTCACTTGGCTGCCCTTCAGATTACTGCATCATGTAACCTTCCCTACCAAAATTTCCCTAGGAGAATCGTGATTCTTTACAAAAAAAAATATATATTTAGTAAATTTCCAAAATATCATTCTTGTAGTGATATAAATGAATTATTACATATGTTTAAATAAAAACAGGGTTATAAACCATTAATAATTGCACATTAAAGGCCTATATATTTGTGTAAGCTCAGTGGGGTTTCATACACCTTAATAATGATCAAGTATTCATCCCTATACTCAGTAACATTTGCTTCCAAACAATTTGACAGCAAAATCAATGTTCAAATTCTATAAATAGTTTTGCAAACCAAACAGTTTATATTAAACTGATTGCTTATATATAGCAATACCTACAGCCATTAAGTATCCTTCACTTTCACAAATTGTTGAATAAACATTAAAGAAAATTGTGTGCCTTCAACAGCAAAATAAATCAATCACCTGTGGACATTTATGTACATGCACGCAGGGATGCCAGATTGGGCTACTAGTAGCCCAATTGGGTTACCAATTAGGATAATTGTATTCAATTAAAAAGCCAGCTATGCATGTCGCTACTTACTACTTTTTCGGCGACAGTTAAAATAAGCTGGGCTGTTTATTCTGAAAAAGCAAATTAATCGGAAAAAAATATTTGGCTACTTTTATTGTAAAGTTTGTGACATTTAGTTCTTCAGCTCGCAACTTTTGGCAACTCAAATCTGGCACCCCTGCTGATGCACGTTTAAAACAGGCAATTATAACTGATGTACATGTTCATACCCGTCCTTCAGAGATGTCAGCAACATAGTAGTGTATATGATCAAAGCCATTTGGAAACTCAGCTCTCAGAAATGGTCCTCCTTGGTAAGATACCCACATTTGAAGGGTAGACTCTCTGGATGGTGATCCCAGAAGATGCTGTAGACAAATTAGGAATTAAAAAAAAAAAAAAAAAAACGGTATACTGTACTGTGCTTCATTAGCAAAGCTATAATAATTAGAAAAGACTAGCCGGTAGGTATTTTTTACATTTAACAATTACACTATAATCCTGAAAGCTTGCTCAATTTATCATAACTTTACAGCACAAGGTACATAATCAAACTACAGTGGAAACCCACTTGAATGAATGATTGGCTGGACCAGAATGAGGATTTCATTCCATACTGGTCCAGAATGGACCAGATTCCATTCCATCATATTTTTGGGACCTACTCACTCTATTATACTATGTTATCACACTATTATACGATGTTATCAAACACACTGACGCAGTAGTCACTGGCTCCAAAGGGCACTCAAAGTTCTCTACATCTGCTTTAATTTATATAAACACCAGGCACAGTGTAGCCAACGGATATTCTACCCATTCTCATATCGGCTCCCAAATATGTTATTTTGAGGTTATCTTGAGATGATTTCGGGGCTTTTTAGCGTCCCCGCGGCCCGGTCCTCGACCAGGCCTCCACCCCCAGGAAGCAGCCCGTGACAGCTGACTAACACCCAGGTACCTATTTTACTGCTAGGTACCAGGGGCATAGGGTGAAAGAAACTCTGCCCATTGTTTCTCGCCGGCGCCCGGGATCAAACTCGAGACCACAGGATCACAAGTCCAGCGTGCTGTCTGCTTGGCCGACCGGCTCCCCTCTCGCTGGCGCCCGGGATTGAACCCGGGACCACAGGAAGATGAACATGTGAAGGTGACGATCTGCTGTTGCTGGCAGCATACCAGCAGCTAGGCTTAGTCTCCTTGTCAACAAGTGTCAATTTTATCTTCATTTATTCAAATAAAGATTTAACTATTCAAGCATGCATTCACTCAGCTTTACTACATTAAATATTACATTAATCAATATATTGGCATTAGATTAGGCAACGAGAAAATAACAATCCTTCACCATTTTGAAAAAACCTCAAATGAACTTTCTCCCACTCCTGGCTAGTGTATTGTACATTATTATTACTATTAGCCAAAACAAAGTCAAATACCGAATATGAATAAACATACAAGAAAAAAAATATACTGGTGTTCTGATGTACAGTAGAGGACAAAAATGCATTCTATGGTAACTTAATTTAAAAACAAATATATACCAATAATAAACAGGTCTATAGACCTGTAGCTTAATAAAATTAGGTATTTATGACCAACCTGAATTGCCAACATTTCAATTCAGCCAGTTAAATATGGTGCAAGAATGCATTAAAGAATAAAAATTGCAACTCATTCATGTACAGTACTTTACTTCTGAAGTTGGAAAGCTTTTCACAAATAAATCGGGAGCCATCTTACCACTTTCTTCACAGCAAAGAGGAATTCATCTTTCGCCTCAAAATCTTCTACATCTGTTATGACCGTTATTGGCACTGACGATTCACTGAAAAACAAATACTGTACAGCACTATATTACCTTTTGTAATTTGTATGCAAAAATCATTCAATTTTATGGAATAAAAACCATCAGAGAAAACTCAACACAGTCAGTCAATACATGTAACAGTAATCTACAGTAGATTGTAAAGAATAAAGCCTAACTTTGAAAAATAACACAAGCAAATGCACTTCTTAACCGATTCAGACATTTCACATAATTAAAACTAAATAAGATTACTTATATGTAAAATGATGAGGCTGTGTAAATTTCTTTAACTTCATAGTATAATTAGTGTGTTATCTGTCAAATATTGATTTACTTCTTAAAATTATATCTTCTGATGTCTCCCAGCTTTAGTGTCGGTAAATTGTAAGCATTTGTTGTTTCAAGTTTAGTCCACTTAGCCATTCTTTATGATAGTTTACGATTTATATTTTTGCTACAACTGTCGTCATTCCTGCTACACAGTGTTTTTCTAATACTGTATATAATTCATTTTATCGAGGATAGGTAGCCTGTGTGTGTGTACACACACACACACACAATAGGCTTAAGCTTCATAATAAATTAACTAGACATCAGCTGTCAAGATGATCCAATACTGTCTAGAACATATGTAAAAAAAAAAAAAAAACCAGTAAAATTTAAAAAAAAATATAATATTCTCATCTCTTCTCAAACACTGCTATAAAGTAATATGGGTACTCTACACTGCATTTTTAAGACAAGATGAAACTATCAAACATTGTTCTGAAACTAAGAATTAAACTAAATGTCTAAATACATTAAAATTTCCAACACTAACATTTTAATAGACATCAAATAACTTGTACTCTTATCATGGGGCTTTTTAATCATCACACTCTGAATATTACATAATTTAAATAATTGTCGTTGATAGAACTACCGAATTTCCTGGTGGAAAGATGCAAATTTTTGTTCCGCCACCGAGTACACGTTGTATTTACAGGCACAAAATCTTGTTTTCCCTGCAAAACCACTTGAACATCACTTTCAACACATGTATAATTAAACATTAATATGGTTTTTCCCCCATACAAAATATCCTTGTAAATTAGAAGTGTCTTGTACAACAGAAAATACAGTAAATAAACCTGGACAGAATTAAACTAACAACATGCACTAATAATGACATTCTGGGGCAATTTAAGATATTGGTATACTAACCTGAAAAGGTATTGAGAAGAAACAACTGATGCTGATCCCGATGGTTCTTCTCTCTCAACATATAGAGTTGGTGGCGAGGTGGCTTCGGACCAGAAATATGACTTGACAAACCTTTCAATAATCCTCCAATTTTCTCCAAAATCTTCACTAATCCACAGCTAATAAAGCAAATACAGTATTAAATTAGTTTTAGGAGAGACCAATTCATGAAAATGGAAAGAGCTCTTTGCCTTGCCAATATATAAAGAATTTACTGCATTTACTCTACTTTGAATACAAATAAGGCAATTTTTACAAAAGGTGTTTTAACACAAATTAAAGTTTACCTACCTTGCGCTCTCCATCTTTTGTATCATAGACTAATAAAACATCAGCATCGACTGGATGATGAGTAACATCAGACGGAGTAAATTTAACTTTGCGAGAGGTCACATTTATACCATTGTTGTGAGTTAGGTACATGTACTTATTGATGACATCGGTGAACACAAACTGAAAACGATAAAATTATTATGTAAAACCTTTTCGTGTTTAAATTACTGTATATAAAAAAAATTACATTATAAATACTTTATACAGTACAGTACATTAAAACACTGCAACACTGTCACAATAACGTGGCTGAAGATATGACGACCAAACCACGCATCAGAAGATATGGAAACGAAGAAGTTTTCGTCCCTCCTGGACCATTATCAAGTCGTGCATTGAAAATAGTCCAGGACGGACCGAAACGCCGTCTTTTCTTCGTTTTTTGACGTGTGGTTTGGGCATCACTGCAAACGTTTAAGTCTCATAATTAGCAAAATATTCCTCACAATCAAACTTCAGTATGGCCACTGCAAATTATCTAAAGCCAAAAGATTTCATACATGGAGACAAAAAATACATGTTAAAAACTGAATATAATCACTAATACTGTAATTTCTAAAACTGTGCAAGTACAGTACGCAGAAATTTCATACCCTGGATGTGTATTTGTCATTTTTGTAAAATTTGTTGATAGTAGCTGGTTTTCCACCAGATGTAATGAATTTGCTCGTTTCATTCTTGAAGGAACTTCCATAATCATACGAGATAAAAACATTGGAGACCGAGGTCTTGTTTTGAACAGCATCTCGCGTAACACACACGACCACATCACTTCCTTCTCCAGCCCAGTCTATCATCACCTGATGGTGACTGTCATTCAGAGCAAACTGAAAACATAAGATTACATTATACGACAGTTAACAGAAACAATGAAATGTCATTAATCATCCAAGTCAAGGTTTTGAAATTGAATTTAAAGTAAAACATTATTTCAGACATCATGTTTAAGAATCAAAATAAATACAATCACATGAACTATACATTAATAAAATTTCATACTTTAGGTACTATATAGTACTTTAGTGATGCATTCAACAGAATGCGTTTGGAAAATATCCTTGTGATATTCCAGTATTATCTAAACCAACACTCTGTCAAATAACCTTAAACAAATATTGTTCACAGTGAAAAGATATATATATATATATATATATATATATATATATATATATATATATATATATATATATATATATATATATATATATATATATATATATATATATATATATATATATATATATATATATATATATATATATATATATATATATATATATATATATATATATATATATATATATATATATATATATATAACGAGACAATCCGATTGTCTCGTCCTGTGGACGAGACAATCGGAATGATAGCCGACAGAGTGTATCGTGAGTGATCCAGCCTGTACTCCTCTTGACATGCCAGAAAATATTCTGAGGAAACTACTCCAAGCTTGTACTAAAGAGGCACCCTTCTTGAGCCCGGATGGGCACATGTATAAGCAAGTAGATGGGGTCGCCATGGGTTCTCCCCTAGGTGTCCTGTTTGCAAACTTCTACATGGGTACCATCGAGCAAAAAGTCTTAGTCGACATGAACTTGAAACCGGCCATATACTGCAGGTATGTTGACGACATTTTTACACAGGTACCCGATGTCAGACATCTGCAAGAGCTGAAGGAGGCATTTGAGCAGAGTTCCGTGCTGCGTTTCACTTACGAGATGGAAAAGGATGGGAAGCTGCCCTTTCTAGATGTAACAGTCATGGAAAAGGGCGGAGGTTTCCACACTGCAGTCTACACTAAGGAAACAAACATAGGAATGTGCCTAAATGCCAACAGCGACTGCCCTGATAGGTACAAGAGGAGTGTTGTTAACGCATATGTCGACCGTGCTCTCAGCCACAGCTCAGAATGGAAGCAAGTCGACGAAGAACTCTGTAGGGTAAGGCAGGTCCTAGTCAATAACGGCTTCTCCAATGGTTTCATCAAAGACATCATAAGAAGGAAAGTGAAAAGCCATGCAACCTCTGAAGAGACAACTAACACAACACCTATACCCCCTATTAGACTATTTTACAGGAACTTCTTTTCCACAGCTCATAAAACGGAGGAAAGGGTCCTGAAAGATATTGTTAATAGAAACGTTATCCCTACAGACAAAAATCAGAGGATACAACTGACGATTTACTATAAAACCAGAAAAACGGCCAGCCTTCTCATGAGAAACTCTCCAGACACAAAACAGAACGCTTTAAAAGAGACTAACGTCGTCTATGCCTTCAAATGCCCACTTGGGGACTGTAAGCTCCAAAAAACCCAGTATATAGGCAAGACAACAACATCTCTTTCAAGGCGTTTAACGATGCATAAGCAACAGGGCTCCATTAAGGAACATATAATCTCTTCCCACAACCAAACCATCGCCAGAGAAATCCTAGTAAACAACACAGAAATCATCGATAGATACAGCGATAGCAGGCGGCTTGACGTTTGCGAGGCACTACACATCAAGAAGTCAACACCAGCAATCAACAGCCAATTATTGCACAACTATATTCTACCCACCTCAAGACTCCGCTCCAATATAGAAGCATCAAGAAATATGGACCAATAGGCTTTCTACAAACACTTCTATTCAATACCCATTGTTTGTGTTCTGTCTTGTGTTGATACTTTTAATACCCTATTAACACTTTCGCTCGGGGATGACGCAGCATTGCGTCATCCGTTTACTGGCGGTAATGCCGGGGATGACGCAGCATTGCGTCATCCACTTTAAAAATTCGCCAAAAATCAGGTTTGTATCCGATTTTTTGGCGACTGGTTTTAAAATGTGCGCCGATGTCTTCCCATTTCCTTTGTTGAGCCTCGTGGCCCTCAGGCGGCTTGGCACACGCCGTGGGCCCATTGTCTTTGCTCCACTGTTGTGACCAATGTCGTCTCCCCTCGCATCTCAAACGTGTGAACATTTCGGCTATTTTCCGTGGCTATATTTCTTACTGCGGCTTTAGAAACTATCTACGCTTACTCCACGATGGATAGTAATCATGAACAAGGCCCTTCCAGGAAGAAAATTGCGAAAGAAAGGCTTGAAAAGGGTGGGAATTGGGAGTGTAGTAGGAAGGCCTCTGAGCGCTCACTCACGGCTAACGCGTGGCCCGTCTTCAACTCGTCGGCGGTTGGAGAGTGACCAGGTGTTTTTTTTTATATGCTAATGTTCCTCTAGAGAATTTTATTACGAACCCATTGAGACCAAAATGAAAGACCTAGGACAAAAATTGAGGTGACCAGAGTGAAAATAGTGAAAACATTTTATCCCGTTTGCGCGCTCCCGGGTAACTCGTTCGCACTTTCTCTGTTTGCTGCGGGTAATTAGCCGGGCTTTTGGAGTTTATATGCATTTAGTGCTGTAGAGAATTTTATTGCGAACACAATGATACCAAATTTATTCTCGTAGAAGGAGAATTGAGGTGACAAAGTTGAAGAGAGTATACACTTTTCGGAATTAACGCGCGCTTCCGTGACACGCTGGGGCCCATATCGCCCTGTCGAGGGGTGGCGCGCGGGGTGAGCGAAAGTGTTAATATCCCCTCTTGTTCTGTCTTGTGTTAATGCCACATCACCCCTCCCACCTCACTCAAATGTAGATATAAAATCGGAGATACGTATGTTCAGTTGTGTATTTGTGAACTAAAGTCTTTGAAAATGTAATAAGTTTTACGAAACGCGCCCGTGTCGCGTCAGACTAGAAATAAAAATGAATTTTGGAGAATTGATTTTTAATTTACCTCCAACAGTGAAGCGTAATGTACGAAAGATTGAGAAAATTCGTGTTAGAATTATTGATCTTACTTTTTCGGTCATATTTAATAATATATGTCTACAGGAAAGACTGCTACCAAAATATACTATATATATATATATATATATATATATATATATATATATATATATATATATATATATATATATATATATATATATATATATAAATATATATATATAAAAATGAGCTGTACAGATACAAAAGCTAAAAAACTGGGTTTATACAAGACCTGCTTTGCATAGCCAATACTAGCATAACTGTACTTGTGGGGTATTGGCTTCAGCTCCTGGGTCTCACCATTCTTCTAATGTAATAATTCTCAACTCCTTAGTTTCTTGTTATTTCTGCATTTAATGTAATGTACAGTACTTATTTTCAGCTATTTGGCACCATCCCCATCTCTAGTGATGCATTAGACATCAATGCAAGTGTTTTGTTTTTACAGTACAGTATTTTAGAAGCTTCATTTAGGATCCACGATGAGATCCTGCGAGATCCCACAGCTTTTATCTTATCAGGTTCTGTTACCTACTGTCTGGTTTCCTGTCATTACAACCCCTGCATTGTAATCCATGCACTTGTTCCTATTTAGTACTTATTTAGTTTACTTATTCTGTTTAGTAGGGGCCTGACAGCTGAGTGGACAGCGCTTCAGATTCGTAGTCCTGAGGTCCCGGGTTTGATCCCCGGTGGAGGCTGGTTTCCTGTCATTACAACCCCTGCATTGTAATCCATGCACTTGTTCCTATTTAGTACTTATTTAGTTTACTTATTCTGTTTAGTAGGGGCCTGACAGCTGAGTGGACAGCGCTTCAGATTCGTAGTCCTGAGGTCCCGGGTTTGATCCCCGGTGGAGGCCGAAACAAATGGGCAGTTTCTTTCACCCTGATGCTCCTGTTCACCTAGCAGTAAATAGGTACCTGGTAGTTAGACAATTGCTACAGGCTGCTTCCTGGGGATGTGTAACAAAAAAGGAGGCCTGGTCGAGGACCGGGAGAGATAGATAGATAGATATATATATATATATATATATATGTCGTACCTAGTAGCCAGAACTCACTTCTCAGCCTACTATTCAAGGCCCGATTTGCCTAATAAGCCAAGTTTTCCTGAATTAATATATTTACTATAATTTTTTTCTTATGAAATGATAAAGCAACCCTTTTCTCTATGTATGAGGTCAATTTTTTTTATTGGAGTTAAAATTAACGTAGATATATGACCGAACCTAACCAACCCTACCTAACCTAACCTATATTTATAGGTAAGGTTAGGTTAGGTAGCCAAAAAAAGCTAGGTTAGGTTAGGTTAGGTAGGTTAGGTAGACGAAAAAACATTAATTCATGAAAACTTGGCTTATTAGGCAAATCGGGCCTTGAATAGTAGGCTGAGAAGTGCGTTCTGGCTATTAGGTACGACATATATATATATATATATATATATATATATATATATATAGATAGATAGATAGATATACTGTATAGATATATAGATATAATGTGGGTGTAGGTTATAAATACATTGTGTATGAATATTTATACACATTTGTACATGCCTATATTTTGAAAGTTATACCTAATGAACCCAATCTTTGGCACATCAGTACAACTTATTACAATGAAAAACTATATAAATAAAGCACGACACACTGAAAATAAATTGACAGTTATTTCTGTGTGGCACCTCGCCTGAAAAAATGCAACTTCTCCGACCCACTACACCTAAACCACAAGAGATAAGAGACTTTTTTATCTGGAGTTTTTTTTCCTTTCCGGATGCTAATTAACAATGTCAAAAGAACAAATAATTTTTCAGAGCAATTTATTTTATGAGCACCAGAGCATTGCATGATGAAATCGCTTGAGCAGCCAAAGGGCTAGTCTGATCTCGGGCACTACGTCATGGAACTTAGTTTTAGAGCAGTATATGCTACAAGGTCTTTATTTGTTATTAACTCTTAGGCGGCGATTATTGCCTATTGACAATCCTTAAGTTGCACATATTGGGGGCTCGGAAGAGAACAAAATTCAAATTATGTAAAAATTACTTAAAAATGTTAAACAAATCTCCAACTTAATGGTTCAGTGTTGTGAAACTTTCATGAAAATATTTTCAGAAATTGATTTTAGACGAATTTGTAAAAAATAAGAACGTTTTGTTGATAAGGAGAACAGCTCCTATTAACTGGAACTGATGGATATAGCAGTAATAAAGAGATGCAAGCACCTGTCCAACGCACAAAAGAAGAAGAATAATAGTAAGAAGTATCCACAAAGTGGATATGCAGCTGGTGCCTTTATACCACTGTGAGTAATATATAATAATAAATAATAATGAATAAGTATGTTATGCTCTATTTTGTTATACATCATAAATACACTGTGCAATGTTATCATCAGTTACTTTCATCAATGTCCAAAAAATATGCCATATTGACAAAAAAAAATTTACAGTAAACTATACTAGAAACCTATATTCTATTCTAAATATATGAAAAATGAAGATCAAATGTTATTCTGAGAGCGTAATAACAACAAATGAACAATTGGTGACATTTTATATTTTTGCAGCCGATTGAAAAAATCTGAAGTTTTCAACATTCAATTATATAATTTTATATATTATCTTGTTTTTCAAGTTACGTTGGTATCATTTAGACAAAGTTGGAGCATTTGTCTAGTAGATTATGCACAAAACATTTGAAAGAGTTTCAGCAAATTTTAAAAACTTGGCTAAATATCCCACTTCATACGACGTTTTGCACAGCTTAAGGGATAAGGTTTAAGGTAATGCTGTTACGGACCCGAGCCCAGCGTCCGAGCACGGAGCAGTGACGACCACGCCATCTGTGGGTCAGCTCCCGAAACCCCCTCCAAATGGACGACGCCATCTAGTGAGGACGAGATATACTGGCCACAAGGGCTAGTTTCCCGTCCTGATCAGCTCATAACACAGCCGCTGCCGACCTCTGGTGAGGTGACGCTTAGACAGCAACGCCATCTATGGAGTGGATAGATGGGCGTTTGTGTCTAAGCCTGTAAGTGAGGTGCCCTAGTGTGTAACTAGTACTGATGACGTGTCTGATTACAGAGTCAACCTGGGACTGCTGTAATGGAAGTTGGATCAGTCTACCCAAGGCAGCCGTAGAATCTCCAAGTGTTAGCTGCAGAAGTTGAGTCACCCCCCGGATGAACACTGTTGTGTTAGCCTGCCTGTGACGTGGCAGTTGAGGATTTGTCGTACCCGGGGCTGACTAGTGGAGAAGACTAACCACTGGGGTGTTGTGGTGAGGGGAGTGATCTGTGAAGTCACACGAGGCTCCTGCCTAGGGCTCGCAACCCTAGTATCGGTCGTGGAGTGGCCTAAGCTGCGGAACTGATTGGAACCTGCCAGCTACAGGCTGGATTTGTGGTTGAAGGCCTCCACGACGGTGCCCCCAGTGGAACTGTGATTTGGCTGGCCTGTGGCCAGGGTAGACTCGAGAGAATCGAAGGATTCATCGTGAGGCCACAAGAGGACCAAGAGCTAAGCATTGTTGAGCACCGTGGAACACTCCGCGTCTTCAGAGGAAGACCAGATTGTATATAATAGTGTTTATACCTCCCCCGTATGATAAGATATATATTATTTATGGTGGCGGTGATAATTATATATTTAAGTTTTTGCCTTTGTCTCCCTTCCCCTTTAATTTACTTGCGTTACGGAACACACCCCTTGAAAGCCACTACTAACTTGGGGCCGGATACCCAAACTCTATTAACATCAGAGAAAGAACCCAGTTGCGACCCAAGAGGGCCGTAACAAATGCAATTGCCATTAAACTATTTAAACAATTATTGTTTGGGTAAATCCACAAGGGCCGTGACGAGTGTTCGAACCTACGTCCGAGAGGATCCCTCGGACACAGGATCCAAGTAAGGATCTGCAGGATTCAAGTAAGGTCAGTAGAACTTCTGGTTGCAATTCTCTTAACCATGTCAAAGGTCAGTCGATTAAGGCAGCGTCTGGGATCCTCTCGGACGTAGGTTTGAACCCTCGTCACGGCCCTTGTGGATTTGTTCATTCGATGCATCACGCTATTGTGATTTGTGTGTGTAATTATTGTCTGGGTTTTTAGATGCATGATGCAAATACTGTACGGATATAATAGGTCTATGTAGATGTGATAGAGTTTACCTTGACCTTTGAAAAAATCCTGCTACCATTTCATGGTTACGAATGCAGTTATCGTCATGAATGTTACTAAGGGGAATGCAGCCATTGTCATATGACTACCAGTATTTAAACAATTATTGTCTGGGTTTTACATGTGTGATGCAAATATGGATATAATAGCTCTGTGGAGGTAAATAAAGAAAAACAAGTGATAAAACAATCGGTGAAATATCAGAGGATATAACAGCAAGTGTCAGCAAAGTCGAACACCAGGCATTGACAAGTGCTAGAGACAGCCTTGCAAAGTGTCTCCACCCAGCAAATTGATAAATAATTGCCCGTCACGTTTTTCTCAAATTTTGCCTACAAATTAATAATTCTGCAAGGAAAAATATATTTTTCATTTTTTGTGCAGACAGATATGACCAATTCTCCATAGCTGCTGTCCAAGGGTTAATAATAATGTTATTATTAGTCTGCACTTCAAAATGTACAAGATAATATCAGGATGACTTGCCCCTTACAGTTACCCCAAGCTATTGTGGCCAATATTAAGTCATGTTCGCTAACATGACTACCTTTACCGTGTACTACCAGTTTGGGGTCTCAGAGGTACAGTCGGGTTCGTTCTAGACACACAATCGAGAATTCTGGGTTCACATCCCGGGCGGGACAAAATGGTTTGCCATATTTCCTTTCATCTAATACCTCTGTTTACCTAGCAGTAAGTAGGTACTCAGACGATAGTCAGAATGTTGTAGGGTTGCATCAGTAATAAATCAGTATTGGGGGAGGGTCAGTAATTCAACCTTGGGTGGGGAGGGGGACCTCGATATAAGCCTAGAGTGTATGAATACACTCTAGCTTCCTGTCTGCCGACACAATGAATTATTATTATTTAATTATTAAAAACTCTGATAAATTCTATTAGTAGTGGGGTAATAGAGTAACATCCTGAAATCTTTAAGGATCATCTTGGCATACATAGAATGCTTTTCTTTTATTACTGAACTCTCTAGCACTAGCAGAAACATCCTATGGGTGTTGACGAGTAACAATAACATGGCGGAAAAGTGTTGACCAAACCACACACAAGAAATTGCAGAGACAACGATATTTTGGTCTGTCCGGTACCATTATCGACTTCATAATGGTCCAGGACGGACCGAGACGTCATCGTCTCTTCAATTTCTAATGTGTTGTTTGGTCAACGTCCTACGAATGCAGAGACTTTTGGTAAAAAACTGATTATCATATGTTTAGAATTATGGAGAATATGCAGAGAATCTGGTGCTTGCCATAACAAATCTGGTCCATTACAACACATAGGAAAGGGCAAAAAATATTACTTATATTTTGCAATTGTAGGCAAGGTGAAGATTAAAGTGCTCAAATAAATGCATTTTCAAAGTACACAGTTCTGTACTGGCATGCATCCAAATAGTACAGTACAATATCAACATGAATGACACATTAAAAAATCTTTAGTTAGGCAATGTGGATTAATGATGCTTGAGATGGGTAACATTGTTGCCAAGCCATTAATATGCCTTGGGCCCAATACAGATTAATAATTTCTTGAACCCTCATTCATTGCACACTATCAGGTATCAAGTGTCATTTACCATTAACAAGAACTGGGAGTATTACTCATGACAGCTTCCTAAATCCAAGATATCTTGAGGTTATCTTGAGATGATTTCAGGGCTTAGCTTCCCCGCGGCCCAGTCCTCAACCAGGCCTCCTTTTTGTTACACACCCCCAAAGAAGCAGCCCGTAGGAGCTGTCTAACTCCCAGGTACCTATTTACTGCTAGGTAACATTGGGCATAAGGGTGAAAGACACATTTTGCCCCTTTGTCTCCGCCTCCACCGGGGATCGAACCCGGAACCTCAGGACTACGAATCCAAAGCACTGCCCACCCAGCTGTCAGGCGCCACGGACTGTTTCAAGCAAACAAAGATGAGCAGAAATAAGTGACAGGGGAGGATGCAATCACGAGACGTTAAACCCAAGAATATTCACTCGAATTGAGACATTAGTTTTCCCCAAACCTTCTTGAAAACTTTAACAACATAAACTTATTGATAAACATTCTGAACTTCAATGAAAAACCAAGATCCAATGTGAACCTTTTTCGGTACTACTGGTCTGAAGAGATGTTCCGTGGCTATATAACAAAGACATAACAGCAAAATGTCAAGATAATGTATAATGAACCGTGAATATTGTGTGAACATACTGCTTCGACCTGTGGCAGAAGAGGGGGGTTCTCTACGCTACGTCTGGCCCTGTGTGGGCCAGGGTGGCCCTGGTGTGGCCCAGCGGTGCCCTGGTGTGGCCCAGCAGCAGCAGTGACAGTTATGGGGCCGGACCTCTTGTCTCTGGCCACGGTGATGAAGGTAGCGGGCGAGCCATGCCTCTCACACACACACACTTCAAGCACCACCACCACCAGCAGGAAGAAGGCTGCCCTGAGACGCAGAGCAGCCATGTTTGTTGTTGCTGGGACGCTCAGTGAATGAGTGAGTGAGTGAGTGCGTCGGTGATGAGTGCCTGCACCGCCACTCACACACACTTGTGAGGGCCCTACGCTGCTTCCCGTGACACTGACTCACCACCTCCACCACCTTCCACTACACTACGTATTCAACTTGCTATATAGCTTCCCTTAACTACCCGAGGCGACATAACTACCTGTATGTATAATGGGGTGGTTAGTGGAATTACTAGTGGTTGGAGATTATAGGGGTGTGAGAAAGGGGTATGAGGTGGTTGTTATATGGGGTTGGAACGGCAGAGATTGCGCAATTTGTAATTATTCCAGGTTTACTGACAGTTTTCTTTAACTATATGTATACACCACCGCCCACGGGATGGGTATGGGGTGCATAATAAAGAAATTGACTATATATGTATATATGTATATATATATATATATATATATATATATATATATATATATATATATATATATATATATATATATATATATATATATATATATATATATATATGGGGGGATACATAAGGGATAAACATAGGGGCTGCAGAAGGCTTATTGGCCCATACGAGGCATCTCCTATCCAAACACAAAGATTAATCCAGTGTAATTGGCCTGTTATGTTGGACATTGTCTTCTGTGTTGGCATCGATATGTTCTTGTCTTGTCCTTACTCTCATGGTGGGTAGAGTAAATAGTTCCGTGATTTGGGTGTTCATGGTAGGTCGCTCTATTCTTATGTGAATTGCCTCAAGAATTTGTAATCTTCTTGAATCTTGGGTTTTGTCTATTATGCAAGTATTCTTGTTCAACATTTCTCTTGTTAGAGTAATGTCATGGGCTTGTCTCATGTGATTCCTAGGGGCACCAGATTGAAGATGGCATGTCAAACGCCTCGTCAGCTTGGTCGACGTCATACCTATGTACTTACATTGAAGGTTACATCCTTCGTGGGGGCAAGTGTACATGTATACAACGCTTGACTGCTGTAGAGGGTTCTCCGTCGGCTTCGGGCTGTTTTTGATAAGGAGTTCGGAAGTCTTCTTGGTTTTGTAGAATATTATCAGGTTTATGTTTTGGTTAGGAGTAGTGCTTTTTACTCCTTTACGGATTATTTACTCCTTTATATATATATATATATATATATATATATATATATATATATATATATATATATATTCCGTTCCTGTTGCAGGGTCATTCGGTCCAGCTTTGCGTTGGCCCGGGGTCTGCAATCAATAACCAGCTAATATGTGTATATACACACACACACACACACACACACATATATATATATATATATATATATATATATATATATATATATATTGATCTCAAAATGTTCTTTTTAACTAAAACCAGTTACAGCTAGGAACTGAAGGGAAAAAGCGTGAATAAACTACAAAAAATCAAATACATTTTATATCTTCATTATAGTCAATACGTACGACATACTTGTGCTAGCTTAATATTAATTGTGTCACGTACAAGTCCTGTACGGCGCGGGTTCAGACCAAGAACGTGCTTGTTTGCTACCTCGATCACTTACATTATTATACATCCAATACCACTCCTAAAGATTTGTGGTGGGAAGATAAAGATGCGCCCCATGCCCATCATGTGAGTGGTGGCGGGAAAGTTAAAGATAATAATTCAGAGTGTCGGGGGATAGGCAGCCATTGTATATACATGTTAGGCTTATATCAAGATCCCCTCCCCGGTAAGATCGAACTACTGACCCTTCCCAGGATGCAACCCCACAACAATTTAGCTGACTGAATCCTAGGTGCCCATTTACTACTAGGTGAACAGGGGCATCACAACCTATTCTCCTTTTTTTCAGGGATATTCCTGCGCGGGCCCTAAGCCTCTGGCTGGCCCAGTAAGTGTTGCTTGTTTCTGTTTTACTTAGGTGGAGTGTGAGTATTTATGACTCGTATGATCGCTTCAGTAAGATTTTGTCCCATGTGTTGAACAACTTCTTCTGCTCTGTTGAATTTAGGTTGAAATCTTATTGGGTTTGTAACTGTGCACTGTGTTAGATAATGTTCCAGCGGTCTGTCAGGCTGCACAGTGCTGACACTTTCTATCATCTTCTGGTACCCATGCACATGGGTATCCAAGCCTGATGTGAAGTAAGTATACTTCTGTTGTTCTACTGCCCCCTTTCATCAAAATAAGTGATTCGTAGTTGGTTGAATTCTTGTACCAACCTGCAGATCCTGATGTTGCAACTGCTGTGTTGTGGTCACTGTACATCATCTGCATTGCTCTATTTCTAATTACTTTTTTAATCTCTGATAGACTCTGGTATATAAATGTCTATATTTCTTTGTTTAGTTGCAAGTTTTGCAGCTTCGTCTGCAATGTCATTTCCTATTATTCCCACATGACTTGGCACACAGTTGATAAGTACCCGATGGCCTTGACGTTTGAGTGTTTGAATTAATGATATGACATTTGTCATCAGATGGATGTTGTCATGTATGTGTTCTTGTTGCAAGGTTTCAATGTCAGTTCTCGAATCTGTATGTATGATAACATGTTGTTGGTGTTCAGCAAGAGCATGTTCCAAAGCCTTTTGAATGGCTAACATCTCTGTTTGCAAAGTTTAACATCCGTTTGAGAGTCTCCAACTATTTAGAGTTTCCTGCCTTAACTGCAGCTCCTGTTTCTTGTCCCTGCTGGATCCATCTTGTCCACTTATTCATCTGTGAAGTATGTGAAGCTGTCAGATGCTAAGTTTGCTTCTATTTGCATCTGTGCAATATTACGTAGCAGATGAGGATTAGTCTGGTTCTTTTTTCCCTCAAGAACCATAATCATAAAATCTGCTGGCAGCGATTTCCAAGGGGCTTGTATAACAAAGTCTGTGTGTATTTCGTCGACACCCCTCTCAGTGACTGTATTTGTTGTATCGAATGTATTGATGGTGTTTATTGCACAATGGGTCCATCTGTTGCTATTGGAGGCTCTTCTGTCCCGAGTTAGTGCTCCAGTGATTATATCTTTAAGTGAACTGATTCTAGGTTAGTTTAGTTTGTCTTTGCAAGAGAAGTAGACAATCTTTTTCCGGTTTATCCAAATTCAATAGTACCTATTTCTACTTTCTAATTGCGTTGTACGTTGGTATATGTACTATGGTTATCATTGTTACTATAACTTTGGTGGTGATAGGAAACGCGGCCAACCATTTTCACTGCAAACAAGCATGAAAATCTCGTTGAAACGAGATTTTCTCGTTTTTCTGATCTCTTTGAAACTGAACAACGTGGAGGATGTCGATCCAGACAACTTCTTCAAAAGGTCGGATGTGACACAAACAAGGAGCAATGGTTGCAAGCTCAACAAGTACCAAAATTGCAAGTTTACTGTCCTCGTCGAGGCCACTAGTGTGTTAGAGGCCCTTAGGTAATTTCAGGTAAATATGCAGGCGATGAGTCACAATAACGTGGCTAAAGTATGCTGACCAGACCACACACTAGAAGGTGAAGGGACGACGACGTTTCGGTCCGTCCTGGACCATTCTCAAGTCGATTGTCAGGTAAATATAATATGGATGTAGCACACTGCTGTGTACTTGTCCATGTTTGTTAATAATAATAAAAAGTTAGTAGAGAACATGGTGGCAGTGTTAGGAATAAAATCTTTGTTTTTAATCACATTCGCTGTGATAAAAGTTTCACCGGTTGTCCCTTATCACACCCAGGACGGACGTCGTCGCCTGCTGGAGAAGGTCATCTCAATCTTGCCTCGCATTTTAAACAGTTAATATTAAAGATGGCTTCTGGAATAGTAATTCTCTGCTATAGTAATTGTTATCTAGCCCAATTTTGAATATATATTTTATAAGACGAATAAAATAACATTTAATTTTTGTTTCAAATTTGATTATCAGCACATTTAAATTTTTCAGTGATACATGCTACATAAAAATACTTCGGAATATCTAATACATATTATATATATATATATATATATATATATATATATATATATATATATATATATATATATATATATATATATATATATATATATATATATATACGTCTGAGACGCATGGCCCCTGGGGCAAGAGTGCCTTGGGATTTCTCAAGGAATTGGGGTCCAAGCTCATTGACGTCACCAGAGACCCAAGGGCTTCCAGTTTTTTATTTCAGCGTCTCAGTGTGGCGATCCAGAGGGGAAATGCTTGCTGCGTCCTCGGTTCCTGTCCAGAAGCGGAGGAGCTTCAAGAGATCCATAACCTTTAGGCATTTGTCTTGTATGTTTTGTAACCTTTAAATATATATATATATATATATATATATATATATATATATATATATATATATATATATATATATATATATATATATATATATATATATATATATATATATATATACCTAGTAACCACATTTGTTGATTGAAATCAAAGCAAATCGTTAGCCTATAGTCAATAACCATAAAGGTAATAGTACATGTGCTGGCACCAGCCACCGCGCACGAGGACTGACACAGGTGGAATACTTTTAAATATTGCGCAGCGCCTGGTGATTCACTGACTGTAAATGGGTTGTGGCTGTGTGGTGCAGAGGGGCAAGGAGGGAGAGAAGGAGCTCAAAGGTCCAAAATCAATTTTGGGGGATAAGAAGGAAGGGAGGAAAGGGAGCTGGAATAAAAATAGATCGAAATATGGGTAAAGAGAAAATGAGGTAACTTATAATGGAGAATTAATTAGAAGCAAAGAGACAAGAGACAATACAGTAGAAAACCATTTATATATGGAAGAACTATATATGTAAGCAGGTAGTCAGTCAACGTTTATGTGTTAAGTCGTTTTTTATTTTATGGCCTCAGGTAAGAGAAGCGTAGACTATCAATGCATACACCCGTGATCCCAGGTTTGATTACAGAGTAGGACGGAGACGTGTGCGTACGTTTCCTTACACCTGGTGCCGCTGTTCATCTAGCAGTAAATACAGGTACCGTGAATTAGACAACTGTTGTGGCTTGCATACTTACAATTCATTTTGTCGGGGACAGGTAACACGTATGGAATGACAAGACTTGAGAATGAACCTCATGTATAGATGTGAAACGTTGTGTAAATTGTAATAAATATAAAGATTATACGGTTAGTTTTTGTTCTTTTAGTCAATCTTGGACAAATATGACTTTCGGAGAAATCTTCTTCCATTTAAATTAAGATGCAAGAGAACTAGTTACAGGGGTAGAAGACTTAAATAAGAAAATAATTAACACGGAATATGCCGTGATATTCAATGAAATATGTAGTTTAGATTTAGAAAAGACCTGGGTAAATACTGGTTCGGTAACAGGGTTTTTGATTTGTGGAACCAATTACCGCGTAACATAATAGAAGTAGGATCCCTTGATTGTTTCAAGAGTAGGTTAGACATATGAATGAGATTGGGTGGATATAAATAGCTCGTATGGCTCTGTAGGCCTTCTGTAGTTACGTTCATTCTTATGTACTTATGTCACACAGGCTTTAATTGAAGCTCGCAAGAGATATAGCCTACATCCGTGTGCCGCATGTGACATCAGCAGAAATATTGAATCCCTATGACGCATCTCGCTACAAATGGTATTATAAAAAATTGCTAGGTGAGGCTTTATAGGTTGCTGTAACTAGGGGAGACCTTAATAAGCCTAACAGGGTACCTGTTAGGCTGTTCTCGACAACAATAAATAGTTAATGTAAGACTGATTATGCGCGGTGTCAGATTTTGGCCCCACCATATACACCCCTAGCTCCTGTTGTCCTCCAACAGCCCTCACCTGCTCCATCCTTTTGTCCTCCAACAGCCCTCACCCGCTCCATCCTGTTGTCCTCCAACAGCCCTCACCCGCTCCATCCTGTTGTCCTCCAACAGCCCTCACCTGCTCCATCCTGTTGTCCTCCAACAGCCCTCACCCAGTCCATTCAGTTGCCACTTGTTCTGCTGATCACCTCCGTTTCTTCCCTGTATGAGCCATAATTGGCTTGCAGTGCTGTGACTCAAAGTCTAGACAAGCCCAGTATGGAATCTGTATAATCTGAGATTGTTGAATGTAATTTCACCTCCCTTATTTTCTCTTGGTGATAGAATATAAGGGGTAAATGAATTAAATGTCATCATTGCATCATGGGATTTAGTTTTGACTAAATTAAACAAAGAAAATATTATTTAAGGGGAGGTCAAATTAGTTAACAATGATGATAATGAAAACCAATTTGGCAAGGCCTGGAAAAATGATGGAAAAGTAAACATTCTCAAGTTCTGGTGCAGATTATGGTACGTCGAGGCAGAAATTATATGTTTTTTATTATCTTTCTGGCATCAATAGCCCTAGCCAGTAAGGTCTTCAGCATCACTAAACCTATAGCATGGAAAAGTTAACTACAGGGTACCTTTGGAGACCCAGTGATGAACTACAATTTTGCAGTAAGTTAAACAAATAAATAAATAAAAGATCTTATGGAAGATGCTTATGATTTTGCTTCTGGACTTCTCGTTCTGCTCCATGAAGTTAGGAAATACTGTAGATAATTTGTTATTGGTCTCAGAGCCTACAAGAACTCTTGAGGACATAAAAAGAACAATAAATAAAAAGCTTTGAGTAAAATTAGAGTCAATGGTGCTCATTGCCAAAGCAAAAACTTTACATAATGGATATATAAACAAGTCAGCGAGAGTAAAAAATGTAATATAATTACAAATAAATTACAATACAACATGTATAAAATGATTGGATTAAAAAAAATATTGGTCACCAACTAATATTTTTAACTTAAAACCTTTTTTCAAGTCAACCCATTTTATCACCATTATAATTACCCAATTTTCATGGAGAGGGGGGGGGGGGCACTAGCCTGGGGAAAAATGGGTGCAACATGGAAAAAGAAGATTAATGACATGAAATCAATTATACGCATTCATGCAGCATATCTGACACGCTGCATAGAATTACAGAACCAAAACCAGTACACTCCAGCAAGTCATCCACAGCACCATCTCATTGCTTCATAAGACTAAGTGCAGAGTAAACAACTTCATGCTGTTCATCAGCTATTGTATTTTCATTTCACCAGTAATGCCACAATGTCTATTGAAAGGCCTACATGCAATGTATAGTAATTAAAAAAAAAAAATTAAGACAAAATTCTTCATACTTCTGGCTACTTTAAATACTACTTCTATAATCTTAAAAGATTATAGAAAGAAATATTTTAACAACTCATAATAAATGAATAAATGATTTGTCACAAAGAACACAATTTTCTTCTTAATATTTTTTTGCACTAAATTCTCTTAAAAGAACCCATACTTTACTCAAATTTAATCATGGAACCTGAAAATCTAAGAAAGTTCAATTCATTTCTTAACTATTAATTTATACACAAGTGACATTATAGGTACATGCTATACAGGTGTTATTTATTTGACTGATATGGATAATATAGTTATGTCATCATAAGGCTTGTCCGTCTTGGGATTGCACTTCACGTTAGAAATATTTTGAACTACTTCCATGCCTCTGATCACGCGGCCAAATACAGTGTGCTTGGTATCCAACCATGGCTGCAAAAGGAAAAGGTACTGTATTATATTAACAGATGTTTTTCATGTCATATTATAGTTTCTACAATTGTGTGGAATCTTATCAAGCAAGAAATGCTGATAATCATTACAGCTACTATCCCTCTTCTAACTAGCATGCATTACAGAAGGCGGCAAGTAAAACAAATATGTACTAGATATGTTGCATTTTCATCAGAGCTGAAATATTACAATTTCTCCAAATCACTATCATAATGGATTATGTAACAGTGAAATGTAAATTTAACAAACTGAATTAGCACAGCCAACTTACTGTAGGAATAACCGTTATGAAGAACTGCGATCCATTGGTATTTGGTCCTGCATTGGCCATGCTAAGAGTATATGGGCGGTCATGACGCAGGGATGGATGAAATTCATCTTCAAATTCTCCTCCCCATATGCTCTCACCACCAACACCCGTTCCTTGTGGAGAAGTTACCATATTATTTGTCTACATTTTTCCACCAAAGATAAGATGGTGGCAGCTCCCAAGATTTTCTACTACATAAAAATGAATTCTTTATACAGAATACATAGCCTTGTTTACTGTATGCCTAAGTACACTACAAAGGACATTGAATGCATATAAAAGAATTTATAAATGATTTAGCTATTTTGGATTACTTTCCATGACAAACCAAACCAATTCAGAAAACACTAATAACTGTACTCAAGCACTGTATACATTGATGAAACCTATGCACATGATGACACTGTCACCTGCTTTTTACTTAATTTTTCATCCATTATAGCTAGAAACACCCACACACACAATACTGGTTACTTACCTAATGGATCGCCAGTCTGAATCATGAATTGTTTGATGACACGGTGGAACAGATGCCCATTGTAATAACCATTTTTTGCATGTACACAGAAATTTTCTACAGTTTTGGGGCATTCCTTTGGGAAAAGTTTAAGAGTGATATCTCCAAGAGATGTATGGAGCACTGCAGTTTCATATAGTCTCTGACCACCTGATAATTTAAAATACAGCCATGTTAATAAAGAAAATATGGAATTAGTTTTTATATTTATAAAGCAAAGATAAATTTTCATTCCATACAGAATACATATTGAACATTTAGACTGATTATCCATCTTGATCCACTGAAATCATATGGAGCCCCCTAACACTAGCCAATAAATTTTTTCTGAAAATTTACATATTAGAATTTCATTAAGTTTGACATTTCAGAAAAAATGAAATTAAAATTAACATGTCCCAAAAAGTACAAAAGTAAAGAAATTGAAGAAAAGTAAGGAAAAACATGAATTGGAAGTGGTTATTGATAAACAAGAATATACTGTACATAGAATATAATTTTTTTTTTGAAGATTGTATGGGTTGAAGATGGACTGAAATGCCATTACTATCATTTCCTAAGTGTGGGTTGGGTGTCTAATTTTCAGCCAAGCTATTGCAACTTAATCTCTGCAAATACTTTATCGTAATAAATATATAAATTAAGGAAATTAAATGCATGAAATTAAACATTACATTACAGTATTGTTCTTAGCTTTATGATTAGATTTATTTTATAGATGCATTGAATTATTAAGATATTACCTCCTTGTTCAGTTGCAGCAATTATATCTTCCTTTGATGGTTTTTCATTAAAAACGTCACGGTCAGTGTCAACACTTTTAGTGTCTGTAGCATCACGACGTGTGAAGAGATAAAAACGATTTTTACGGAAAGCTGTAGCTACAAGTGTGGGATCAACTTGTGCAGCGTCTAGTGCTGGATTCTCTGAAGCCTCCATCTCCATTGTTAGAGCACCCTTATTTTTCTTCACCTTACCCTGTAAACCAAGCCAAATATTAAGATAACAATTTAGCTTAGATAAGCGTTAACTTTACATGTCAGGTGCAATTCCAAAGGTTTATTTATATCCAACAGACCGTCACTGACTTCATTTGTCACCCATTGCTGAAATTATAATTGCAAACAATATCAAACATTATTATATAGAACAAATATGCAGAATAACCACATTTGAATGGTGAAATATTTGCTTTTGACCATATCAGGTCTTTTTCAATGGCAGATTGACTAACAGAAGAGAGTAGTAGTTTTATAGGTCAGGTCATGGGAAACAAGAAGTCACATGCACAACTGAGAACAAATATTTTTCATCTTGCAGAGTGTATTAATTAACTGACAATTACAAAACAAAAATACCTGGAAGAGAGCCAGATTCAACAGTCGTAAGTTTTCAGGTTTGCCAATTGTTCTAACTAATCGATTATTATAAAGGTTCACAATTTTGACTCCAAGCATTGTGGCATACAGAAGGAAGTAACCACTTTCATCGTACACTAAGTTGCATACTGCAAGAGCTCCACCTTTCTCTACATCGCGTTCCACTGCTAACCTGAAATTAACATAAAAAAAATCAAGCATTACATAATGAAATGGCACTTTTGGGTGGCACTCAATAGCTCTCCAGTGCTCTAGTACCACCTTGACATACAAATGCTTCCAGACCTTTGGACCTACAGAGTCCAAATGAAAACCAAGAAAAGAATCTAGTTTACTTATCGAGGTAAGTAAACCAGACACTAAAGAAGCTGTATTTATCATTAAGAATATAAGATTTAAGTCAGTCCAATTTAAAGGATGACATACCTTCTCCCAAATTCCATGTTTGGTATCTGTTGCTTACGCTGTTGCAGTTCTGTATAGTGTTGGAGGCTTTCATCAAAAACACGAGAGAGTTTTCCAGTGAGGAATTTAAACACACGTACCTAGCAATTCAAAATTCAAATAAATTAAAACAATACCAAATCCACGGAACATGCTAAAAAAAATCTGTTTAATAATTTTTTATCGGATCTTATTCTTTACTAGTAATTTGGTAATTTAATTAGGTAATTTACTAGTAATTAGGTAACTTAGGTAATTTACTCTTGTACTAGTATATATAAATAAATAAAAAATAAATAAATTTAGAGCTAGCTCAAAGTACAGGCAACTTGTGCAACTGCCTGAGGCACCAAGTGCTAGAGAGAACCATGTCATGTGTCTGAAATCTTCCAAATACACAGTAAAATAATGTTAAAAACTATTGAAATACAGATATTAGTAAGCATTCATTAAATATCACACCGAACTGGCCTATAGATTGTTTCCAATTAAATAGCTAGAAATTTTTCTATCCATAATGTACAATGAAATCACATTAATGTGATGCATCAATTAAAAAAATCAGTGGAAGCCACGAGGAGGATTAAAACCTACACACCCAACAACATGTCACATCCATAATGTTCTAGTGCACACATTAATTAATTTGGTAAGTCATTTCCATTTACTGAAATATTATTAATGATTATCCAACTATTAATCCATTAACTGATGCTATTATATTAATGCTGACTGATAGAGTTGAAAGTAAGGTATGTATATTAAAGATCATAACATGTTTGAACTGGTGGAATTCCCTTACAAACGAATGATTAAACTATTTGTCCGAACACTGACAATGAGGTTACCGATCACTTGCTACACACCTACGTATTTTAGCAAGTATTATATCTATTGACTAGACTGTGGGGTTATTTAATAGATTAAACTTCTCTCTTAATATATACTATAAATTTAAAAAAAATATTATTATAAACACACATAATAAGCCTGCCAAAAAAATGGAGTACAGACAGCTGATGACTAACAACTGAACCCTACATAGATATTTACCTTTTCAGTGAAAAAAAAAACTTACTTTTTTATCAGCACCAATGGTGGCAAATTGTAGTCCATTTGGCGAGATGGCCATACATCTGGGAAATGTCTTGTGCTTGACAAACTCAAACAGGTCTGTATCTAGTTTGGACGTGAAGTTAACACAAGTTGGTGTCTGGAACTCGTTCTTGGTCCCACACCAATACTCAATCATGCCAACTTCATCAGCAGAGACAACGACATCAAACACTGGATTATACTGAAAGTCAATTTTCTCCTATCAGGAACTGTATGTATTTTAATACAGTATTATAAAGTACTGTGTTATACATACCTAACATTTACCAAGTAATGTTTATTATGCCGATATGTCACAATAATTTTAGTAAAAATTTCAAACTATTTAAAGCAATCAATGAAACAACAAGTGGACAGAAATTTTGTTCTCCAGTCTTTGTATATTCACAAGAAACAAAATTTGGAATAGGCATGAGGATTAAGGAAGTTATAACAAACAGTGAATTTAACTTTGACTTAAGTCATGCACAATAGGCTAGCTACATCGAGAAGGTGATGGACGCCAAAACTGTCAGTAATTTCAAAGAGTTATATGACAAAGAGTACTGGGGAGACGGGACACCACGAGCATAGCTCTCATCCTGTAACTGCACTTAGGTAATTACAATAAATACAGAACAAAGTTTCATGATGCAGGCCAAATTCAACACACTGCACCTAATTTAGAATCTACTCAACACATCTCAATCACTCATTCTTACTCTGGTGCAACATTAATGTTCAATATATATCCTGAAGAATTTTTATGCTATCATTTCATACATAATGCAGAACAACAAATCTCTCATATTTTAATTATGTACATAATATATTTTCTCCATCTTGCAAAGGACACTCTTTAATAACATTATTTCAAACAACTCTACAACTCATTGGTTATAAATTGTCTAGCCAAAGATTATAAATGCCAAAGTGTCGAGCCTCCAACAGACACTCTTTCTTATAGATACTGATCATGAGGTTCAACATGACTACCTTATCCTATAAAACCAAAACAAACACTAATAATAGCCCAATTTTTAAAACTGTACCATGAATGAAACAACAGTACTAATGACATTAACAGAGAATTCATACCTTGATAATTGTAACTGGTTTGGTATGGATTGAATCCAAAACATGCAGAGGAACATTCGTGCCATGGCCATCAAAGATATATATCAAAGGATTTGCAGAATCCGACACAGCAAGGGAGTGTTGGGGGTCCGACAGCGGGTGGATCCATTCACTCGTATTTGGGATGAAACTCAGCTTGATCATGTTAATCATATCTGCAATAAATAAAAACTAGGGCACATTAGTACAGTATAAGTACAATACAAATAATAATTATTGTGTACTGTACTTGGGGAATATTCAACTACAGTATCACTAGTTATGACTGCAATAATTAATTCAAGCAAAAACTGAAGACTGCAAAAAAAATTAAGATTGAGTGTTGAGGTTTCCCAAACAAATTTATTCACCTCTTATCATAAATAATGATTTCTTTGTGAAAAATTAATTAAGGAAAAATTTCCCCAAACACTTGTCTATTAACAATCTCCAATAATATAACTAATCTACTTGAGTTGTTAACATGCAATACTGTGGTCAAACATTAAATAAGTATACAATTATTTAAGACTAAAAGTTATATAGCACAATCCTAAATATTAAAGTTGGTATAAGGTGAGCAATAGTGTGCTGGAGTGATGGTAGTGTTTTGGAAAACAGGTAATTAAAGGGAGGTTTAATTTGCTTAGAGAAATAGTTATTGTATATATGAAGCAAAATTCTTACCAAAATTTTCCACATCGAAGACTTTCAGTGACTTGTCATGTGATATAGAAACAAGTCTGGTGCCTGCAGTGTTGGTGGCAAGATGCTGTACATTCCCTAAATGAGCACGAAAATGCTTAACAAATTCCACGCCTTCTTCCTGTTTCTTCCAAAATTTTATGTTACCATCACAGCTTCCCGTGATAATGAAGTCAGTTCTGTGAAGGAAAATTATATTACAGTATTTACAGGTATTTATACTGCAAGTTATGACAATTGTTAAAATTAAACGGGTTTAGCAAATGAATCTACCAGTGAAGAACAACAGCATTAGTAAAAATTAAAGCACCTTAATATCGACATTTTCTACGAATTAGCCTTAATAGGTTAGGTGTATTGCTTGGGCTCGTAAGTTTCTAGTTAGGCAAAACAGTTGAACTTTTAATGGAGTAGCAAATCTAGAGAATGGGCTGTATCATATAAATAGGGTGCAGATTTGGAACCAGTAACTCTTAATATTAATCATGTGTGTAGATTCCGGTGTATTTATAAGCGAAGTTATCAGGTTAATCAGGGTTAAATTTACCATTTAAAGAAACATATACCCATGACATCATTGATGTAGCAGCCAAAAATATAATGCTCAAGAGCTAATCGGATTTCTCAAGCCCAGGTCATGCCAAAAATGTTTTTGGCATGAAATCCACAGATTTAAATTAATACTTCTCATAATTATAAATATGACTAAAGCAACAGAAATACTATTAGAAGTTTACAACCATCCAACATTACCTAAATTATTTACAACCATTCAAGATTATTTACTAAGACTAAGATTATTAACATACTTGGTAACCACAACATGAGTGACAGTGTCCCGATGCATGTAACTCTTCTCATAGTACTCGGCACAAGGTAAGTAGTCGAGATACATCTGCTCATGCTCCAGCACTGCAATCAAAATGATTATTGTCTGATGGAATAATTAAAGGATGATGTTATCCAATTTCCTAACCAAAAAACTAAAATGTGATGAAAAGAAAATTGAAATTACTGTACTCCAAAATGCAATCTTACATAATTTGAACATACAAACTGGCCATATGAACAGCTACACATTCACACACACCTCATGTTTAATATTTATTTTCCAAAAAATGTAAATTTAAGTATTTAGCATACTCTTCAAGTTGCAATTTTTTAATATAGTAATCCAATATCTACATGAATAATGACTATCACATAAGCCACTCTGGAAACGATCTAATTCAAAGAGCAAACTTTGGTTTTCTTTTTTTCTGAATTAATAAATTTGCTTAAGTGTGTTGGAAATAATGACCAAATGCATGTAATTACTGTACGTATGAGCCATCACTTATCATAGTACCACATATTTTGTCAGTAGGGGATCATAGGATACATACTGTAGTGTGTGTGTGTGTGTGTATTATTTAAGAGTACAGGTTGATCAGTATGTGTGTAAATCATGAAAAATAAACACGTAATTAAAAATGTGACAGTGTCAGACTACGGAGGAAAATTGAAACAGGAAATTTCCTTAAGTACTTTCGTATGTTAATACATCTTCAGAAGGAGTCACTTTTGAAGATGTATTAATATACGCAAGTACTTAAGGAAATTTCCTGTTTCAATTTTCCTCCGTGATGTGTATGTATATATATACATATACATACATACACGCATACACAGGCTTCCTGTTCTCGACAAATTATTATCATTATATCATCAATTAGGTTAAGCCGACTTCAGTTAGGTTAGGGCGATCTTAATGTTAGCAATTCATCCTGGAACGAAGTAACTTATGTTTCTACTCAGTTACCCAACCAATTACTGGCAAGGGCCAAAGGTGCTTAAGCAACTATGTGACTGACACACACATTAACCCCTACAACATAGTAGGGGTCGAGAACATCCTGTTACAGAGTATAGCTGTACGAATCACGAGTCCACTCTCGACAGAACAAATCCAATAAACCTTAAACTTTTGTAACTAATATATATTTCTTGATAACTGAACTAAGACAATAACCTTTGACTTTCTTTGCCTTAGGCTCTGGGGCCGTCGCCTCGTCAGGTCTGGGCCCTATCCACTCCTCCTCACTGTCACTTCCCTCTCCCTCCTCCTCCTCCTCCAGTTTACGTTTAATATCAGTCTTGCTCATCTCGGGGCTACAGCAGGTGGGTGTCACACGTGGTCTTCAACAGGGGAAGGTTCCCCTAGGGGTAGAGGAGCTCAGACGACCTCCTCCAGGGGGGCACAACATGGGTCGGGACGAATCGTACATAACCGAGAACGGGAGACCGTCGTTCGCACTACGAGCCGTAAGCGACCGACTCATCCAGAGACCCACTGCCTAAAATGATTTGAACACCATATTAAAAATCCTACTATGATTTTTTAGTCTTCCTCCTCTTTCTCCTCTTCCTGCTGTTGCTGCTCCTCCTCCTCCTCCTGCTCCTGCTCCTGCTCCTGCTCCTGCTCCTGCTCCTGCTTCTGCTCCTGCTCCTGCTCCTGCTCCTGCTCCTGCTCCTCCTCCTGCTCCTGCTGCTCCTGCTTCTTTTTCTTCTTCTTTATTTGGAAGAAGGTACAATGGGTTGGTGAGATGTGATGATGTGAATTGAAATTTGTGACTAACTCATTCAGATTGTAGCAAAAAGATTGAAGATTAAGATTATATTGAAGATTATAATATAAAGATTGTATTATAATCCAGCCTTAATAATTATAAGTAATAATAATAATATTATAAGCCTAAATAATAATATTTATAACAAAAATATTATAAGCCTTAATAATAATAAATAAGCCTTAATTAATGTATAATAAACAGCCGGGATTATGTCTATCACATCAATAAACTTCATTTAATATCTATATGCCTGTTAAGTAGAAGATTTTAACTGTTAATTTCATTTTGGCTTTAGGCATTGTATGTACTAGCTCTACCTATAAGTCAACCAATCTTTGTAAAAAATTATTGTATGTATGTACCTTACCTAAATAAACATTTTATTTTATTTTATTTTATTTTATTGTGGTTTTAATATTGAACAATTATATATAAATACGAAACATACAAATCTGGTGTCAGAAATTAATGAAATATGTGTACGAACTGGTCGGGGTAGGGAGGGAACAGTGTTGTGTACCAAGAACTGTCAGCAGGTGACTGCCTCTGAAGTGGCTCTCATCACCAGCAAGTATACACACACACAGAGAAGACACCCCGCTGCTGGCGTAGTGGAGGAGGGAGGAGGAAGAGGGGCAGCGACAAGTGATGTCAGACCATCCACCCAAGAAGAAGTTGCGTCAGGTTACACTTGCGGACATGTTGAGGCCAGCGTCGCCCAGGCCTGGTAAGGCTCCCTGAGGAGTCTTCACTATCCATCAACACTTATCCTTTTGCTTAAATCATACTGGCAGAATTCATACATGGGGGGCTGTAGCTATGTCGAAAACTCATTTGTGAATTCTGTCAGTATATCTCCATGTCTAATGGTAAGGTTAGTTATTCACTAACGTCACTGAAATCGACTAAGATTGCTCAGATCGACTTCCTCAGGTGGTGCAACCTCCCAATGTTACTTGTAGCCGAGTCTAAGCCAAGCAATAATGACGTCTTGAAATCCCAGGTGGCATTGTGGTGACACATTCACCCCATGTTTCACAAGCAGTTTGGTCTGGGGTTCGTATCCAGGCCAGGGAGGATTGGTGCAGGGGATATGCCATTATTTTTGTCTCTTGGTTAGATATCATTAATCTGGTACATGCTGAGTTCATTTGCGGTTTTTATAATCACTGAGAGAATTCATGTTTTTTTATGTGCATTGCTGTGCTACTTTGGTGTAGCAATTAGAAAAATATGTTTGTAACTGTTCAAAGAAATTGCATGCTGCCAGTTGTCATATCCATTTAAATTACACTACTTAACCTAATTAAATATCTGCATTAGTTAATGCAAACTGTTTGATATACAAGATTATTTTACTATATTAACTCATACTAAATGTCAGGTACAGTTTTTAGTTTTGATTATTAGAAGCTAACAGAATTAATATAATATCTTTATTGTGGTTTCAGACAGAAAAGATCAAAGAGAAAGTACCCAATCAATTGTAAATGTTGAATTGGATAGCTCACTTAACATACATTCAAGCATAGAGTGCTTGAAACTTGGCAACTTTGAATCAGACATTAGTGCAGCAGACAAAATTGAGCAGATGGAAACAGACTCTGGACCACAAGAAGGAGAAACTCTTGGAAATGAGAATTTCAAAGGTGAGAATCGAATTGAGGGTAATGATCGGTCAATCCGAAATCGTAATGACAAAGAAAGGGAGAGGGTTTGCGAGTCTTGGCACTTTGAAAATAAAGAAGAATCTGATTCAAATCATAAGAATGTACAGAAAAAGTTTACTGGTGAACAGATTGATGACCTGGAAGCAACAAAAAAATTAGGTGACTGCAGAAATTCACTAAGCACAAGTTCAAGAGGAAAGAATTTATCAAGGGGATCCTCACCCAAAAAACTCAACAAAAAATTAACAGCCAAAAGGTCTCCTAAAAGGTCTCCCATGAAGGTAATATATCAGCCCCCCCCCTTTTTTTTGTTTTGTTTAGATATTTTTAAATATCTATAATCCATCTATAGATACTTTATGTACATGTTTGGATTTTATCAGTTCACAGTGTAAACTTGAATTTATTAAATTATTATTAAGTTTATCATACGTCAGGTTTCAGTGGAGAGTTATGGCATAATGATGTTATCAGTTAGATATTTTTATAAATTTATTTATTATCTTATTCTATGAACAAATTAAACAAAGAACAGTTGTGATTGAGACGAAAGAAAAAGGCATAACTTGTTCTTTCCAACCTATTACTGCATGTATTCTATTACAGAATTGGACTTTGTTACAACTAGTTGAACATGCTTAGTTTAAGAAAATAGACATACCAGTAGGGGCACATTAGTGTGAGGGAGAAGACGCAGTTTTCTGAGGTTCATGAATCATTGTGGTGCATGGGGTAACGTCCTAATTAGAGTACTGTACTGTATTTAGAATATGAATAACCAATAGGAGAAATTTGCATAAGATTTTAGACCATTTTGTCATCACCAGACAAAACGAGGTGTCTGAGATATTAGTGGATAATCTAATAAGCCTAGATAAAAATATCGCTGTGACTTAGTGAAATGAGGTGTTAGAGATAAAGGTAGATTGATGAGCCTTGAGCAAAAATTTATCATACTTTCAGAGATGTTTTGTTAAATTTCATGGATTGGATGGTCGACCTTCCTGTTCTCTACCTGTTGTTGGTTCCGGGAATCAGTGGTCCTTCGGCCCGGTCTCTGACCAGTCCTCCTGGTAGGTGGTTTGGTTAACCAGGCTGTTCCATGCCACTTCTCACAATCTGACATGTGAATTGCAGGCCAGTTGATCAGGTATCCTTTGGAGGTGTTTATCAAGTTTTGTGCATTTTATGTGCAATTAACACCATGATCATATTTCTTGAAAGATTTCTGAGATCTTTCAAACATCAATGTTTTGTTTGTCTTCCATGGTATCCAAAGCCATGTCATAGTTGTTTGGCAATTGTAAGAGGCAGGTGCACCCTGCTCTGAACCCACATTGTCTAGGGTTATGTAGACGTTGTGATGCCATGTGTTTTGTGATCGTATTTTTACACACTCTTTCAAAAGATTTTGTGTATGATGCAAGTGTTATTGGTCTATAATTTTTGGTCTGCTTTACTGCCTCCTTTGTGGAGTGGTCAAGGATTTTTTTTTAGCTTGGCAAAAGTAAAATATAAATTCAAATAATACATTACAATCAATCAAAGAAGTTTTCAAGGAGTAGTTTTGTACTTTGATCATTTTTTCTTGAATTTGCTTACCTGAATATATACTTAAACAACTTGTACTGGAGTGCGTGACATGTCATAATCTCTCCTTATGAAAGATGAATTCAATAATACTCCCTCTTTGAAATGTATCGGCAGGAGAAGGAAAGTAGGCACTCCAGCGGAAGATCTGAGCGGAGGAACATTCTGGCAGATGCAGCTGAGCGAAGGATGCATTTGGTTGTCACTACTCCATCAGAGCCAGTTGAGCAAGAAGCTGCTGTATCTCCAGATATATTTGATGATGATGATGATAACAAAATGGTAGAAGAGACAGGGGTGAGTATATAGCAGTTTAGTACTGTATTATGCACCTATTTTTCTGGCAGATACTTTACCACCTTTTGAAAGTAGGAAACTGGGTACTTTAAGGATAATGTATATATGTACGGGCATGTATGATCCATAGTTTTGTTAAGATCTTGATTTAAATTAATATAGTAATTTGCTTCATCATGTTTTTGTTTTGATTGAATAAATATCTTTTTGGACAGATCACATGGCGTGGTTCTCCCTTGGCATGTATCGCTGCCTTGAGTGCTAGTAACCTTAATGTTCCGGCAGTGCACCCAGCACCTGATCACACTGTGATGGTGAGGCTTCCCATCCCTCAAAGGGGTTCTCCTGCTCCACATCCATCCTCTTACACTGATGTCTGGGATCAGTATCATGTCAGAATGCCATGCTCACCAAAGAGTCAGTACCCAGTGGGAAAGGTAAGATCTTGCAGGAGACAAAATATGATAGAATAACCATTATTTCCAATGTAAAACAAAGAATGAATGCAAATATATTGAAGTCAATAAACTACAAAAGAAAATTGTGCGTAACTTTGCTAAATAAAGCTGGTCTGTGACTCGCCTAGTACAGTATTGGATTATATTCTAATACTGTACTTGATTTTTTAGTTACTAGATATGTAAGCACTTGTATACATATCAAGTTTCAAAGTGTGTGTGAATTTTGGAGTTACACAGGTTGACGATGGATTTGTGGGATAATACACACTAATCCTTAGATCTAAATCATTCTTGGCATTCTGCCTGACTTTCATATATCTTTTATACCAGCATTTTAGAAAATTTGTGGGTTATATTTATGCATCAGGATGAGAGTTGACAGAGAGAGCATGACTGAAAACTTACCATTCTTTTTTATGACAAGACTAATCAGTCTTAATAATATTGTGCAATAAGAAATTAATGACCTTAGGAGAGGAGGGTGGCATAAATACAGTACAGAGCTAGTATTTTCCTTGTGTTTGAACTCATAAATATCATGAGTATGGTACTGTTTGAAAAATTAAATAGTCAACTCCTTGAATGAAATAATAAAGCAAGCAATGTTGAAATGTGATGTACAGTATTTATCTTGATGACTCGTGTTTTGAAAGTTAAGAAATCAGCTTTATACTATTTTTGTCAACAGGGTAGCAATTCACTTGTTCCACGATGGTCGATAATATGCCAGTCACTCAGAAGAGGGATTGGAAATGTAGAGGAACTTGAGAGGGCAGTCTTGGAGTACAATAGCAGATATGCAGCAAAATGGAAGTTTAAGGGCCTTCACCTTCTGATAGAGCAGGTAATGTCATAAGTTATTGTATTAAGAAATGCTAAATTTTATTACACAGTTGAGCATCTAAAATAGTTGGAGCCAAGACCACTGAGAATATTCTAATTTATGTCTGAACCTTTGGGTGGTCTGCATAAAACCAAAACCAGATTATATTTGACGTATGGTCCACACACAGTTTGGGTTATGTTATTGATTTAGGACCATGAAGGCAAGTGTGCTAGATGTTCCCAGGCATTCCCATGTAGGATAAAATGCAAGGCCTTGCACCGTATAAATGTTGCCAGTCGGTAGAAACTGATGTCCCTTGCAGCAGATAAACACACTGTTATACAGTTGTTTGGTGAGTCCCTTGAATCCCCAGGGAGATGAGCACTATTAATATTAAGTACACTCATTAACTACACCGTAGAAATTCAGTTGACAAACAAGTCTCGGTACACTGCTTGGCACAAGTTTGACTCAAGGAGTCTTAACTGGAGGAATCACAATAATCTTAGAGGAGCAATCTCTTGTGGTTATTGATCTTCACTCATTTTTCCGGGTAAGGAAACCCTTGAACAAAAGTCAATCTGTAAATGTGCCAGGGGATATTAAATTGAATTGAAAAATAAACAGTGAAAGTATTTTTAAAACATGGAACCACCTGTGTATTTTATCAATTGTTATAAGAATATTATTCAAAGATTTGGTTATAATTAGCAAACCTTTGGTTGCAGCTGAAGTGGTTTTTGTATGATTCTGTCCATTTGAGTGGGAGTACACTGTATAGTATATTGAATATGTATGCAATTTAACTATAAAAGCTATATTTTATGTGCAGTTATATTTTATATCATTTGCACTACTGTATTAAAAATATGGGTTTGATTGCAAAGGAAAAGTTGTTTTCTGTATAGGACTTGGATGCATCCTATTTCTCACGTAAGACTATTAACTAAATACTATATTGTTCACTTTGATTTTACCTGATTTACCTGAGAGCCACTAACTCTAGTGGTCTTGACAAATATAAAAAGCTGGTGGCTTATTGAAGGTTCCCCATTTGCATTGATGAATTTTTCCAGGTAGATTTTAAGGCTTACCACAGTTTTGGCATTTACGGCTTCGGCGGGTAGGCAGTTCCATGGATTTATAACCCTGTGGGTGAAAAACCATCTCCTGCTCTCTGTCCTACATTGAGACTTGTTTATGGGGTTTAAATTATATATCCACGTATAAAAGCCAGTTGTCTACTGTCTTCATAAAAAAATAAAATTTAGAACTCGAGGAATTACCCATACACGTACTCGGAGATCTTAGGAAATAAATTCCTTTCCAATCTTTTCTCATTTCAAATCCTGAAGTTTTATGATATTGATTATTAAATAGCAAATGTATTGTAACTTATTGTTATCACACAATGAAATTACAATAAGATGATGTATCCATGAACAAATATTGAAACTGTACAATAGGATTAAACACACCATTGTTGTTGACATTCCTGTATTTAGTGGACAAGCAATTACATTACAATATTTCTTATGACCAGATTATTTATTAAATTCAGCATTAAAGTCTAAAGTTAGATAATCACAGTATATATTTCTATGATTTAGATATATGTACTATATTGTACCTTTTTTTTTTAATTTAGGTACTGTACTGATTAATTTTTATATAATTTTTCTTTAAAAGGAGTTTGAAGAAGAGGAACGTGAATATTTCTTCAGCACCACACTTCCAGCAATGATACGTCTTGCGCTGAACCTGCCTAAGCTTGTCACACAGCCTCCACCACTCCTTATTAGTCGAGCTACACACACTATCACACTCTCACAAATGCAGGTATGTATGCAAATACATTTTGTACATTTTTAAGATGATCAAAGTGTTAATTATGGATGATTAGCTAAAACTCATTCTCTATTTGTATTTATTGAGATCAAGTAGAAGCACATAATTAGCATCTTTACACAATAAAGATTCTTGGTGCCCTGCAAAGTAACTCAAGGTGAACCTAGAAAGTCAAAGCAGGAATCTAAAATAATGAGAACAGGTTACTGCACCGTATGATGTAATACTGTACCTTTACATTTTATCTATTATGCTAAATATCTTTATACATGTCTCTTCAACAGTTCAACACTCATGGAAGCTTTTGCTCACCACAAAGAAATAATTTTGTATAATCCAGGAGTTCAGTTTGAGTTTTATTGTACAAAATTTCCTTTCCGGAGGAGCCAAACATTTGGCCATCTATACTGGGAGATATTCCTGTAGCTAGCTGCACAGAGATGGCTTCACACACGTCACATCAGCCCTGTGAGTCTTTCATAGCCTACTGGATTTCAGAGCCAGAACCTTGCCCCTTGGATGTTTCTGCAGATACCCTACTCCTTGCACCTCAATAAGGAGCCAGAGTTTTGGCTCTGGTTTATGGTATGCTGTTAACTCTTGCACTAAGCATCACATCCCCAGATTTTTGACTGATGGGGCAAACCACATCCTCAGAGGGTTTTAGGAACCACACACCATTCGAAACTCCCATGGGTACATGGAGCTCGTATATGCTTTCTCAGCTGTCCAGTAAACAGATGTCATCTTGGAGCAAATCACGAGTACGTTGCCTTGGCTACAGGCTAGTAATATATAGAGCAACCATGGGTAGCAAATGCAGCACAAACTCCCAGCCCAGTCATGCAACTCTGTCAATATTGATAACATAATCAGGGCTTCATCGCTTCACTACACCCACACCCAAAGTAATTGACATAGACTTTTTAAGTATATTTCCAGTGATCAGGGCAAACATTTTAACAATAAATGGTAGACGAAGTAATTTTTTCCATGCATACACAGGGAATACCCCTTGAAATGCTTGTGTAGTGCAAAGATTAAGGACTTCTAGGGCTGATGTGACTAATTGGTGTGGAGCTATCTCTCTGCCACCAAGGCCCAATCGGAAAAAGGCAAATCATTTCAGTCAAGGCTGGTGTTTTTCTCCTTTCATAATTAGGTATGTAATTTATACTAAATTTCTTTCAGATTGCATCTCTCCTGGCAAATGCTTTCTTCTGTACTTTCCCGCGGAGAAATGCCAAGGGAAGTGAAACTGAATACTCTCATTATCCTGACATTAATTTTAACAGGTGGGTGCTCCTTATAATCATCCGTGTCATGGGGGACCAGCTTAACATTAGATACAAAAATGTAGAATATTAATCTGCAGTTATTTTTCAAGTCATGTAAATATTATTTTTGTGTCGGTAACCAGTGATATTGCACGAATATTTATACATTTAATAACTATGAAGTGATTTTTTAATTTATAATTGTTGTTTTAAAATCATTAAATTTTTTTCCTCTCAGTATATTGGACAAGCTATTCTTAAATGTGCTGCAGTTTTGTTTGCGGGGAAGTTTATGCATCATGGGTAGTGGATGAGGGAGACAGCAAGTATAGTATTGTACAGTATTAAAATAAAATGTTTAGCACAATTTGGACTGAGGTTAAGGTCAGCAAAAACTAACACTTAATGAGGGATTGTTATTAATGGCTTCATTATGGATGTAATTAATGATTGTACTGGTGAAATGCTTAGTGAGAGCTTCATGTTTACATTTTCAGACTGTTTTTCCACAAAGAAAAGCGAGCTTTGGAGAAGATGAAGTGTATTCTTAATTACTTCCGAAGAGTAACAGAAAAAGGTTAGTATGTTGATTGTATTATATTGTATACATAATATCTCTAGTGGTATAGGATTAATGAGATAGTTTAATTATGATATTTGTCACATTTGAGGTCTTCCATTGGGAACATTAACCTTTACGCTGCTAGCAATGTTGATAAGTGCTCTATGAGCACTTGATTAAGGGTGTATTGATGATTATACCCTTATAATTATATATAATAGCCTGAGGGGGGGGCCTCAGTAGCTCCAACCAGAAAATTGCATTTACTGTAATTATATTCAACACTTAATTTTTCCTAGGACATACTCACGGTCTCATAACCAATCTTTTGTTATTAGTGTGATAAGCATAAATATGCATCTGTCAACAATATTCTTCAAAAATTTCAGATACTGATACTTTTATTTTTATTACTTTTTTGCATGTCTAGTATAAAGTTCTTTTGCTGTGTATTTTTCTAACTGAATATACAGCTTATATACTGTATGACTATAAATATCACAGGGTTTTCTGCATGAAACAATGTGAAGATGCGTTGGAGGGGTGAAATTTTGTTTTGTTTATTTGTAAGGTTAATTAATTTTGTAATGAAAATTTTAGAGCCATCTGGGAGTGTGACGTTCACGCGACAGTTTGTGAGCTATCAGGATTTACCTAAGTGGGAGACGGCCTCACAACACTTACCCAGATTTCACATAGACACCATTGGACTTATAGAAGAAGCAAGCGGACTTCTTCAGGCTGATTTTGCCAATAAGTAAGACATTTTTTATAAAGATACCAAAGGGTATCTTATAATGGATGATACCATTATAGGATTGACCAATATTTTATGTTGTGAGCATTTTTTTCCAAATTATTATTAATATTAGTAATATTATTTATTACTAATGTCAATGAGTTATTGTTTTTTAGGTTTCTAGGTGGAGGAGTGTTGGGGCTTGGTTGTGTGCAAGAAGAGATTCGCTTTGTGCTTTCCCCAGAGCTTCTAGTCTCAAGGCTTTTCACAGAAGCGCTAGAAAAAACGGAAGCACTCATTATCACAGGTTTGTATTTCAGAAAATTGTTCTATGTTTAATTATTAGTGAACTAATATGCATGCAATAAATGTGTTTATAGGTCAACCATAAGATTGACAAGAGGTTTTTAGACTGTTTAGACAGTGTTTAAGATAGTATCTGAGCAAATTTGAAGACAGGATTAGGAGAGAATGGATGAGATGATGATAGGCAGCAGCGGGAGCAGAGCAAGAACAAGAAGATGAACAGCAGTAGGAGGAGGAGGAGGAGAGAAAGGACAAGATGATGATGGGCATCATGAGAAAGAGAATAAGGATAAGATGTTGGACAGCAGCAGGAGGAGGAGGAGGAGGAGGGGAAGGACAGAATGATGATGGGTAGCAAAAGGGGTGAGAGGAAGGACAAGATAATGATGATAGACAGCAGAAGGAGCAGGAGGTTGAGATAATGAACAGCATTTTGAGGTAGTGTGTTAGGATCACACAAGAAGTGGTAGGGGAATAATGAAAGATGCATTTAAAATATAGAGTTCATGTTGGGATAAATTTAGTTTACTGTTCGTGCTGATCTGAGATCTTTGAAGAAATATAATTGGTTAATAGAACTATTCTTAATTAATTTCCTTATTACCAATTGATAAAACTTAGGCCCCAAGTGCTGAAGTCTTCAGATTATTCAGCTTCATATATTTTTTTCTTAATTAGTTTTGTGTTATTATAAATTCAAGTTCCGATATCTTGTCAGGAGCTGAGCAGTTCAATCGTGCTACTGGCTATGCTTCAACCTTTTCTTGGGCTGGTTCTTTTGACGACTGCACGCCTGTTGATACTTGGGGGCGGAGGATGTGTCAGGTTGTTGCTATCGATGCTCTTCATTTCACTAAGCAGCCCCAAGTACAATACAGCCCAAGCTTTGTTATCAGGGAACTGAATAAGGTGATGTATTCTTGCAAGTAGTACTTTGAGAGTTGTGTTGTATATCCACTTAATTCATTATGAATGAGACATTATAAACACTATACTGTATTACGATTTAAATAGAAGAAATGTGAATAACTAATAATTATTTTATTCTGTGAATCAAATCATTTTGCATTGTGAAAGTAGGTGCTTTACATAATTAAAATTGTGTTCTTAGATTACCAGTATTTAATCTTATTCTTATTCAGAATAGTAAATAAGATGTGTGTTGATTAAAGCAGATAAAAATATTGGACAGTAGAGTGTTTGGCTTTGACCATCCAGTGAAGCATTTTTATGGAAAAATAGTTAATGTATTTTTTATTTATTGGTATTCTGTAGCTGTACAGTACTTGTACTGAAGTACTAATGCTAGTCTGTTAGATTCATTTATCATTTATATTTTTCTGCGTTCATCTTACCCTTTTCTTGTTTTGCATTATCTTAGTATATTCCATGTCTTTATACTTTCTTCCAGTTACAGTACTGAGTGCACACAAGCAGCATATCACTCACGTAGCCACACCAGCATGTCAACGTCTTCAACGAGTGTTTCAGGTGCTGGAGATAATTCTACATAGGCTGCCTTCTTCAATGGGAAGATGGGGTTGCAGGATGCTAGACTATAAATATATTGTGTGTTAGTTATTATGATAGTTACTGTGCTGACTATTTATTTAAAAAAAATATTTCAGGCCTATGCTGGCTTTTGTGTTCTGGACAGGAGTGCTGGAACTCCTATTGGTGTTGCCACAGGAAACTGGGGGTGTGGAGCTTTCAAGGGGGATCCACGGCTCAAGGTAACTATACATGTTCCACTGCTATGTATGTATGTTATTAAACGAAGTGAGTGGAGTTATGCTCACTGATGACACCGACATGGGAGAGAGTGTCTCAGTCTTCTGTGCCTGGGAACTAAATCCTGATTGCTTCTCTCTAATGATGTAACCTTGATAGCCACATTACAATCAAGGGATTATAGAATAAAAATCCATACTTTTGTATTTGTGAAATTTATGTAAAGAATTACATAAATTTACATAAATACTTAGTGTAAGTTTTTATCCTATGCTATTATGTGTGAGAAGATATTAACATTACTTCTATTACTACCATCAAGGAGTACTGTATATTAATTAGGGTTGTGTATTTATTTGGCTTATCATGTAAGGAGGTTATGATGATAGTAAAATGCAGAAGAGTGAATATGGAAAATAAACCAAAAAGTATTGTGTAAGATTTCTGTGAGAAGATATGGTAAAAGGGAACACCGTAAGTAAGGGCAAGGGTAGTCTTCAAGTGTGTCATTAAGAGGGGAACGAGTCTAGAGAAATGTGAAAAAATTATCACAGTAGGTGTTGAATGAGGCTCTCAAGAGTATAACGGGAATAACATTCATCATATCACAATGAATTCTGTAGTCTTTTCAGTGAATTGTCCTTGCTCTACATTTTTAACCCTATAATGCAATGAATTGAAAATAAATAAGTAAATAACAATGAAAACTATATGTATGTGGTATTTACTTCTAAAGTTGTGTTACGATGCTGTATAACACTCAAGCATTTGTCCATTCTTCATGTTGATTTGTGGTTGTTCCATTTTATAATATATACATATTGTTTTCTTACAAAGTTTACTTCGATAATTCCAACTGTGCCATTGTTATTGAATATATGATTCTGTGTTACACTATATTTACAATGCTTTGATACAAATTCATTTACAGTTAATATTTTATATAAATATTTTTTTGCAGTCGCTGATTCAGCTTGCTGTATGTGGCTATGTTGGACGGGACGTTGCTTATTTCACCTTTGGGGACCAAAAACTCCGCAATGATCTTGCTACCATGTATATCTTTTTGAAAGAAAACAATATTACAGTAGGTAAGTTTACAGTTTTTATTTTCCTTGAAGGTAGTATGTTCATTTTATTGGATAATGATATTTCAAGGTCTACATGGGATTCATAGACAAAAGTGTCTGGACATAGAGTATTTTAATTTATGTATTTGATATTTATTTAGGGTTGGTTGTTCATTATATAATTAGATAAGGTAAGTGAGGGAGGACATGGCTGAAACATGTGTAAACATGCATATAGGTCTAATAGAAGTGATTGGAGTAAGTCAGACGTTATGCACATAATAATCGACTTGATAGTGGTCCAGGATGGACCGAAATGTCGTCGTCGTCGTCGTCTCTTCAATTTCTAGTGTGTGGTTTGGACAACATTCTTCAGCCACGTTATTGTGACTCATCATCTGCATTATGCACTTAGATGATATAGTTCTTTTGGTAGTTTGTTTGGGTTATGTAAGAGTAGCTGCTAGTGTTATTGCCGTGTGTGTGTGTGTGAGAGAGATGACTTGGAGTGAATGTAGATACAATTTAACTTATGTGGAGAGATGGACATTTTGTGTGGAATAAATATGTAAGTTGAAGTAATAGAAGTGGTTGATCAGATGAAATAACTAGGATATATGATTGATAAGAGAATAATTTGTGCTACTGAAGTTGAGAATAGGATCAATCCTGTGTGTGTATACGTATTAGAGAATATAAAACCTTTACAGGCACAATGTTATCTACAACTAAAGATAACTCTTATCTTTGTGTTTTTCTGCATATTTCATGCTATCTGTAATATTTATACTGAAACTTTGTAACAGATTTGTTCATTGAAATTGACTGTGAAGGATGATGTAATGCAGGAGAACATAAATGTAAAGTCATTTCTTAATTGAAGTTATGCATTTGCCACTGTTATTAGTATAGGATTTCTCATATTTTACTGGGAGTGTTATTTCTCTCTTGCTTGCTTTGCATGTTATAGATTTATATTTTATATTTTTAGCAATAAATTGGGTAAAATATCATTTGGCTATTCTTGGTTACTAATATAATGTTTTGTTTATATTGACCTCGTACACTCAGGTGAACTAGTTCAAGCTCTGGTCCACTACGGGTCTCGCAAATGGTCCGAAGGTTCTGATCTCTTCCAGTACATCTATCATAACCTTGGGGCTTATGAATCAGAAACTGACAATGAAACAGAGGATTTTGCAGGTAAACATCTGCAGGTGTAAAGATTTTTAAAGATAAGTTTGTCTATTGCATAACTGCAGTTGTTAAATAATTTATAGCAAATTTAGAATCCAATTGAAACAATAAGTGATTATTAGTATTACACTATCATTGATAAAAATGTTGATTATATTTGTATGACCTGATGAGTATATGATAAAAGACACAGCCATCAAGGATGAGCCTTTATCACAGACGATGCTTCTCTGGGTGATGTCTTGATCAGTCCTCAAGATGATGTTAATTGAATGCCTCTGTAAAGTGAATAGCGGCCACAAATTAATTTTTGTGGCCTTCTATCCAGTTGTCCATTACATCACTTTATGTACAATGGTACACATAGTTACAAAAAGTACCATGTAAACAGGAAGATGGGTTGCCCTAGGACAAACTACTGACTTTCTCCTGGATGTAACCCATAACAGATTCCTGATTTTTGTGTCCCTATTTTAGCACTAGGTGAACAGCGGGCATCAGGTGAAAGGAATCGTGTCCTCTCATTTCTGTCTGGCCCACAGATCAAACCTGGGATCCTTGATCGAGACTTGGGAATATAGACTACAGTGTATATATGTACTACAAGTCCTTGGTTGCACTTGTAACCTGACTCTGAGATAAATGAAAGGGTTACTCTTATTTCCAGTGATAGCATTTTCTTCCATTACACTAGCACTGCAAGAAATGAACAGGTTATCTTCCGTAACTACTTTTTCTTGTATGTTGTTTCTCTTCACATGTATTATACATCATCGTACTGAAGTGCCTTTTGTACACTTTGTGGATTTTATTTGATTTTTTACGTTATTTGCAGAGCCTCTCGTGGACAAAAATAGAAGAAATGATTTACCGACTACTGATAGTTCACATACCAGACCGAAGACAGGGAGGAACATCACAGACTACTTCAAAAAATCTGACAAAACCAGCCTGTCATCTTCTGCCGCATCAACACACAGCGCTACATTTCATCATTCCTCTACTAGCAAACAAACAGTATCACATGTAACTCCATCTGGAGCAGCAAGAAAAGAGTCTCTTTCTGAGGATAAAATTTTGCAAGTCTTATCAGAGTGTGATCGTCTGGTAGGAGATCAAAGGATGAAATGTCATGAAACTTCTGATTCAGGATCAGGTGTAAGAACAACTTCTAAACATGCGGATCAAGACAAATCAGCCACAAGGACACATTCTAAACATGTGGATCAAGACAAATCAGCTGCAAGGACACATTCTAAACATGTGGATCAAGACAAATCATCTGCAAGGACACATTCTAAACATGTGGATCAAGACAAATCAGCAGCAAGGACACATTCTAAACATGTGACTCAAGACAAGGAAGAGGGATGTACAGCCAGCTTAAAAACCAGTAAAAGAGATGATCATGTGCGAGACAAAGCCAAAAACCAGGAAATAAACAATAGTGGTGTGTGCAAAAGTAGCAGTGAGCCAAGTAGACTGCTGTCATATTTGGATGACATAGACAAAGGTTTAGCATTATAGCCATAAATATATACTTTTATTTACCAGTGATGTATATTTTACATGTCTGTATATAAAAATTAAATTATGTGCTTAGGCAAATTTTCTTTACTTGGTTCTATATCTTGAAGGAACAAATGTGTAGCTATGAAATTGCAAGTGGAAATGACATGGCTGCCTTCACTTTACCTTCACATGCTACCTGTTGCTTACATTATCTTTTGTAGTATCAGGATTACAAAAAAAGGCAAATACAGTAATTGATGGTTTATTATATTGCAGCATTAAATAGAATGTAGGAATTCTAATTGGAGTACTGTATTATAACGGTTATAGCTAGAAAGCAGGCTCATATATAATCAGCAGGGATGATGAGTCATAATAATATGGCTGAAGATAATGGCCAAACCACACATCAAAAGATGGAGAAACGACGGTGTTTCAGTCCGTCCTGAACCATTATCATCCACATATAACGTGATGGAGGTGGGGTCCCCTGATTGTTTCAAACGTGGGTTGGACATGTATATGAGTGGGATTGGGTGATTATAAATAGAAACTGCCTTGTATGGGCCAATAGGCCTTCTGCAGTTACCTTCCTTCCTTACGTTCTTTTATAAGACGGTCCAGGACGGACCGAAACGTCGTCATTTCTCCATCTTCTGATGTGTGGGTTTGGTCGTCATAGTCAGCAGGGTAGCTACATGTTGGTCTGGACTTAGACCTCTGAGAAGGGTCACCTATTGGTATGTTTCATTCTATCACAGTAGTGTGTTAGTGATTAGTGATCACTTAACAAGTTGGTACTCGGTTGTCGAGGCACCTGCAAGAAGGATGAACAACTTGAACTATATCACAGTTCACAGGCAATTTACCTTTAGCTGGTAGATCAGTTTTCTGCAATGCTGTTTTGCCACCAAGGCAAAATTTAAATACACTTACACAAAAGTTTGAAGATTCAACCATATTTGGTTGGTTGGTTGTAGAATTCTAGTCACTGTACATAGAACTATTTAAAATATAGTAATTTTTGCTTTGGTTGAATAGAGCACAAAGTGCTGACAATGATGCAGAGAAATACCAAGATGAAAGTTGACTTTATTGAATATAACATTTTGCTGTTGGGGATTTATCTGTATATTTTATAAAGCAATGTAATTATCAAAAGAAGGCATCAAGCTGGGATGGGTGGAAGTAAGGCATTGGATATACAATCTGTAGATGATGCTTACACAAATTATCAATATGAAGGGCAGCTGAAAACATGTTAATTGTAGATCAGTATCTTGGATCACACTACTAGGTGCACCATACCTTTCCTTCACCCTGCCCTAAATCCTTGTCTTTGTATCCCCTTCCAAGTGCTATATGGTCATGGTGGCTAGGAATTTTCTCTTGATAATTACCTAACCATACTAGGTACACAACAATATGCAAAATTTCAGCTCTATTGCTTAGGATAGAGAGAGTTGAATTCACACAATATTAATTTAAGATTGGATGAATGAACAGGCAAACTATCCTCTCTAATAGTGCATGACATTTTGACTTATAAATCCTCTCAAGGTCAAAAACTAATGTACTAAAATTTATTGTGGCTTATAAAATTGACGTGATGTCCCATTTTCTATTTGTGGGTCCTAGGTTAGGTTCAGACAATTTAGTGTGTTTGTTTGGTGACATTGGAAACACTCAAAAGGAAGGGCTGGAAAATGAAAAAAAAAGCAATAGTCCTAACTGGTGGGGCTAAGCATATTTTGGAAGAGAATATTTGTTTCATATTGCCTTACTATTGTACAAATTGTAGAGTTATTCCAAATGAGGTAGTGTTGATCATCGCATAAATTTTCAATGGAATGAAATATGGGTATTTTTTTGTGTATTTCAACTTTATATTGTGTGTCAAGATGTGCCCACACAAATGTATATTAAGTACAGGAACTTACCTACAGGAGCAAAAGATGTGTTTTGTTCCAGGTAATGTGTTACTTTATAAGTTGTACAATATTTCAATCCCCTTTCAAGATTAAGCCAATTTATTATATTGAAAAATGTTCTGTTATAACTAGAAGAAAAACAAAATAAAATATTTTCTCATTAAATAGTGTAACTTTGAAATCTTTTTGGTTTATATGTTCATCATGATTATCACTGTACAGCCCAAGAATTTTGACTTCATTGTGTGCTGTATCTTGCACACAATGAATAGTATAGTATATTCGTTGACTGTATAGTAGTGGCTGGATATTACAGGGAGTATATCTTATAAGTGTGTATATTGAGTAAAGAGCGCCAAAAACAGGTCTGTTGTGCATGGTTTGTGCTGGAGTGCAATTGCCGTGCAAGTTGAGGGTCGTCGTACCGTTTCTATGACCTCTGACTCATGTTTGGGTAATGTTGCCCGACACGCCCTCCCAGTACACTTGTCAGAAGATTTCAAAAGGATGTCAAACATTTGTTGGAATTGAAGTAATCACCATTTGCATTTATATTGAGACAATGTTTGGGGATAAGGTGCAAGGATCTAAGAAAGAATCAGAAAGGAATAAAGCAACATGCTACCATCATTACACTGGTGCTGTGCCACTGAAGGTAAGCTGCTACCATTACTAAACTTGTCCAAGTATTTGAAGGGAAATCAAGCAAAACAAAATATTCACAAACAAAATAAAAGTAATGTTTTTGTGATTGTGTTAAAAGGACATGAGGTTGGTATCTGTAACCAGTAGACTTGGTTTGGCATAACTTCAACATAAGAAGATCTATTAGCTCATGCAAGGTAGTTCCTTTTTTTTTATATCCAACCACAACAATTAGTTTACATGTATTTGTTTAAACTACACTTCAAAAGAATCTAAGAGTCTATATCTTACATGGCAAATTGTTCCATAAATCACAAGTCCTATTTCCAAATTGGCATTTATCCCAGGTCTTGTTTTTTTCTAAATTAAACCTAAAACCAATTTGTATATAGGTTGGTTGGCTCATTATTCCTTCCTCCACTTAGCTCCTAACTGTTCAGGGTGGCTAACTCTTCCACCATCTTCCACGAATGAGTCCGTTCTCAGATGTATAAAGAGATGACCACTGAGCTGCTCTCCTGCAAGCCCTTACGTAATGTTTACCAGCAATGTTTTAACATACATCACAACTGCCCAAATGTTGATGTCGGGGCAAAGGGTGGAGTAACAGTATTAGACAATGTGAGAAATTTACTGCGTGCTGTTGGCAAATGTTAGCTCTATTTATGTGATACACTACTCCCTAGTTGTATAACCCTTCTAAGCAGTAGTGGCTCACCAACTGCCTCAGGCAGCAGTAGTGGCTCACCAACCGCCTCAGGCAGCAGTAGTGTGGCTCACCAACCGCCTCAGGCAGCAGTAGTGGCTCACCAACCGCCTCAGGCAGCAGTAGTGTGGCTCACCAACCGCCTCAGGCAGCAGTAGTGTGGCTCACCAACTGCCTCAGGCAGCAGTAGTGGCTCACCAACAGCCTCAGGCAGCAGTAGTGGCTCACCAACCGCCTCAGGCAGCAGTAGTGTGGCTCACCAACCGCCTCAGGCAGCAGTAGTGTGGCTCACCAACCGCCTCAAGCAGCAATAGTGTGGCTCACCAACCGCCTCAGGCAGCAGTAGTGTGGCTCACCAACCGCCTCAAGCAGCAATAGTGTGGCTCACCAACCGCCTCAGGCAGCAGTAGTGTGGCTCACCAACCGCCTCAGGCAGCAGTAGTGTGGCTCACCAACCGCCTCAAGCAGCAATAGTGTGGCTCACCAACCGCCTCAGGCAGCAGTAGTGTGGCTCACCAACCGCCTCAGGCAGCAGTAGTGTGGCTCACCAACCGCCTCAGGCAGCAGTAGTGTGGCTCACCAACCGCCTCAAGCAGCAATAGTGTGGCTCACCAACCGCCTCAGGCAGCAGTAGTGTGGCTCACCAACCGCCTCAAGCAGCAATAGTGTGGCTCACCAACCGCCTCAGGCAGCAGTAGTGTGGCTCACCAACCGCCTCAGGCAGCAGTAGTGTGGCTCACCAACCGCCTCAAGCAGCAATAGTGTGGCTCACCAACCGCCTCAAGCAGCAATAGTGTGGCTCACCAACTGCCTCAGGCAGCAGTAGTGTGGCTCACCAACCGCCTCAGGCAGCAGTAGTGTGGCTCACCAACCGCCTCAGGCAGCAGTAGTGTGGCTCACCAGCCGCCTCAGGCAGCAGTAGTGTGGCTCACCAACCGCCTCAGGCAGCAGTAGTGTGGCTCACCAACCGCCTCAGGCAGCAGTAGTGTGGCTCACCAACCGCCTCAAGCAGCAATAGTGTGGCTCACCAACCGCCTCAGGCAGCAGTAGTGTGGCTCACCAACCGCCTCAAGCAGCAATAGTGTGGCTCACCAACCGCCTCAGGCAGCAGTAGTGTGGCTCACCAACCGCCTCAGGCAGCAGTAGTGTGGCTCACCAACCGCCTCAGGCAGCAGTAGTGTGGCTCACCAACCGCCTCAGGCAGCAGTAGTGTGGCTCACCAACCGCCTCAAGCAGCAATAGTGTGGCTCACCAACCGCCTCAGGCAGCAGTAGTGTGGCTCACCAACCGCCTCAAGCAGCAATAGTGTGGCTCACCAACCGCCTCAGGCAGCAGTAGTGTGGCTCACCAACCGCCTCAGGCAGCAGTAGTGTGGCTCACCAACCGCCTCAAGCAGCAATAGTGTGGCTCACCAACCGCCTCAGGCAGCAGTAGTGTGGCTCACCAACCGCCTCAGGCAGCAGTAGTGTGGCTCACCAACCGCCTCAGGCAGCAGTAGTGTGGCTCACCAACCGCCTCAAGCAGCAATAGTGTGGCTCACCAACCGCCTCAGGCAGCAGTAGTGTGGCTCACCAACCGCCTCAAGCAGCAATAGTGTGGCTCACCAACCGCCTCAGGCAGCAGTAGTGTGGCTCACCAACCGCCTCAGGCAGCAGTAGTGTGGCTCACCAACCGCCTCAAGCAGCAATAGTGTGGCTCACCAACCGCCTCAAGCAGCAATAGTGTGGCTCACCAACTGCCTCAGGCAGCAGTAGTGGTTCATCAACCACCTCGGGCAGCAGTAGTCTCACCAACTGCCTCAGGCAGCAGTAGTGGCTCACCAACAGCCTCAGGCAGCAGTAGTGGCTCACCAACAGCCTCAGGCAGCAGTAGTGGCTCACCAACAGCCTCAGGCAGCAGTAGTGTGGCTCACCAACCACCTCAGGCAGCAGTAGTGTGGTTCATTAACCACCTCAGGCAGCAGTAGTCTCACCAACCGCCTCAGGCAGCAGTAGTGTGGCTCACCAACCACCTCAGGCAGCAGTAGTGTGGCTCACCAACCACCTCAGGCAGCAGTAGTGTGCTTCATCAACCAGCCTGAGGTGGTTGATGAATTAATGACTCACCAGCCACGTAAAGCACTAGTAATGACTGTCAACATTGTCACAACCTGTAGTGCGAAATATTTTCTCAGAAATATGTTATAGCCAAGTGTTTAAACAAATACTAATAAAACAACAGTTTTAACAGTAAAAACAGTAGTTTTTCTCATTTGTTTAAAATGCTGAGGTTTTTGGAGAGATAATACTAGTAAAAATACGCTTCCTGATTTACTGAATCAAATTAACTCTGTAATACCTACACCGATTACAATCATGTTCTGCATATTTTTATTATGCAGAACATGATAGTGGTTATATCAGCAGTTATAAATGAATATTTAATAAGTACGCCAAGCGTCTCGTGGGGATTGCTTTAAATAATGAAGTTAAATTATTTAAAAGTCCAGTATATGGGGTAAATAATTCTAAACGAGAAGCTTACATACATGAATTATTCAAGGAATTTAGCAAATGTACAATACTTTAGTAATATATAATGAATAACAGACTTATCAAATCTATACTAATGTTAGCACCAGTACACAATTCATATTTACAATAACAGCAAAACACGAAATCGGATTCTATTGGATGAGGAAATGTAAGTAAAACTTGTTAAATAATGTTAAACATTTATTAAGTTCTGAGAGAAAGTAGAGCTTTTAATCTCATTTGGAAGGTCACTCCAACATGACTAGGCCAGTAGGCTCATCAGTGAGTAACTTTCCCCACCCTTCAGCTGTCTGCCGCTCAGGGGTAACTTTTTTCCTGCTATAGAATCGTAATGGCTTGGCGATTTCCCTGATAATTCCTTCCCCACCTCTCAACCCCCAATGGATGGCAGGGAAATAATTCCTAAACCTCTTCCCTCAGTTCCCTGCGTCCAGGGAAGGTATCCTCCCCTTACCCTCAGCTTCCCATCTTACAGGGAGGATAACTTTCCATCATCTCCCTGCTGTCCAGAGAGGAAACTTCCTCAGCTCTCTGCCGTCCAGGGAGGATAACGTACCCCTCAGCTGTCTGCCGTCCAGGGAGGGAAAGTCTTCCTCCTCCCCTGAACGGCAAGGGGGTAAGGGAACAGCCTCCCCTCAGCTCTGTGCCGGGCTGGGTTCCGCTGCCCTAATACCTGTGGGAGCCGCCGGCTGCTTTCCGAGCACTGCCGTTTAAAATGTTCGCTCTCGACCTGCCTCTGTTTACTTTGTTATCGTCGAGGATATAAACATTATGGTGCTCCCGAGAGGCTGCCAAGTTTGTTATCGTCGACCCGCTAGGCTCGATATCCAAGAGCAACATCAATTCAACGCCGAATCAACGTTGATGCACAGTTGAATTAACGTTGATTTAACGTTGCATTATCGCCGTTCGGATATTGTGGCCACCGGGGTGAGATTGTCATTAATGGGAAACTGACAACATAATAAATTTATTTTATGTTGGGATTTAGGCCTGGGGCCAGGTACTGGAACCGGTTTGACTATTCAGCGCCTTGTGTAAAGATATTATTGTGTATATTGGTGTTGTATGTGTGTACTCATCTATTTTGTGTCTGAAGGATCGATCTCTAGTTCTTGGACCCCGCTTTTCGAGCCGCCGGTTGTCAAATGCAATGACTCATGACCTATTTCCTTATCATACCTACTTTAAGAGTTGTGAATTGAGTTCGCCTTTACAACCTGCTCCATTAGGTCATTCCACTTACCCACTACCCTTATGCTAAAAGGAAACTTCCTACC